CTTTATGGTACAAATGAAATATCCTATGTTCTATTTCTTAAGTTGTGCATGGTTGTGTTTTATATCATGCATGGTGATACATGTTAGCAATATGTAGAAAATATGCTAAAAGATGGGTTTTAATCCTTATTGAACACTTGCGGAATTTTTTTAATAGATGTTGGGGGCGGTACTTTGAACACATGTTCTAAGATTCAGCCTCAGTTTCGAATATACGTATCTGCTGAGTGAAGTACCTACAGAAATTAGGTGATTTTGTAAATTAAAATTAATTTTATCTGAAAAATAGAAAGTTCATTCATTTAAGAAATAATCTACGGCTGAATTATGAATTATTTCGATTTTAATAGGACAAATACGGCAATTTTGTCAATTGTAAAAGCTCTATACCCACGATACTGATTTGGCTGTTCCGTTTTACCCCCATATAAAAATATTGATAATATTATATTATTCAATAATAATAAAACAACAATCACATTTTTCACCTTAAAATGTTCTTTTTATCCAATTGTATTACATTCTGGGGAGTGCAAAAAGCCGGAAGCATAAATATGACGTCACCTTATTAAGTTGCCAAAGACGATGACATCATTTCGCCGCCGAATATTTGTTAAATGAAATTTTACACCGAAATGAAAACATAAATTGACTGATTTATTTATTTTTTTTTTTTGCATCAGAACAGAGATAACCGTATTGTATTTGAAGTGTGGCCCATGTAAAAAGTGGGTTTTACTGTCGCAAATTGAGTTTAGCTGGTCGTATGAATAAGTTTAGCGTAACGCGAGACAGCCAATTTTAATGCGTTAGCCCTTAAAGTAGATATTCTGTGTTTATACTGGTTGACGATATATAGGTCGTCATATTAGAATACAGAGTTTGAGATGTTATGAACTGGTTATTTAAACAAACATGGTATCTACTCTAAAAATTGAGATGTTACACTATTATAAGCAAATTTAATAGTTAGGGGGGAGGGGGGTTAAGTCTAAACTTTTTTAAGTTATTGCTGACATTTGTCACTCATAATAAACTATGCTTTAATAGGTTGTGATTGTACAGTGTTGAATATTAATATGAAAATCACAATTGGTGGTTATAATTGTAGTGTTTGAAAATTTGTAATGCCTGTATCTTTTGATTAGAAATTTAAATATTTACTGTGACATTTGTGACCTGTATCATCATAACTTGTGTTAGTTGTTTTTTGCCTTCAACAGACCATAAAAGGCTGTTATTTGTACTTGAGAGTTACTGTTGTATTATTATAAAATTTATTTTGCTTGCTTATCAAACTCGTCATCTGAATTTGACTTTTTAAAATGAAATAATGTTTGAACACGCTGTTGTTTGATGTCGGTGTCGTTGTTTCTATCACATTTCAAGAGATGATATGTTACATTAAAAAAGACTTTTGTCAGATTTCTGAAATATAGGGGTCATATAGCAGAAATATCGTATATATACACTAGTACTCCATATGCAGGCGCTGCTTCATAGAAATGATATGTTCATAATTTGAATGCTGAAATCATCACTTTTTTTATAGGTTAATACGAGGGAGACAATTTGCTCATTCCCAGGATTCAGCGGGAAACATTTTTATGAATGTCACCCCCTCGTGCAGACCGATCAAAATTGATAATTTAAAGGACAGTATTTTTAAAGACAACGGTCAAGTTCTTCGTTTCGGCATCATACCTTTTTAATGGACTGTCAACATAAAAAAAAATACACCTTGATTCATATTTTTTTCCAAATAACTGTAACGTTTCTATGTTGTTTTTTGTGAACTGTTGTTTGTCTTTTGGTTTTATTTCTTTTTTTTTGTCATGACGTTGTCAGTTTATGTTCGACTTATAAGTTTGAATTTCCCTATTGGTATCTTTCGCCTCTCTGTTAAGTACATGATGTAATAGTTAATTACGTTCAGTTTACAATTTAAAAACAATAATGACAGAAAATTCAGTATAATAAATTGAATAATTTTCACATAGCTAAGAGGGAGATAGAGCAGAGTGTTACCCCTCGATAAAAACATAGTCAACCTTGGTTTCGCCTCGTTTCACAATGTTTTCTTGGGGTAACAATTTGCTCTATTACCCTCACAGCTATGTGTTATTTATATATTGGTGTGTGGGTTTTTGCAAGATCTAATGTCCGTCAGAAAGGGTTCATCTGACCTCGACCTCATTTCATAGATCGAATCAGTGATCAAGGCTATGTAAGAATTAGGTGATTAGGTCTGTTTCTCAGATATTGTTAGCAGTAGGTCAACTGTATTTGGTGTATGAAATGATTGTAAGGTGTACATGTCAGTCTGTCAGGTTTCATCTTACCTTGACCTCATTGTCACAGTTTATTGGTCAATTTTAAATTTTTGTGTTTTGGTCTGTTTTCTAATACTATAAGCAATCAGTCACTATTCTTGATGTATGGATGATTGTCAGTGTTAAGTTACAGTAGTTAGTCCTCTTCTTAAATACTATTAGCAATAGGTCAACTATATTTGATGTATGGAATGATTGTAAGATGAACATTTCTGTCTGGTAGGGTTCATCTGACTTTGACCTATTTTCATGGTTCATTGGTCAATGTTACCTTTTCCTGCTTCAGTCTGTTTCTTAGTTACTATAAGCAATACGGTCAACTATATCTTGTACAAAATTGATTGATTGATTGGTGTTAAACGCCACTTTTAACACTATTGTGCTATTTCGTGACGGTCAGTTTTTATTGGTGGAAGAAGTCGGAGTGCCCAGAGAGAAATGAGTGTAAAGTGTACATGTCTGTCTGGTAGGTATCATTTGTCCATGACCTCATTTTCTAGGTTAATTGGTCAGTGTTAGGTTATAGTAGCTAGGTTCTCTTCTAAGATACTATAAGCAACACGGTCAGCTATATTTGGTACAAGATTGATTGATTGAATGGTGTTTAAAACCACTTTCAACACTATTGTGCTATTTCGTGGCAGTCAGTTTTTATTGGTGGAGGAAGCCAGAGTGCCAGGAGGGAATTGAGTGTAAAGTGTACTTATGTCTTATTCTAAGATACTATTCGCAATAGGTCAACTATGTTTGATGTATGGAATGATTGTAAGATGAACATTTCTGTCTGGTAGGGTTCATCTGACTTTGACCTATTTTCATGGTTCAGCGGTCAATGTTAAATTTTCCTGCTTTAGTCTGTTTCTTAGTTACTATAAGCAATACGGTCAACTATATTTGGTACAAGATTGATGGATTGATTGGTGTTTAACGCCACTTTCAACACTACTGTGCTATTTCGTGGCGGTCAGTTTTTATTGGTGGAGGAAGCCGGAGTGCCCAGAGAGAAATGAGTGTAATGTGTACATGTCGGTCTAGCAGGGTTCATTTGACCTTAACCTCATGTTTATGGTTCATTGGTCTATGTTAAGTTTTCATGTTTGGTCTGTTTCCTGTTTACTATAAGCAATAGAATAGAAAATCAAAGGATATGGATGGATTGGGAAATCCATCCATGACACAAAATCAGTACATGCAAAGCAAAAACACACAAAAAGCAAAGGAACAGTGCTTTTATTGCTGTTCTTCATCTCAAAGTCACAATGAGAACTTCATATAGGTCAACTATATTTGGTGTATGGAATGGTTGTAAGGTGTGCATATCGGTCTGGCTTAGTTTATTCGACCCTGACCTCGTTTTCATTGATAATTGATGTTAATTTATATGATATTTGCAGTAATATCTATCTTTAGGATCATCAACATAAAATCAAGCATGGTTAGTAAAACAGGTGAGTCATTTCAACATGTGCACTCTTGGTTTGAACAAAGTATGATTTATCCCTTCCTTAAACAAGAAATTCATATCTAAGGTGAACCTTATCTGTAATTGTATAGTTGACTCATAAATGAAATCGTCACATGATAAAGAAACTTATTTTTTTATACATTCTTTGAACCCTGAGAATGAGGCCAAGAACGTTAATACAACAGATGGAAATTTCAGACTGTAAGACTTCTGCAACTTAAGATAAACCAGCTCTTTTGCATTTGAAATATAAAGTTTATACAAAAAGTTAAAGCTGAAAGCTTCTTACATCATTGGATTAGTTATCTTGTGTCGGGACATTTTGGAATGTTGCAGGCCAGACAAGATTGTCTTGATCTGATGAGTCAAGCCCTTTCAACTGATTTTCATATTTTGTTCTTGAGTTGTACTGTTAAACCACTGTCCCAGGTTATGGAATGGATGGGTGCCCACAAATATGATGTATTACCCCATCACATTCTCTTTATGCCTGTCCAAAGCCTGTAATTCAATTGTTGCATTTGTTGCTATGTGTCATATTCGTTTTTAGTATGTTGTTTTGAACATAAATCAGGCCTTTGATTTTCATATTTGAATTGATTTACATTTTGTTATGTCAGGGCCTTTTCTGCCTTGCATTCCTGTATAGGTTCTGCTTATGGTTAAAGGCCATCAATAACCTACTGTTGCTAACATCTACGCCATTTGAGTGTTACTGGTGAGTCTTTGGTAGAGGAAATGCACATCTAGCTTACAAAATTTTAAGCCTGGTATATACGATGAGTTTATTGGCCACACCTTTTTTTAATAAAAACTACACACATTGATGTGCTAACCATGCCCCCACTGGTAACAGGCTGGTCCTAAAAATGCACTGTTACCACAAATCATCACCATTAGCAAATATGAAGTAATTTTTGTTCAGTATCATTGAAGAAATGTGAGACAAAATATTTAAAGTTCAAAGTATCAGCATTAAGAATTTAGGTATCTTATGGATCCTTAAAATGATCTGTCAAGCTGATGAAGAAATATAGCTAAATCTCTTTAGTAGCTGCTGAGAAAAATGTTTATAGATAATATTTGTTGGACGAAAGGATGGACAGACAGTGGAACTGACAAGGTGATTGCAATAAAGCTTCACTCCTAGAGTGGGGAAATAAAATACAACAGCAAAATTAAATAAAAGTATAAAACACAACTTTAGCATGATTGTATAGTCTGTTTATTTGTGAACATTTCTACCAGTCAATATAGAACAGCCAATATTACTGTAATAGTACCCCTACCATTAACTTTTCACATTTAATACTTGCCCGACAATATCTGTAAGATATCAAAGATTTTAGTATTGTTTCTCAAACACTGATTTTACAAAAAAACTACTAATCTCCCATGTGTATTAATGTTTGATTCTCAAAAAAGTCTTAACTAGGAAAATGAAGGGACTCCTGAATCAAAATACAGTTTTATCAACATGAATTGGGGATTTGATGGTAGGAACTTTTCAATTCCAGTACTGTTATTCCAATTCAAATGCAATACAAGTATATGTGCAAAATAAATTATTAAACAGAAATGTAGACTGTGATGATTGCATAGCATTGTTGGCAATGACCCCAACCATCAGTTGAGAATTGGCAGCACACATCTTCCAATCAAATGACATTATATATTATGTTCAGACTGCATAAGAATAGTTCTATATTAATAATCGATTAATTAGTCCATAAGGACAGAAAAATGCTTTTTGAAAGCTAACCTTCTTTTAATACTTAATTTCAACTTCATGATAAAAGATACTTAATATCTTCTATAAAAAAAAAATGAGATAAAGTGTCAAAGAGACAGTCACCTATCGAAGACACCTTTAGTACACAGGTCCCATAACAGAAACTATAACATCTTTTGAATATTAATAATAATAAAATTAATAATTAGCTGCTGCCTAAAAATCAACAAGAATCGAGATAAATACTTAGACATTAATAATAAATAAGACATAAATAGAAATATAAATTTATAGATTTATAAAACATGTAAATATTGATGACATTATCTGCTTGGTAAACTTAGCACTTAATATTTGAACATGTGAAAAAATAAACAAAGAGACAATTCAAATAACAATAATAAAACAAAAGATCAACAAAGAGCAGAAATCATACAAATGTCCTAAGATTGGATACAGTGTCATATATTACTACAGATCATATAATGTGCAATAATTACAATATAGCTTTCACTGAATTTAAGATGCCATCACATGATTTAACAAGCATTCTGAGAGTATTGCATGGCAATAAATAGTCCCCTACCAGGTAAAAATTCATTATACTGGAACAAAAAGCTAACTTGTTCTATAACTTGTCATGGTGTAAACAAAAAGAAAATATCAAGTCAATATCTTCAAGCATGACTAAAAACAGTGAGGAAAACTGATTAAATGAGTGAATTTTTCAAGTCCAAGGACCATAACTCTGCACAAAATTATCAGACCGAAACAAAATTTTGAACTTGATCTGTATAACTTGTCATGATAAAACTATATACCAATTATCAAACAATATCTTCAAGCATGATGAAAAAAAGTGTGGAAAACACTTTAACATTAGATATGATTAATAGTTCTCTAAAATTAGATATGATGTAATACAGTGTATATCTATTTTCAAATTATAATCAAATATAATTAATAGTTCCAAATATTTTTTCTTTTATTTGTCACAAAGTAATATAGATTTGTAAGTTATCTATAAAATGTCAACAATTTTTATATACACAATGTAATGTAATACATACATTAACAAAAATAGATTATTATCTAATTAAAGGATTTCACTTCATATTTTTATATATATATATATATAGCATTCATAAAATTAGTTTATACAAAAGAACAAACAAACCTGCCAAAAAAAAAATTCTTCAAATAATTTACCAAAGAATGTCTTTTAAAAAATGAGTTATCTCCCTTTGTACAGAAATATGGTTTAACATAGTACTCTAACATTAGATATGGTCCAGAGTTATGGTCCATAACTCTGTACTAAATCATCAGACCAGAACAAAATTCGAACTTGATCTATAACTTGTGATGGCAAAACTATATACCAAATATCAAACAATATCTTCGAGAACGAAGAAAAAAAGTGTGGAAAACTGATTTGCCAGACTGACGGATGGACAGACGAACAGGAATTAAACCCAAAGTCCCCTTCGACTTCTTTGGTAGGGGACTAAAAATGTTTTGTTGATATCTGTATGAATCATGGCGGCATACATGTATGCCCCTTCATGATGTCATATGTATATAAACAATCCTGTACATAGAACCTGTAAAACCTAAACATAAATCTGTTGACACACATGAATTATGTGTTGTTCTGTATTGGATTTATGCTTCTACTTTGACTTTGGAATGAGATTGATGTAAGTACTAGAATTAAATTCATTTTTTGTAGTTTTCTCAGCATTTGAAAATGTGGACGTAAGTAGAATCATAAACTAAAGTGCTGCCACACTTTATGCACTTCCATTCATATTTCTACATTTAAATAAACAATACACAGAAATACCTTCATATCTTAATTAACTGTTTACTACAACTGATTTGAATAGTACTGTTTTATCCTGATTTATTTAAGGATCTTAATTCTTATGAATAAAAGGAGATGGTGGGTTAATAATAAAATAGCTACCCAAAGACACAAATAAGCTTGATGTTTTCTATCCAATAAAATTGAATTTATTCAAAACAAAAGTGACAGTAGTGAAAATCAACACAAAAACAAAAACAAATATTTACACATAATTACTTTAGTACAAAAACAATAACAAAACATACAAATATAAAAAATAGTTGATTGGTCATGGTGGCTTTTATCACAATAATGATATAAAATATAATTTCAAAATCACAAAAGAGGTATGACAAGGTCAATCTATTATTCACAATGTTCTAAACATGTTTATTGAAAGTGTTTGAAAATTATTTTCTGAATTTAAATGCCCATATTTAACACATTGCATGCTTATACTATAATATAAATATCTGATCTGTACAACATTAATTGACACAATGTTAGTCAGTAGCACTATAAGATTCCATGTAAAATGCATCATCTGATTTAATCATTTATAGCAGACAAGCAATATCACTGATAACACAGCTTACTGCTAAGAATGTTCTAATTAAGTACTGGCAACATAATTAATTCTTTTTTCTAATTAATAAATGTAAATCATAGAATTAAGTGTCTAAGTTTTTCTCCCTGGTCAAGAATCCATGCTGGCTAGAATTCTGGACACTTCTGTTCGTTGGCTTGCTGTCATGTGTTGAGTTATATGTACAATTGAGTCCATGGCAACCTCTGGATAATCTTGTAACAAGCTGTAATATTAATAATAGTCAATTACTTCAGTGGTTATAAATTCATTTTTCATGTCTCCTCTATTTTGTTTTAATGAATACTAATGATGTCTTTAGTTACTAGTGTAGTTGTGTTGCTCTCTCATTGAACAATACCTCTACATTTCCTTTTAGATAAATAGAATTGCTTCTTAAAATTTCTTCTACTCGAGACATATTCCAGCACTTCTACTAAAAGCTTTAATTACTTTCCAAGTTTATACTGAAGCTATCATGCCCAATTGAAATTTTTGTCTGCTAAAAAAAAAATTACAGGCTAACTTCTTATTCATAATACATATACATTCTTATGTTGTCTTTCTCCTCACTCACCTTCTAACTTTTTGTAACACATGTTCCCTGTGTAAACATCTGATGTTGTCATCTATTGAATTGTCAGCTCCATCTTTCTTTTGTTCTAATAACCATTCTACAGCAGATTTGTCGTCCTCCCATTTATAAGCCTGTAATTAAAAATTATTTTATTCAGAAAACTAATTCCTCAAACATAAATAATACCTTTGCATATTTAAATGTTAAAATACATCATTCAATGAGATTTTAATAGAGATATCATTTACTAAGGTGACAAAATTATATGTATTTCCTGTCTCCTGCCACAAAAATAGGTTGGTTTGTCTGAAAGTTTTGATAATTTATTTTAACTTCATCTATTTTTTTCTAATTAACAGCCAAAAGTCAAACATAAGGTCAATCAGGAGGCTAGAAACAAATATGTGTTTGATGTTGGCCTCATCAATCTTACCTGTTTCTTTCTGACTGAAAAGTTCTCCTGATGCCAGATATTCTCTATATTATAACACTATAATTCAGTGTGGAAAATCTTTAAATATAAAATTGGGCACTACTTTGTTTATATTACCTCCCCCTTGTGTTTATAACATTCAGTTTAATAAACCTTATTGCTATTTATTCCAATCAGGATAAGTTCTGAATGTATACAACTTTATCATGATGTCACAAACCAGTTGAAGCTTACTTGGGCCCTTTTAAAACTATGTATGGTGCATATATCATTTCAAAGAGGCATGTTTAAACTGTCGTAAACACTGCAAACACCGGTCTCACTAATTAGAGACAAGAAGAAAAAATTAGCAACAAGAAGACAAATTTAGCGACAACAAAGTTTATATACTATTAAAACAATATATTTATAGATTCAGTTGATTATTTGCTGTTTTATAAAGTTTCAATTTTTTTTATATTTAGTAGCATTACGTACGTGCAAGAGTCTTGTAATAAATTTTGTAAAAATTATTTTATTACATTATTTTAAAGTATGTATCAATCTGAACATTTAGTATCAATCCAATGTCCCATCTTTTAAATATATATATATTTATGTATATGGACCTTTTTAGTGAAATAAATAAAGATTAGATTGTCTTATAATTTGGTTTGAGCATTTGATATATCAACCATGCCAACATATTCTTCTACATATAATCGATTCATTGATTTGTACACTAAACTATAAACTGTAAATATATCTATTTAAACATATCCTCGATAAAAAAAAAACTCTTTCTAAAACAAATGAACAGATGTTTATTTTCTTCTCTCAGTATCATGATATAATGATAATTCGTGTATATTTAACACAAAACCACACACACACTGTAAAGCAGATCTATTTATTTCAAATAATCATTATTTGGATATCTTGACGCTTAATTTATTTTCTTGTCACTAAATTAATCTTCTTGATGCTTCTTGTCGCTAATTAGTGAGACCCCAAACACAGTATTTTTATGACTGATATGGGTATCCATCCATGACACAAAATCAGTACATGCACAACAAAAAAACACACAATAAGGAAAGGAACAGCGTTTTTTATTGCTGCTAAACTTGTTTGTTTTTGCAACGTGACCTCAACAGGAAGTAACTTTTTAGGATTGGACTGAATAGCAATAAGGTCTATAGTCTGTGTATGATAACCAATAACCAGCCTAAAAGAAAGTAAAATTAAATCAGAAAAGTGTCCAACATTTAATATTTTCATAGATGTTCTGTACTGAATTTTATGATGTGACAAACAATGATAAACCTACATTAATAGCTCCCTGGTCCTCCACAAACCACCGGCCTATCATAGACTTTAATTGTCCTTCACTCTGACTGTCTGTGATTTGACGAATCCTGTTCTTAACTTCATTCTCTAGTAATCTTCGTCTAACATGCCAATAGAAAAACTCTCTACTTCTGGACCATTCTAAAACATCCTAAAAAACAAAGGAGCACATAAAAAGCTAGCTCTTGGTGTAATTCTGAATCAAAATAACTAAATATATGAGATTGATTTGATTTTAAACATATTTTATTAATTAGGAGATGAAAAGGTTCGAGCAACAACCAAAGCCTATAAAAGCTCTCTTCACATTCCATGTACAAGGTACAGTCAAACCTGTATTAAGCAGCCATTCTTGGGAAGTATCAAAAGTGACCGCTCAAGAGAGGTGATCTTATAAAACAAAGTTCCAAAATTTTGTGATTTCGACATTACCTGCGGCCAGGATTGTGGCAAAGTGTTTTAGTGTTTTCAATTGCTAGAGTTATCTTACTGGCAGCAGTGAATTAAAAAAATGGTGGATTCTAGTGCTATAAAATTGAAGAAAACATTCGAAATATCTATATATTTGTGGAGAAATAAGTCCATGATATGGTTTTTAATGGAACCGGAAAGGTGTGGAACACAAGGCATTCACTCATTCACCTCCCATAGCGAGATCTCCTTTCCAAACAGGATGATTTTCATTTTGACTTCGATACGGAATGTATATATTTTTCGTCATGAATATTTAGTTAGTTAAAAATGTTAAAATGACAGTTGTTAATTAGTTGTGCTAATTAGGTGACCACTGACCGTGTAAGACAGGTGACCGCTGAAACAAGTTAAATTATATAGAAATAATGTTTGGAAGGGTCTGAAAGTGACTGTTAGAAGCAGGTGACCACTAAGGCAGGTTTGACTGTATTATGAATAGTAGAACTACAGAGGATTAAAGAATGCATTTCTGAATAGATTTAAGAATAGTAATGTTCATATCATATGAAAATAATCTGTTTCCAAATAGTAATAAACCAATTTCTCCAATTCTTACCCAATTTATCCTTTTCCTGACCTGTTGATTACTTTTATTCAATCAACGTGTGGTTCGTTTGATCTCAGTTCTTCATTGGTCAAAATTCGATTATGACGTCAAAGTTTTTTGCTTTCCTCTGAAATTCCTATTGTGACGTGATGAAAAAAGGCAACCTTGCCTGATGACTTCACATATTAAGAACACATCTTTTTGCAGATCATTCAAAAAGAAGGATTAAGCTTGTCTGCATATCGTCTAAAAATCATTAGAGAAACAGATTCCACCACCAAATCTCGAGCAATACAACATTTATCCACTCTCGACAGTTAAATTTAAAATATTTAAAATGCTTGGCAAGGCTCGCATTTTAATAAACAGCTGTGCCATGAGCGCATGATATGCCTGTCGTCTTGTGTGTGAACTTTTATGCAATAATCATAAATAGTTTCTGACATACGGCCTGACATGCGAAAAGCCCCTTTTTTTTTTACAAAAAACTCAATATCTCTAAAATAAAATTTTGAATCAAAACCAAAAAGTATACACATCATAAGATTAATGTAACTAAGAAGTGTGTAAAATTTTAAGCAATAATCATAAATCGTTTTTGAGATACCGCACGACATGTGAAAAACCCCTCCCCCTTTTTTTACAAAATACTCAATAACTCAAAAATAAAATTTTGAATCATCACCAAAAAGTATACAGATCTAAAGATTAATATAACTAAGAAGTATGTAAAGTTTTAAGCAATAATCATAAATTATTTTTGAGATACGGCGCGACATGTGAAAAAAACACACCCTTATTTTAGTTACAAAGTCCTGTAACTGAAAAAGTTGTAATCTTATTTTCACCAAAAAGTATACAGATTGTTTGACCATCATAAGAAACAACTATTTAAAGTTTCATGAAATTTGGATAAGTCGTTCTGATGTTACGGTGCGACATGTTTACGCCGGACAGACAGACGGACGGACGGACACCGGACATTTGTATACCATAATACGTCCCGTCAACAATTGACGGGCGTATAAAAATGAAAATTTAACTGTCTCCAGTGGATAAATATTGTTACACACTTGATGCAGTGGTAGAATCTATATATCTATGTCAACATTATGATCAACTATTGAGTGAAAGGAATCAAGTAAGATCTGTCTTACATCATTGTACATAGGGCATATAAAAAAGAAATGCTGGTTATCCTCAACAGGGCAATCACAATTTGAACAAATAGAAATCGTTATACATACACTAATAACTCCTTTCTCATCCATACGACCTGGTGTGTCATGGAGGTCAGCAAACACTACTGCCACCTGGTGGTACATTGGTAATAATAAATCCTTTCTCTTTTTCATCTTATCTTCCAAAGTTTTTATTTCTTCCTCTGATAATTCAGGACTGTTTAAATTCTCTACAATTTTCCTTGTTACAGGATCTATACGTTTCATTGTTGTTATCAAGTCTTTCTCTCGGAATTTGATTTCAACTGTGCCTTCTGGTTCAAGAACACCACCCCTACAAATATATAATCAAACGAGTATTGAATTTTACCATTTCTTCTAATAGAAATTATTATCAGCTATTTGTACATTTTACCTTTGATCTAACTGCCTAATGTTTTTAAGATCATTTATAGCACCTGATAATAGAAAATATGTCAAGTATCAGTGCAGCAACGTCACATGTTCATGTCTATCTGCATTATTTTATCAATGAAATGCATATGGATTCATTCATACAACCGAACAGCAATCACAACATTTTGTACAGGTAAAAATAGTTTACTTACTATTTCATCTTATTCCATATTCTCCACAAGAAGATATAAATATATTGTTAAAACAAATTGCAGATAAAAGGAATATTGGCATTAAATTTTTTGATACTGGCTTCATCAGCTAAAATATCAGCTCGACCTAGCGGGCTCGTTTAAAATTCTTGCCGATAAAAGTCTGTATCAAAAACAAAAATGCCATTATTCTATATGTAGTTGTTTGTATTCAAATATAAGAAAGTAAGACAAAGCTTGACCCAATGATGCATGGACAAATGGGCAGCACAAGTTTAATCCATAGCAGTGTTCAATCACAAGTGGTCTGATTTCTTATATTTAAATACAGCGATTAGTTAAACTTTTTATCATATAGAATGTCACACAGTTGTCAAAATAGCAGGTCATCACTTTGAGAAGATTGATTCAGATTTTGCAATTATTGTGAAGGAAGAAGCTGTTTTAAATGTACCCAGACTATTTATAGTTGATTTGTGACACACTTAATCAATTAGTTTTAAGTATCAAGGTGCCAATCTTCAGTTGGAAGTCTCCAGTGAGGGTTTGTTAAAAAATGGGGGAAGTCTTGCGCTTAAAAATAAATGAGTTCTTTGATATTATCAGAATTTATTACAATGTGAAATACATACATATCACCATCACTTGAGACTTCCAATTGAACATTTGTTACAAAGATTGATTTGTGTTTTTTCAATATTCATTGAGCAATATTCCTCTGGACATTACATACCTTGACAATTGATCAGCAAACATTTCCCTGTGGGTAGGATTAATTGATGTATGTACTACAACCCGAGCTCCAACCAATTAATTGTTATTGACAATCATATACATACCTTGACAACTGATCAGCAAAAATTTCCATGTGGGTAGGATTGATTGATGTATTTACTACAACCCTAGCTCCACCCCTTTATTGGTATTGATCATCAGATACATACCTTGACAATTGATCAGCAAACATTTCCATGTGGGTAGGATTGATTGATGGATCTACTACAACCCAAGCTCCACCCCTCAACTCTCCATTTGGTGGAATATAAATCATGATTGGCTGTTTGTATTCTACTAAAGCATCCACAATATAGGATCCAAACTTTAACACTTGGTCATACATGTCTAAAACAGAAATAATTAAATAAACATTTAAATAGACATTCTATTTGTTGTTATCAAAACTCAGTATGTTTTTTTCTATATAAAAATGAAGGAAATATTTGTGCTATTTCATTCCACAGACTAACTGCCAGTCAATTATGTTTCAAAGACCATTACCCCAGTTAATAGTTTTGCATTGTGTTGCTTGGACTTATTTGCATCAAAAGATAAAACACTGATATGTCAAAACAAGAAATCAATATTACAATACATCAGATAATTATTGTCATCATCTATGGATCCCAGGTTTTGATTATAGTAAATAAAATATTTATAAATTACACAAGAACAAGAAAAGGCATTCAATACATCATGTGCATATATATACATGTTTGTGACTACTTATTTTGCCATGTGATTTACTTTAGTTACTCAAACACTTTTTGGCTGGTTATGAGGGTGATAGCAAGTTTATTGTCCCTTCCAAGCTAACTATTGCCCTCGGCTTTGCCTTGGACAATAGTTGGCATCTTAGAGAAACAAACTTGCTATCACCCTCATAACCAGTCAATAAGTGTATGATATTTCCCTGCATTGTGTCCTTCAATGCATAGATATAGTGTGAACAACATCTAGCAAAATATTTTGCTAAAGCTAATGACTAGTAGTGAGGTGTGATCTTTTGCTCTGTGTTGTTGAGGATCATACTGTGACTTTCTTATGAAGAACAGCAATAAAAGTCTCATGTATATCCACCCTTTTCCTAAATAAAAATAATTTCTGTCTGTTAATATTCTGATTATACCATCATATAATTCTGAAAACTGGGTCTCTCACCCATGGATCTCTCTCACAACCACTTTCTTTTAGTCTTTTATCTGGCATACTTAAAAATACAAATTCATCAAGTTAAATTGAATTACAGGTATGGAATAAATTAAACTGATGTTACCTTTCATTCCACCAGAAAATCCTCTCCAGTTAGCAAATATCATTATTGGTAATTCCTCTCTGTTAAAATCTTTAAGGGCCTGCGCTGTTTTATAGGCAGAGTCTGGGAACCACACCTGTCCAGCTTGCTGTAAAATCTACAATGACAGAAAAGGGATTTAAAACTCCAATTACAGGATCTTACACAATATAAAATGGACGAGAAAATCCTTCAGCTAACAAGTCAGAAAATAATTAAAAAGATATTCTGTCTTGTAACAACAAAACAGAAAATTCATTAATTCACATTTAGTAAATGAAACTTAATGATTTGGCTATTGTAAACTGAATATCTGTCATAGAGGGATGTTTTGCATATTTTAAGTTGAATGAGTTACCTTGAGTTCTGAATCTAAATTGGCTGGATCTGCCGGTGTGGAAGTTTCCACAGTTCTCGTTTCTACGGCAACAACTCCCATAGGAATACCTCCTAACCTGCAACAAAAATGTTTTCATTAATCTTTAATGAGTGGATTTTATTTCTTCTGCTTTCCCCTTTTATTTGCTTTTTGAAATATGCTTGATGCAAGATTGTATTTAATGTGCTGAGCCCAGTTTGTCTAAGAAAAAATAGACATAAGTAAGATATGCAGATGACTAAATATTCCGTTGTTTGTAATGAATTTGTTTCACTGACAGTAAACATGTCATTAATTGATTACAGTTTATCATAACAGTCAAAATAATGGCTTGTTAAGTTATAACTGCAGCAAATGTATCCAATGATGGTTGTTCATCTCTGTATTGACTCATATTGTTAATCTATTTTCTTATGAAGCATACCTTGCCCTGCCAACAACCACTGTTTGTGCCCAGCCTGCCATTATCTCACTGAACGATCCTTGGTCAAAGAAACCAGACTGCCAAACTGTCTTCCGATCTGTATTGCATAAAAAAATCAAAAAATTTACTCATGGATTCGACATAAACAGTCATATAAAACAAATATGTCATTGTACCATCCTTTGTCATTAGGATAATTGGCATTCACTATTTTAATTATATAACTATTGCATGTATAAATATTAAACAGATACAAGTATAGAAGGGTTGATAGGACATACATACATTATATACTCCAGTTTTTGTGGAGCTAAAATCTCATGCACCAAAACTAATGTATGTTTTTTGCATAGTAACTGATAAATGTACAAGAAAATGTTATCATATTTTGTATATTTTATTATTTCTAAATTAGAAATGGTACAATAACTTAATCAAACTTTTTTCTCTTGAAAATTTAACAAGTAATATTCAGCATGACAAATATAAATAAACAAAGTGAATATCGAAAAAATGAAAAAATGAATACGCAGTCCAATGACACAAAAAACAAAGACATACTTTTAAATAGATATGTTTCAATTTAACACAAAATAGAATAATAAAATGCTCCGCAGGGCGCAGCTTGATACGACCGCATAGGTCGAACCCTGAACAGTTGGGGCAAGTATGGACACAACATTCAAGCTTGATACAGCTCTGAATTTGGATGTGGATTAAATATTTGACACAGCATAGGTTTCTGACACAGAATGAATGTGGTCTAAGAACTTAAAAATTTTAAATTGGACATTCACCTATTATGGTCCAATATCCAAAATCTAAATACATGGTTAGATTCGGCATATCAAAGAACCCCAAGAATTCAATTTTTGATGAAATCAAACAATGTTTAATTTTGGACCCTTTTGATCTCAATGTGGACAAAGTTGATAACGGGGCCCAAAAATCAAAAATCTAAATACATGGTTAGATTCAGCATATCAAAGAACCCAATATATTCAATTTTTGTTGAAATCAAACAAAGTTTAATTTTGGACCCCGATTTGGACCAACTTGAAAACTGGGCCCATAATCAAAAATCTAAATACATGTTTAGATTCAGCATATCAAAGAACCCTAAAAATTCAGTTTTTGTTAAAATCAAACTAAGTTTAATTTTGGACCCTTTGGACCTTTATGTAGACCAATTTGAAAACGGAACCAAAAATTAAGAATCTAAATACAGGGTTAGATTCGGCATATCAAAGAACCCCAATAATTCAATTTTTGATGAAATCAAACAAAGTTAAATTTTGGACCCTTTGGACCTCAATGTGGACCAATTTAAAAACGGGGCCCAAAATCCAAAAACTTAATACACGGTTAGATTCAGCATATTAAAGAACCCCAAGAATTCAAGAATAAAACCCCATTGAAATTGATCAAGAAATAAGCAATTTATACGAAGTATCTTCTTTTGCACAATACTGTGCAATTGAATATTTCTTGCTATTGCGCAATACTGTACAATTGACAATTTCTTGCTATTGCGCAATATTGTGCTATTGGATATTTCTTGCTATTGCGCAATACTGTGCAATTGAAGATTTCTTGCTATTGCGCAATACTGTGCAATTGAAGATTTCTTGCTATTGTGCAATACTGTGCAATTGAAAATTTCTTGCTATTGCACAATACTTATTATATAATAATTTACACATACTGTTTGGTGTGTATCTCCTACCATATCATTATTATTTGCTTTTAAATATAAATCAGAAATAACCAACGTAAAATGGAAAATTTTAAAAGAAAAAAAAAGGAAAAAAAGAAAAAAAAAGAAAAAAAAAAAAATCCCCCCCCCCCCAATTTTTTGAACCCCCTTATGATTCATCACCCCCAAACTCAATCCCAGCCTTCCCTTTGTGGTATGGTACCTTGCAGTACAATTTCAGAGAGATCCATACACTTGAACACAAGTTATTGTCTGGAAACTAGAAAAATGCTTATTTTTGGCCCCTTTTTGGCCCCCAATTCCTAAACGTTTCGGGCAATTACCCCCAAACTCAATTCCAGCTTTCCCTTTGATATGGAATCTTGTAGTACAATTTCAGAAATATCCAAACACTTACACACAAGTTATTGTCATGAAACTAGAAAAATGCTTGTTTTTTGCCCCTTTTTTTGGCCCCTAATTCCTAAAATTTTGAGGCAATTACCCCCAAAATCAATTACAGCCTTCCCTTTGTGATATGGAACATTGTGGTACAATGTCAGAGAGATCCATACACTTACACACAAGTTATTTATAAAAAAATGCTTACTTTTGGCCCCTTTTTGGCCCCTAATTCCTTAACTGTTGGTACCATAACCCCCAAAATCAATCCCAACCTTCCTTTCGTGGTATTGAACCCTATGGTAAAATTTCACGGAGATCTATTCACTTAAACTATAGTTAGAGTGCGAAAACCAATGTGTCTTCGGACGACGCCGGACGACGCCAGACGACGACGACGACGACGACGACGACGACACCAACGTCATACCAATATACGACCAAAAATTTTTTAATTTTTGCGGTCGTATAAAAACTTGAATAGCATCTCCATTTTATTATCCAACTAATGGAATTCAAACTTATTAACAATCCATAATAGAAGATTCAACTGTATCCACCTTAATGGACAGTCCATTAGAGCTAAGGTACAACAGTTACACACAAAGGAACAGTGTCTCACTACTTACATCCTCTAAGGGTTACACAATGGGATGGTACAATCTATTTATACACACCTGGATGAGGCCTTCCTGCTAACATCCACCTAGGATCATAGGGTGTCTTTGTAGGTACAAATTCTATATTTCTGTCTACAGGGTCATGTGATAAACTCATTAATGGTAAAGGACTGCCATGTCTCTGTAAACAGAAGAAGATATTAGCATCTTATATCAGGATAATTGTGAGAACTTACCAAAAATATTAAATATGTTTTCAATAAAATCATAAAGTTTTTTAGTTTTAGCATTTGTTCAGCATTCAAGTTAAAATAATTTAAAGTAAACTAAAACTTTTTTACTTATTTCAAAAAGTTAGTCCCCTTTCTCACATTTTCTTTGTTCATTCTTTATCAAATATATCTGTAAATCTATTTTTTTTTTTTCAGACAAAAACAATAAATATAAGTACTGTAAACACTTAGCTTATAAACACCATACACAGCTTACATGTATGTATCAATATTCAACAGCTAGGTTAGCAAAAACAATGAAAATTAAACAACAGTTCCTAACTTCTACGTCATATGGTGAAAAGTCTCATTGGCAATCATACCACATCTTCTTATTTTTATAATAATACATTTCTTTGTCATATATTTTGCTATTGTTATATTACCTCTGGCATATAAGACAAGTACTGTAATATTTGGACAACACCATCAAAGTCGTTAGCTACCACGTCATGTGACACTCCATTATTATACATGATCTGTACACCACCTAGCTGGTTGTTACTGGTGTATACTTCCTTACCCAAGACCTGCAAACACATCAAAGTGATTACCTACCATTTCAAGTGACATTCTTCAACAAGAATGCACACCCTCAAATGTCTAGCCTGTTTTACTGACCATTGATTTTATGTTGAAAGTCTTATAAAGATAAAGGTTTTACTACAAGTATCACATAAACTTAACATTTTTAAAGATCCATGACAATGAGGTCAAGGTCAGATAAATCCTATCAGACAGACATTGCTTATGGTAATGGTAAAAAGACCAAAACACAAAAACTTAACATTGACCAATGAACCATGAAAATGAGGTCAAGGTCAGATGAAACCTGCCAGACTGACATGAACACCTTACACTCATTCCATACACCAAATATAGTTGACCTACTGCTTATAGTATTTGAATAACTGACCAAAACACAAAAACTGAACATTGACCAATGAACCATGAAAATGAGGTCAAGTTCAGATGAAACCTGCCAGACTGACATGTACCCCTTACAATCATTCCATACACCACATATAGTGGACCTACTGCTTATAGTATCTGAAAAACAGACCTAATCACGTAACTTTAACCTTGATCAATGATCCATATAATGAGGTCAAGGTCAGGTGAACTCTGGTGTCTGACAGACATGTAGACGTTGCAAGGAACCCATATACCAAATATAGTTATCTTATTACTCATAATAAGTGAGAAATTCTCATGACAATAAACTATAATTTTTTTTTCATGCAGTCGCTGAACCATGAAAATGAGGTCTAGGACAATGGACATATGACGGACAGAAACTTCGTAATATATGGTATCTGCATACAAGGTATGAGGCCTCCAGGTCTTCTACCTTCTGAAATATAAAGCTTCATACAAATAGTTTCATTGCCACCACTGCCGCCATTGCCACTGGATAGTAATCCCTATGTCTCGCATACTGCGACTGTTGTTGCAGGCGAGACAAAAATGAGGTTTGATATAATTTTTAAATTTGTCAATAAATTCCATATAAAATATGGACAATCCATACAAGTAAACAGCTCTGCTGATGCCAAATTTTGTTTCAAAGGTGTTTAACTGATGGCAATGTTGTAATTGTACAAATCAGTAGTAGATCTATTACTCTTGCGTCTTTGATTAATCAATTGTTTATGTAAAAGGGACATATATGTAATAAATCCCATGTTTAAATCTAATCATATATAATGAATTGTTTAAATATGCTTAAGAACTCTAGACAGCTAATGTTAAATGTCAACTCATTTATTGTGTTGTTTAGTTGCTGTCTCATTGATATTTCTCTCACATTTCCTCATTTATTCATGGCTAAATAACTTACCTTATTAAGGGCACTAGCACCTGTCAGGATGATGTTAGAATTTTCTACTTGGATCGTTCTCTGTCCTAGTCTCACTAAATATGCACCTATACCAATAGCTCTACAAGTCACCTACAAAATATACACATATATTTTAAGAATAGTGTAAAGCAGTCAAAATATATAATTATTATTAGATGTATAACTATTGATTATAGGAAACTTTTCAAATATTTCATTGTCCATCATGAGGAATCAATAAATATTCTTTTATTTTACATAAAGAACAATAATTCCATACATGTCTTTCAGCCAAAAAATAAATGTTAAAGATTTAGTCATCCTACAATTGAATAATACATGTCAATGCAAAAATACAAAAATTTAAAAACTGTATATAACTGTAACCACGGCCATAAAAACTTTATCTTTAACTAAACTGATGTGAGTTAAGAATGTTTAATACAAGGCAGGAATACTATGCTCTTTTAACCAGAAATTATTCCAAAATTTGGAACCAAATGTGACTTAAAATTCTAAAAAACTGTAGTTTTTCTTTTACATTTAAAATAGGCTATTATACAGGAAAAAGAGATCAAGAAACATTTATAATATTTCGATTAGCATATAAAAAGGACATTACAGACTCTAAATGTAGATGACTATGTCAAAATAAAGATTAGCCTTTTTAACTTATTGGTTATCTTACCAGATTTATGGTAACAATTTCATCATAGGCTTTAGATGTCTCTCCAGCTATCATACCAGAACCTTTTAAATTCTCTACACCAAGTCCATCATCTCTTCCTGTTAAACATTGATAAGTTCATTAATTATTTCTGTTTTAAATACTATAGAAATGTTATCAAGTTAACCGTTATCAAATACATTAATAAATTGTTTAATAAATGACAAGCTTGTCAACTCAATAAATAAACCTGTTGAATTGTAATAATTACTCAAGAATTCCTGACAAAGATACATGTGCTATCTCCCTTTTACATTATAACCTCCTAAAACTGTTTTTGATTTTAAGAAGTCAATCATCTACAAGTCTTTACGTAGTCTATGGTATTACCCCAACACCAATTGTCAAAGAAATTGTAACTAAAAAAAATATTGTATCACTTTAATGTATATAAATTGTGAAAAGCTGTACAATACCACGTTCACCAACAGTAATTATGTGTACTAACTTACCTATGATGTCTGTAATTTTGTATCTAGATTCTCCTCCATCTTGTATTAACTCAGCCCTGACTGAGTTCATAGCACTCACTTTCTTAAAATCTTCTGGACTTAGATACAAATATTTGAACCCCTGAAAAATAAAATGTTCTACTATATATTGATGATGAGCTAAAGGTCAAAATACAACAGAAATATATGCACATAAATTTGTAAATTAGTGTCTCTCTTGAATGTTACTAATCATTAAATGTATTTGCCTAATTCCAACTTTCAGAAATAGTATTATTTATTTCCTTGCACATATTTCTATGCAAGGTTTAATAGATCTTTTGACAATGACAGTCTTAGATATGAAAATAAATGTGGAATGTGTCCATGGGACACAGATGATGCCCCCCGCTTGCATATCATATAAAGATATAATGGGACATAACTGAAGAACGGTAAAAGTGACGCTACCCAAATTTGTACTTGATCTGAGTTTTTTGGTAATAAGCATTGTGTATAAGTTTCATAACATTTGGTTGAGGCAAACTAAAGTTAGAGAACGGAAACGAAAAATTCAGCAATTTTTATGTTTATAAAGGGGCATAACTCAAGAACAGTAATAGCGACACCATCCAATTTCAAACTTGATCTGTATTAAGTAGTAATAAGCATTGTATAAAAGTTTCATAACATTTGGTTGAGGTAAACTAAAGTTAGAGCCCGGACACAAAATATTCAGCAATTTTTATGTTTATAAAGGGGCATAACTAAAGAACGGTAAAAGTGACGCTACCCAATTTTTAACTTGATCTGTATTATGTGGTAATGAGCATTGTGTATAAGTTTCATACCATTTGGTTGAGGCAAACTAACGTTAGAGAACAGAAACAAAAAACTCAGCAATTTTTATGTTTATAAAGGGGCATAACTCAAGAACCATTATTGTGACGACACCCAATTTCAAACTTGATCTGTGTTTTGTGGTAATAAGCATTGTGTATAAGTTTCATAACATTTGGTTGAGGCAAACTAAAGTTAGAGAACGGAAACCAACTTTGGGACGAAGGACGTACGTACAGACGGACAAGGGTAAAACTTAATGCCCCCTCCGCTACGGCAGGGGCATAAAAATTGATAAAGAATATTTCAATTTGTTTACAAAACAAATAAAGACACAAACTATGGATGGTAGATATTAATTCACATAAATATTTCAGGAAATTTGATTTATTTTAATAAATAAAGGATTTAAAAACTGAAAACAAATATGAGCATTACACTTAATTACATAATAAGCTGATAATTTTTTACACAAACATCGTGGTGATGTAACTGATAAAAATCACTCCAGCCCTTTTATATATAACAGTGGTCAGGGTTAGTAACATCTCAGGATTCGGTCAACTCATTATTGCAGAATATTCAATGAATATATATTTATCGTTTAATTAAATATATCGGGTAATGGGATATTTTTAGCTGACATTTTGGGTATCCAATTTCCCGGAGTCTACTGTATAACTTACAAAGATAATTTTTAAATCAAATTTTGACCTCCTTCTCCACATGTCCTGACCTATCAGGAAGAATATTATATTTCAAGGTCATTTAAAAGATGTGTAACCTTTGCATGACTTGACCTACCTTATCAGGGTCAGTGTTATCCTCCCATGCTACTTTAAATAGATGTTTGACCTCCTCTGCCAGACCTATCATGACCTACCTTATCAGGGTCAGTGTTATCCTCCCATGCTACTTTAAATAAATGTTTGACCTCCTCTGCCAGACCTATCATGACCTACCTTATCAGGGTCAGAGTTATCCTCCCATGCTACTTTAAATAGATGTTTGACCTCCTCTGCCAGACCTATCCTGGCTCCACTGTTAGCCGATATATAAATCCTGGGATATCCATGTGTTCTTGAATGCTCAGATGCTCTCTGTAAGAAAAGAAAAAAGAACTATTCATAGACAACTTTTAGATTCAGGTTAGTTGAAGAATGGTAATTTTTTCGGCAATGAGTGTCAATTTTAAGAACATCTGTTGAAAATGTGTTGAGTTTCCACTGCATTTTACTAATTTCATGCATTACAATAAAAATGGTATAATATTGACAGTTGAATGGGATTACCACAAAGACAAGCCTCATTCAGAAATCTGTATTTTTTTAGCCTTTTTTTTTTTTTACTATCTAGTAAGGGATCATAGATTTATTCTTACGAGGAAGCTCCGAGCATGCTTGGAGGATGCTCGGAGCTTTTTCAGTAGGCTCTTCTCTGCAGTTTATGTGAAAATAATTATCATGAACCATTAAGATGTCAATCAAATCTACACCACTTCTATAATAAGGAAAGTTGAGCATTATAGAGGAAGCTCAATTAACACCTGTGTAAACAACTGATCTATTCAAATACATTTTGCATGACATTTTACAAATTATAGAAAAGATAAGAAATTCTTCAACAGTACTGTGTAATGCTTGGAAAGAAATCTCAAGTCTCCACAAAAAAGTGAAAGTCATTTAACAAAAAATATACAATTATTATATTATTAATCATTTCTTTTTTTATAATAAAAAAAATTCTCAAATCTTATAATTAGATGATATGATTTAAATATAGTTTATATTATATAATATGCTACATAAAAGTTATCAAGACACAAACAACAGTCAGGGGGCGATACTAAACAAGTTATTTTTTTTAGTTACTTAATATATATTAATAGGTATTTTTTGTTTTTTAAAATTATTTGATATAAACTCAATAGTTATTTTAAATGTCAAAAGTGGACTAAATGTAGTTTTTAAGAATTTTTTCATCATTTCTTTAAGTAAAATTAAGTATTTATCCAACTTGAGATGAGTATAGAGAGATTACTTTAAAAATAATGACAAAAATATTACTTTTATAAATTATTTTATACATCTTCGAAAAACTAAGCATACTTACAATTACATGTATTTAAGGAACATATGTAATTGTTTTTGATAAAGATTTCAAATTATAAATAACTTCAAGTCTTAATTAAATCACAAAGTTCCATCCATTTATATTTGTTCAACTATAAGATTTTAAAGGAAAATGTTATTTTAATAGCCCCAAGAGACCAATCTATGACCAAGAAGTGTGGCATCAGAAAGGCAATTACCGGTAGTGTTTCAGGAGGATTTAAATAGTTTTATACTGCATGGGGAAAATAACCAGATGTGAAAATTTGTTAAAGCTTGTAAAACCTGTATGAATGGACACCTATAGAAATAATATTAACAGAAGTTACTTATTCATGATATATAAGTAATATTTGAAACAACCTTGTTTTCAATATAACTTGTATAAGTAATTTTGAAAATTACTTGTTTAAGTAATGCCCCTAACTATTAAAACAATGATAATTTTTTTTTTTTATAAAATAGCAAAGTTAGTTTTTTATAAAAAAAATTATGGCTACTCTAAGAAAGGTTGAGGAGGTAATACCACCATTGTTTTCCCTCTAGTACGTCTCACTTTAATTGTCATTTTTTTTATAATTGTGCAGATTTGGTTTTATTTTAAATAAAGAAGTGAAGTTTTATCCTGACCTGTACTTGAATGAAAATCTAATATAAAATTGTTTCCCCCTATCAGTCTTTGTTTAATTGGTATTTTTCCAAAAATATGTGCAGAATTTATCTATGTTTTAAATAAAGAAATACTTGACATGAGTAAAGTTTTTTCTTGTCCTGTACTATAGTAATAAAACAACATAATTTTTCAGTGCATATAAGAAAGAAGACATCACCAGAATTAACCAACCAAATTCTATCCTCTTTTTTTTTTCTCTGTTTACAAGCTTTAGTAGCCATGTCCCCTAAAATTGCAAAAATATTTTATATAAAAAACTAACTTTGCTATTTTATAAAAAAAAATACCATTGTTTAGTTAAGGGCATTACTTAAACTAGTAATTTTCAAAATAACCTATACAAGTTATATTGAAAACAAGGTTGTTTCAAATATTACTTATATATCATGAATAAGTAACTTCTGTTAATATTATTTCTATAGGTGTCCATTCATACAGGTTTTACAAGCTTTAACAAATTTTCACATCTGGTTATTTTCCCCATGCAGTATAAAACTATTTAAATCCTCCTGAAACACTAATTGCCTTTCTGATGCCACACTTCTTGGTCATAGATTGGTCTCTTGGGGCTATTAAAATAACATTTTCCTTCAAAATCTTAGAGATGAACAAATATAAATGGATGGAACTTTGTGATTTAATTAAGACTTGAAGTTATTTATAATTTGAAATATTTATCAAAAACAATTACATATGTTCCTTAAATAATTGTGCTTAGTTTTTCACTTAGTTTTTCGAAGATGTATAAAATAATTTATAAAAGTAATATTTTTGTCATTATTTTTAAAGTAATCTCTCTATACTCATCTCAAGTTGGATAAATACTTAATTTTACTTAATGAAATGATATAAAAATTCTTAAAAACTACATTTAGTCCACTTTTGACATTTAAAATAACAATTGAGATTATATCAAATAATTTAAAAAAACAAAAAATACCTATTAATATAAGTAACTAAAAAAAATAACTTGTTAAGTATCGCCCCCTGACTGTTGTTTGTGTCTTGATAACTTTTATGTAGCATATTATATAATATAAACTATATTTAAATCATATCATCTAATTATAAGATTTGAGAATTTTTTTTATTATAAAAAGAGAAATGATTATTTTAAAAATATAATAATTGTATATTTTTTGTTAAAGACTTTCACTTTTTGTGGAGACATGAGATTTCTTTCCAAGCATTACACAGTACTGTTGAAGAATTTCTAATCTATTCTATAGTTTTGTAAAATTTCAGGCAAAATGTATTTGAATAGATAAGATGTTTACACAGGTGTTAATTGAGCTTCCTCTATAATGCTCTACTTTCCTTATTATAGAAGTGGTGTAGATTTGATTGACATCTTAATGGATCATGATAATTATTTTCACATAAACTGCAGAGAAGAGCCTACTGAAAAAGCTCTGAGCATCCTCCGAGCATGCTCGGAGCTTCCTCATAAGAATAAATCTATGATCCCTAAAACAAGACCGATTCAAAGAGTAACTTTGTAATAGATGGAAAGTACTTTGAAAATAATCATACTATTTACCCCAAAAAATCATTCATGCATAATTTGAATAAAAAGGAATCCAATGCTATCATTTGTTGACTCAAGGTAGAAGACATAAGTTAATTCACCTTAAACAATACATCTTCTTGTGGTCCAAATGATCCAATCTTATATGTGATATCATTGCAAATAACAATAATCGTTCTACCACTGGGATATAATGGGGTCTTCAATGTCAACTGCCAGGCTACCATACCAACCTGTAACAAAAAAATTATCAATTAGCATGTTTTCAATTCTTACACAACTTTTGTTTATTTTTGTTCTTGATTTCCTGTATTCAAATCCTGTAAGAAATCAAACTAAACATACGCTAATTGTATGAAATTCTGTGAACCACAATACCCATTTGAAATGGAACTCAATAAATATTTATATTTTTACAGCCATCTTTTTTTTTAATAAGATGTTGCTCTAGGTGACCTTATTTTGATAGGAGGATGGCAGACTATAAGATGTATTCAATACAAAGTTAAATGATAATCTAATGATAGACAGGATGCACATCTCAAATACCGGTAAGGTTATATGCTGATTGATAAGTGTTTAATCTCCAGTGGCAAATATTACATGCATATCAAGATGAGAACATGAAAATGTGATATGTTTAAGAACACTACTGTATTCTAGACAGACACGCTTAGCTAGATGTTTGTAATATCATAGTTCACGAAATAATCGTCTGCAGATAGACGTGTCACTCTACAAGGAAACATTATTCTGAATCCGAGGTGACCAGTCTTTGATCTTACTTCTGAAAGCATGTGCTTAGCAGAGAACCAACAAGTACCAATTTTTTATGTCTTTAATTTGATCTAGACAGGGATAGAACTTAAGACATCCTTCAATCATGGCAAGCATGCTACCAAAGGACAACTGAGATGGTTGAAACAAGATAATACAGCCTTAATTTCAGAAAACTGGAGGCACCAAGAAAATTAGTTATACCTTCAATTTTCCTTTTCCCATATATTTATAAACACTGAAGCTCTAAACTTTTGAAAACCCTTTGAATACACGATTTTTCATTCTTCACATATTCAGTTGTTTTTGAGGTAACAAATGACATCAGAACAAATGTAGATTTTCTTCAGCACACAAGTTCTACTTGTTAATTTAACTTTATTGAACATATTTCACTTTTTAATTTTGTGTTCTTTTCATCAAAACCCAGTCTTTAATAAAAGTAGGACATATATTGCATTCTGTGGACTTCTGATAAACAAATGAATATTATACAGATTGCAACTTACATGAGTGTGATCACATGCCAATCTTATCCACGAAGTGGACATTTTAAAGATTTGCTGTTATTTCACTTACCTCATTTTGACCTGGTAGCCTGTTTTGCATCAGTAGGTTGCCTCTGTTATCTAACACCAGTTCTGTACAGGAGTAAGGATCCTCTGGTATATCACTCTCTTTTAACTTATGAAGCTGGATATATTCTTTCCATTGCTTCAGTAATGCCTGTTAAGAGAGTGCATCATTTTAAAAGGTTCGAGAGAGTGTATCATTTTAAAAGGTTCGAGAGAGAGCATCATTTTAAAAGGTTCTACTTTTTAATTGACTAATTGCTTCAAGTAATATATAGTTTGATATATTCAGCAAAATTCTTGTTCAAGCTTTTGTAAATAAAGATATGTCATACTGCCAACTAATCATTTGTTTTAAGGTGTTATAATAGAGTTAAAATCCGTTTAATAACCACTCGTCATTTCAAATCAATCTTAAAAGTTAATGAATGGTTCTTGCCTGTTTGAACATTTCTGGGAAATCATATACATATGTAGTCCCCGACTGCTGGGCCTGAAATCTCTTTAGTTGTAAATGGTCCTTTGTAACATATGGTGCACTGACTAACAGTCCATGTAGTGGTCCCTGTTTGGTCCCATAGGCCTTGAACATAATCTGTTAACATAAGAATATAAATAATATAATACTGTATTTCACTGTATTATCCTTTACAACAGAAACCATTCATGGGTTAACCCAATTTTTCCAATTAGTCAGAATTCAAACAATTGCTAGGTAATCAAAATCAATATTGCTCATGTGACTTTGTTTGAATTCAGTGGCTAATTTAGCAAGTTTTGGTTTCAACATCACAATTATTTTTTTTCAAATAGCTCAAGAATAGATTAAATTAGAAAAAAATGACCATTTGGAAGAACACTGATTGACTCATAAATGTCATATACCATGAAAAAGATCTTTTGTTGTATATTAAAAGTCTGGTAGGCATTTTTTACAATATCTTTTTTAAACATCCATTCGTTTTCTCTTTCCTCATCATGTTCATACAGTTTTCCTATTAAATAGTACAAGCATTAATCAAATACAATAGGATGTTTTACCATAAACGAAACCAAAATGTAATTCATGATAATTTATAATTAAAATACAAACTGTATGTGTGTGTGCAGATCATACTGTACAAATAAAATAACGCATTTCCATGACTAGAGTGATAATAACTGGTACCCACCTGACCTGTCCTAGAATCTGTTTCTTCCCTGTACAGACTGATATCTAAGTAGTATCCACTTTCATTTGTAAGGAACAATCTGATTGGTAGTCTCTGTGCTCCAGGTGAAAGTCTACAACAAATGTTATAGTAATGTATCTTCTCTTGGAAGTAACTTCCTCAAAATGATCATTACATTTTTGCTATAATAGCTTGAAACACAGAATTGCAAATGATGTGAAAATAAGATGGTTTAAAATAGGCTGTTAAAAGTTATCTTTCAAAAAGTATATATTTGACCGTTTGAAAATCATTCTTATTTTTTCCCTAACCTATTACTTTATTTGATAACTGATGGTAAATTTATGTTCAGTGTGAGACAGTATACCTGAAGGTAAACTTAAGTTTAGTGTGACAGTATACCTGATGACAAATTTAAGTTCTGCATGTAAAACTCTCATCTTCCAGAGCCTGGCACCATACCTCATTACCATACTTCTAACTGTCTCCTCTAACTGTGAGGGAAGAAAAATCAGATCTCATTCATATCTATTTTGACATGCAACTTTTTTTGACAGACATAGACTGAGTAAAAAAAAGTTTCACAACATTTTTAAATTAAAAAAACTTTAAATAAAATAAATGGAGAATGTGTCCATGGGACACAGATGATGCCCCTGCTTTCATATAACTTTATAAAGGGACATAACTCAAGAACGATAAAAGTGACGCCACCCAAATTCGAACTTGATCTGATGTGGTAATAAGCATTGTGTATAAGTTTCATAAGATTTGGTTGAGGCATACTAAAGTTAGAGAACAGAAACCAATTTCTGGACGTACATACATACGGATGTACAGACGTACAGACGGACAAGGGTAACACTTAATGTCCCCTCCGCTGTTTCAAATTTCAAAGTTGCAGAAATAATTCTTTAATAAATGTTCTTGTCAAGCAAAAATTGCACCTAATATTTTATTTTATTTTTATGATAATTTTATAATTATTGTTATGTACTGTAAATTCAGAAATTATTGCGTGCATTTATTATTGCGATTTTGTCATTTTAGACTAAAATGCGATTCTATTTTTTGCAATATTGAGAACAATCCTGTTTAATTCATATAAGATATTTCAAAAATGCGAGTTTAAATTATTGCGATTATAACCCTGTCGCATTTTTCGCAATAATAAAAATATCGCAATAATTTCTGAATTTACATTATATAATATAACTATAGCTTATTTTTAAAAGATAAGGTTAATTTGATTTGTTGCTTAACTTTTTTACTCAGTCTAGTTCTCTTGATATTCATATTCATTTCTACTTTTACATGATTTTAACATTCCAACTAACAAATAATATATTCCAAACTTTTCCACAATAATCTATAAAATGGGACAATGCATGATCTTCCAACTGGGTTTTTTTCCAGGAAAAATTAGATGCCACATAGCAAATATCATCACGTCACAATGTCCAATGACGCCTTTCCCCACGAATCACCCAAGATCAAATGGAGCAATTCATTCATAAAACCAAACTTGGAAACTAGTTTATAATTTTCATATGTACCATTTTGTTCCATTGTTAAAAGGCTAATTTTAATATTATTTGTGTAATAGACATTACAAGAACTTTAACTGTGACACCTGTTAACCGTTAAATAGTTATATTTTCTTAGCATCTGAATGAACTCTATAGAACTGTCACAATTAATTAGTGCTATTTATCTATGGCCATAAAGTCGCCACTGTAGAACACTTAAAGTTTCTGATCATTTTAATATGTTTAACATTCAAAGAAAAAGACTGATTTAATGTATATTCTGGTCAGTTTTAAGGTTGTTGCTCGATGTGAAAAGTTGGTTACATGTTTGCAATATATAAATATTGTATATGAACTCGATGTTGTCTTTTTAATTAATATTGAGGTGTAACATCCATACTATTATCAAACCTTTTTGTGCAGTTGCTTAGTACCAGCCACTCAGGGGCAAAGAAATCCTTTTTTTGCTTTTCTAATTTTGTAATAAATAGTCAATTCTAAGAAACTTACATATACATAACGCTTATAAAGTTAATTACAAGCGTTTTTGAAAAATGAAGAAATATTCTAAATTCTGATAAAAAATAATACTTTTACACATACAATATTGTTCTTGTTGAGGTAAACAGACAAAAATCTTTTTTTCTTGCAGAATTAAAGATAACGACAACTTATCAATCGTCTTCTTGCATTTGTTCTTAACCAAAATGAGTAATTTGTTAAGAAAATTCAGACATCCAATGGAGTGTCTCCCCCTTTAAAGTGATTCAAGGTGGATTCTATTGAGTTATGATACTTATAACAGACACTTAGAACCAAATTACCTTTCCTGGCTCTGTTAATGTCAATGTTGGAGCAAAGTTCAAAAACACATGATTACAATCTGTCTTCCTGGACTGAAAAAAAATTAAAAATTTGCTGTCAACACGATAATTTTATTTGTATACTTTATTATTTCTGAGGAAAACTGCAAAAATCGACTACACCAAATAAGATATGTTACTATTACAAGTTTTAAAAAGTACGAATTTCTTATCTCCTTTGAATCTGATTTTTCAAATTGACATATCCAATCTGCTGGGTTCCAAATAATTTGCCAATTATCCCATTTTGAAATACAATAATTTTGCATCAACTGCATATCTTCTTATGACAACTTCCTGGTTTGGAACAGTTTAAGATTTACAATAATACTTTAACAAATACAGTTGTTCTTATAAAATTACTGGGAAATATTTTGGGATCTATACTCACAGTAGGATGAGAGAATGCCACTTCCAGTGAATCCATGGCCTCTAACAAAGTTCTCTCTGCTTCATTCTGTAGAAACTCAAAGGAGGCTTCCTGTAATGTGTTATAATTATTACTAGTTACATTTATCAATAAAATGCTCAGCTGGGCGCAGATTGATACAACCGCAGAGGTCGAACCATGCAGTTGGGGCAAGTATGGACACAACATTCAAGCTTGATACAGCTCTGAATTTGGATTGTGATTTAATATTTGACACAGCATAGGTTTCTGACATAGAATGAATGTGGTCTAAGAACTTAAAAATTTTTAATTTACCTATTATAGTCCAATATCCAAAATCTAAATACATACACGGTTAGATTCTGCATATCAAAGAACCCCAAGAATTCAATTTTTGTTAAAATCAAACTAATTTTATTTTGGACCCTTTGGACCTTTGTAGACCAATTTGAAAACGGGACCAAAAATTAAGAATCTAAATACAAGGTTAGATTCAGCATATCAAAGAACCCCAATATTTCAATTTTTGATGAAATCAAACCTTATCATTATTATTCGCTTTTATATATAAATGAAAAATATCCAACTTAAAATGGAAAATTTTAAAGAAAAAAAAAGGAAAAAAGGAAAAAAAAAAAAAAAAAAGGAAAAAAAAAATCCCCCCCAATTTTTTGAACCCCCTTATGATTCATCACCCCCAAACTCAATCCCAGCTTTCCCTTTGTTGTATGGTACCTTGCAGTACAATTTCAGAGAGATCCATACAGTTGAACACAAGTTATTGTCTGGAAACTAGAAAAATGTTTGTTTTTTGGCCCCTTTTTGGCCCCAAATTCCTAAACGTTTAGGGCAATTACCCCCAAACTCAAACCCAGCTTTCCCTTTGTGATATGGAACCTTGTAGTACAATTTCATAAAGATCCATACACTTACACACAAGTTATTGTCCTGAAACTAGAAAAATGCTGGGTTTTTTGCCCTTTTATGGTCCCTAATTACTAAAGTTTTGAGGGAATTACCCCCAAAATCAATCCCAGCCTTCCCTTTGTGGTATGGTACCTTGCAGTACAGTTTCAGAGTGATCCATACATTTGAACACAAGTTATTGTCTGGAAACTAGAAAAATGCTTATTTTTTGCCTCTTTTTGGCCCCTTATTCCTAAACTTTTTGGGCAATTACCCCCAAACGCGATTCCAGCTTTCCCTTTGTGATATGGAACCTTGTAGTACAATTTCATAAAGATCCATACACTTACACACAAGTAATTGTCATGAAACTAGAAAAATGCTTGTTTTTTGCCCCTTTTTGGCCCCTAATTCCTAAAAGTTGGAGGCAATTACCCCCAAAATCAATCCCAACATTCCCTTTGTGATATGGAACCTTGTGATACAATGTCAGAGAGATCCATTCACTTACACACAAGTTATTGTCATGAAACTCGAAAAATGCTTGTTTTTTGCCCCTTTTTGGCCCCTAATTCCTAAAATTTGGAGGCAATTACCCCCAAAATCAATCCCAGCATTCCCTTTGTGATATGGAACCTTGTGGTACAATGTCAGAGAGATCCATACACTTACACACAAGTTATGTCTGGAAGTTACAAAAATGCTTATTTTTGGCCCCTTTTTGGCCCCTAATTCCTTAACTGTGGGTACCATAACCCCCAAAATCAATCCCCACCTTTCTTTTGTGGTATTGAACCTTATGGTAAAATTTCATTGAGATCCATTCACTTAAACTAAAGTAAGAGTGTGAAAACTAATGTGTCTTCCGACGACGACGACGACGACGACGACGACGAGCCAACGTCATACCAATATACGACCACAAAAATTTTTTTGCGGTCGTTTAAAAATGCTTGTTTTTTGCCCCTTTTTTGCCCCTTATTCCAAAATTTTTGAGGCAATTACCCCCAAAATCAATCCCAGCCTTCCCTTTGTGGTATGGTATCCTGCAGTACAATTTCAGAGAGATCCATACACTTGAACACAAGTTATTGTCTGGAAACTAGAAAAATGTGTTTTTTGGCCCCTTTTTGGCCCCTTATTCCTAAATGTTTAGGGCAATTACCCCCAAACTCAATTCCAGCTTTCCCTTTGTGATATGAAACCTTGTAGTACAATTTCTGAAAAATCCATACACTTACTTACAAGTTATTGTCATGAAACTAGAAAAATGCTTGTTTTTTGCCCCTTTTTTGCCCCTTATTCCAAAATTTTTGAGGCAATTACCCCCAAAATCAATCCCAGCCTTCCCTTTGTGGTATGGTACCTTGCAGTACAGTTTCAGAGAGATCCATACATTTGAACACAAGTAATTGTCTGGAAACTAGAAAAATGCTTATTTTTGGCCCCATTTTGGCCCCTTATTCCTAAACTTTTTGGGCAATTACCCCCAAACGCGATTCCAGCTTTCCCTTTGTGATATTGAACCTTGTAGTACAATTTCATAAAGATCCATACACTTACACACAAGTTATTGTCATGAAACTAGAAAAATGCTTGTTTTTTGCCCCTTTTTGGCCCCTAATTCCTAAAAGTTGGAGGCAATTACCCCCAAAATCAATCCCAGCATTCCCTTTGTGATATGGAACCTTGTGAAACAATGTCAGAGAGATCCATACACTTACACACAAGTTATTGTCATGAAACTAGAAAAATGCTTGTTTTTTGCCCCTTTTTAGCCCCTAATTCCTAAAATTTGGAGGCAATTACCCCAATATCAATCCCAGCATTCCCTTTGTGATATGGAACCTTGTGGTACAATGTCAGAGAGATCCATACACTTACACACAAGTTATGTCTGGAAGTTACAAAAATGCTTATTTTTGGCCCCTTTTTGGCCCCTAATTCCTTAACTGTGGGTGCGAAAACCAATGTATCTTCGGACGACGACGACGATGCCAACATCATACCAATATACGACCGCAAAATTTTTTTGCGGTCGTATAAAAACAAGAATATCTTTACATAGGACACCATGCCCTGCTCATACTATCACATTTCAATGTTCAGTGAACCTTTAAATCTGGGTCAAAACCCTAATTTAGGACATATTTTTTAGAAAGTTAATTTCATTATGACCATTTGTACCAAGTTTCAAATTAATGGTAACCTACTTTAAACCAAAACTTTGACCTGACATGGGATGGACAGATGCACAGGCTGGAAAACACAATAGCCCCAACTATCATTGGCAGGGCATAAAAAAATGCATTTTGATGTCAATAAGATATTAAATCAAAGAGCTGAAAGCTCTGAGGAAAAATGACGCCACTGTCTCTAGTATTGTGATATTTTTTATGCAAGTCTTGATTTTCACATACATGTACCGTAATAAGTTTAACATTGCAACATGTCTCGTAAGCATATTATTGATATTCGTATATGTGTCTGTTTTTTTCAGTACAAATGAATAGGTCAAGACTATCTGAATGATCTACAGTATCCAATTACTACTGGCTGTTTTTTTTTGTATAAATAAATAGGTCAAGACTACCGGAATGATCTACAATATCCAATGACTACTGGCTGTTCTTTTGTACTAATAAAAAGGTCAAGACTATTTGAATGATCTACAATATCCAATGACTACTGGCTGTTCTTTTGTACATATAAATAAAGACTGCCTGAATGATCTAAAGTATTCTAAGTAATGTGATTTTGTTCTTGCAATTACATTTTTCTAAATCAAGAATATAGACTACTAGTATCCTTTTCAAACCAAATGATTATGAAGAGCCTGTTGTTAGCAAGCTCTTATACCCCACATACTCATTAAATAAGTTACTAGTGACCTAGTTATTTCTGTTACTTGAAGCAAATTATATTTCTGTATATTTAGACAATAGTATAATATTGTTTTACTAGTTTTATTTCACCTTGAAGATTAGACAAATAGGGATACTCCTTCGATTTTTTATTTCATGTCAGTCAGGTCGCTTTATATGAAATTTGAAACCACTTCTCTGCCATATTGTTATTTTATAACAACTCTGCCCTTGACCATGTTGACCCATGTAATTGATATTCATTCTTTAACCATATATCATAGTCAGTTAGTATTTAATTTTGCACTCCCACTCCACCTTTCATGTCTTTCAGGTCAAATGTCTGTCTCCATTTAAGTTAATGACATTGAACAATCATTGTATTAAACACAATTTCAATAGTGATAATGCTGTTCTCGTGGGTCACCATATATTCAACTTGGGTAGCATTCCAGTTATTGAAATTTGTGTCAGATTAGAACAATGATCTAGATCTTTAGTAATGGATCTTATAATTTAATATGGAGCCATAGTATGGGACCCCTACACGGTAACAAAAAAAAACAAGCTTAAAAGGATACAATGTCAAGCGGCAAAATTTATCACCAGAGATTACAAGTCAAAAGAGGATGGACGGGATACGTCTCTAAAATGCTTGCTGAACTGGAACTACAGCAAGATCTCCAGACAAGACGAACAAAGCGTTGAAGCCAGAAGTTAATATTTATGTAAAAAGTAGTTGAGGGGCTGATTCCCGCTATTGAACCATACTGTCATTCTATAATATCATTGCGTAAGTATTTCTGTATTGGCCTTGTTATTGGTCCATGTCTTGGGTGTTTTGGTCTGAGGCGAAGCGGAAGGCCAGCCCAATACTGCTGGCCGAGGACCAATAATAAGGCCAATACAGAAATACACGTAATAGTATCTTTATTAATTAACTACAGTGTTACAATATTTTTTTTTATTTCATTTCACAAGAGATAAACATTTTTACCTTGAAGTGGAACTATCCAAATGTCAGTTTCCTTTTAAAAGATGCAATATCTAATGATTCCGTGCCGTTTGACTGCTGGCCGAGAACCAATAATAAGGCCAATACAGAAATACACGTAATAGTATCTTTATTAATTAACTGCAGTGTTACAATATTTTTTTATTTCATTTCACAAGAGATAAACATTTTTACCTTGAAGTGGAACTATCCAAATCTCAGTTTCTTTTTATAAGATGCAATATCTAATGATTCGGTGCCGTTTGAAGTATCTTCAGCCTTTTCTCATCTGATGAATTTTTCTACCCTTTCCAGTCACTATAAAGTGTTACAACTTTAATTTAGACACAACACATAAATAGTAATTGGAAAGGTACTGCCATTGCATGTGTAATGCAAATATATTTTTAAAAAAAATAATGTAAGAGTTGAAATTGATACAACTATCCATAAGCCAATTGACCAAAGAACGAAGATTTGCACAATTACAGAATGCATATGCCTGGTTCGGGTTTAAAAATAAACGACCGTTTAAATACAAAACATGAGAAGCGACAGTAAACAGTAAATATCGATTTGTACCAATGACATGATGAAATTATGAGGTCGTCAAGAAATGAACTTTGTGTCTAAATTGTGATAATTTACTCGTTCCCCAAACCTGAAATAATCCCATCGTCTACTTTCAAAATGCTTTTTAAATGAATGGGACCGTCTTTAACCTAAAATATATGCCATACTGAACGTTTCAGCTTGTTTATGGTGAGTCAACATGCGTCTTACAAACAACTGTTTACTTTCAGTTTGAGTTTATCGTGACTTACGATCTAAAAACTAGAGACGTTCCGAAATCCTGTTTTGTAAACAAAGATTCATACGCACCGCGTGGGTATAACCGTATTACTAATTTCCGATTTTTAAAATCTTCGTAAATCTGGATAAAGACCAGTTTCTATCCAATGGATATCAAAATGATTCCGATTTTCACTTTTTTTAATGATTGTAAAGTTGAAATGGCATGAAAGGCTGACATTATTTAGGAGAACTATTTTGTCTAGCGTTTGCTGATCATTGGAGGGTAAAAAGTCCAACACCATAACAAAACGGATCTATTTATCATGTACACATACCGATTGTTTACGGTTGTAAGACATGTGCATAAAAGTGAAAGCTCGAATAAATATGAAAAATATAACAAAGGGATAGCTCCAAATACCATTTAATAACAAAAAAAATATGGACAGGTCAAGATATCTTTTTGGTAAATAAAATAAAGTATGTAAACTGGTTTCCGTCCGACTACAACACTTTGTTCGAGTGTAGCGGAATACAAGCAGATTCCTGCTAGTATGTAAAATAGTAAATATGAAACCGAGTGCGGTAGGCGGAGGCAATAATCGACTTCCGTTAGTTCTGGTCAATGGTATCGGAAACATGCCGCTGATAGCGTCATTTTCCAATAATTTGTTGGTTTGATAGAGATAAATACGATAAATTTTATTCATATCTTTCTATATCAGCTACCAGCTACCAGCTACTAAACTAATTTTATATGACTAGTATTCAGATTGAAAGGCGATCTTTACTGATTGATAAACATACAATGAATTTTAGGAAAGAAATTACCTTGGTTACAAGATCTGAGTGTCGTATAATAGCTCTGACAAAAAATCTGTAGTCTGTGACCTCCTGACCTTTAGCAACCTGAACAAAATGTAAATATCATGTATTGTATAAGTTAAACTATAATTTGTCTGAAATTCAAAATGAAACAAATGTGAATAGAACAGTAATATGTATATGTTTTACAGACTGTGTTTGGAACCATTTCCTGTATACTGGAGAATATGATATTATTTTTTTTACTAAATCACCTTTCTATGATTTAATACAACTTTTCACTTCTAAACTAGTATAATAATCAAATCACCTTTCTATGATTTAATACAACTTTTCACTTCTAAACTAGTATAATTATCAAATCACCATTATATGATATTTTGTTCTAATTCTACATTGGCTTGAACAAAAATGTGAGGGTCTCTTGTCTTCAGTTTATATTCCTTTGCTGAAATATATTTCATAATGTAAATTTTTAATGTTGTTCTGTGTTTTGGCAATTATCATGATACAAGAAAGATTGACACTATCTCAGATATTTTTTGACAGGTCACCAGTTAAAATACTAAATTTTGACAACATATTGCCTACAAAGCACTGTAGAAAAGTATTCAACAACAAACTTCTTTAGGCCATGGGAATACAGTATGAAAGATGGCATTCTGAGGGTCAGACATGATCAACATAAAGCAGTCTCTTTGTTCAGTACAGAGACCAGTTTCAAGCTCAAGAAGAGGAATGAGGTACATGTAGTTTGCCCTACCTAAACAGTTGATATCAAATGAAATCCTTGGCAATAATAATGTTCTTTAAAATTCAACCTCTATTGTACAAAAATATTGTATCTCACGAGATGCAGTGGTCAAATATTTACAAACATAATAATCATCTCTGCATACTGTAAATTCAGAAATTTTTACAGGCATTTATTATTGCGATTTTCTTAAGAATGGAGAAAAATGCAAGACTTAATTATTGTGAATTCAGGAAAATCTACATACGAATGTATGTATCAGATATCTGAATGCGAGTTCTAATTATTGCGATACTCATCTAGTCGCAATAATTAAAACCTCGCAATAATTTCTGAATTGACAGTATTCAAATAGAGTTCTAGCTGCTTAACGTAAAGATACATGTAACAAGTAAAACTGTGAGCTACTGCTCACTGATAATACCCCCGCCATAATATTTTGGTAAACAGGAAGTTGTTGAGTGATGAATCTGAAATCGCATCACACAGTAAAGCTGACTTATATAAACCCTGAAACCAAATTTCAGAAATCCTTGTGAAGTAGTTCCTGAGAAAAATGTGACGAAAATTTTCAACTTGGCTATCATGTGTAAAATAATACAAGTGTTCGGTAAACAGGCAGTTGTTAAGTGATGAATCTGAAAACGCATCACACGGTGTAACTTACTTATATAAACACTGAAACCAAATTTCAGAAATCCTTGTCAAATAGTTCCTGAGAAAAATGTGACGAAAATTTTCAACTTGGCTATCATGTGTAAAATAATACAAGTGTTCGGTAAACAGGAAGTTGTTGAGTGATGAATCTGAAAACATATCACACGGTGTAACTTACTTATATAAACCCTGAAACAAAATTTCAGAAATCCTTGTCAAGTAGTTCCTGAGAAGAATGCGACAAAAATTTTCAACTTGGCTATCATGCGACGAAAATTTTCAACTTGGCTATCATGTGTAAAATAATACAAGCGTTCGGTAAACAGGCAGTTGTTAAGTGATGAATCTGAAAACGCATCACACAGTGTAACTTACTTATATAAACACTGAAACCAAATTTCAGAAATCCTTGTCAAGTAGTTCCTGAGAAAAATGTGACGAAAATTTTCAACTTGGCTATCATGTGTAAAATAATACAAGTGTTCGGTAAACAGGAAGTTGTTGAGTGATGAATCTGAAAACAAATCACACGGTGTAACTTACTTATATAAACCCTGAAACCAAATTTCAGAAATCCTTGTCAAGCAGTTCTGCTGAGAAAAATATGACAAAAATATTCATGGGACGGACGGATGGACTGATGGAATGACGGAAGGACAGACAGAGGTAAAACAGTATACCCCCCTTTTTGAAAGCAGGGGTATAAATATTGCAAATAACTTCTCATACTTTATTGGTATTAAAGTTAAAAAAAAAAAAAAAACGTGATTTGTGCCAAAATTTGCCAGCTTCTTTTGCAGCTTTATAAAAGTCAAACATCAAATGTCATACCTTAGCTTTACCAAGATATAAATGCATCTTGTGATTAGAAACAGGAATAGCCTCTAAATCAAAGTTTCTCATTCTGTTAATCTCCAACTGAAAAGCTAAAGCTGGTTCTAAGTGACGGTAAATTGAGTCTTCCGAAAACTGAAAAATAAATATGTTTACATAATTAATGACTCTTCAATTCAAATGTTTTGTTGTAGTTGTCAATTATATTTTCTCATCATGATTTACATTGTTTTGAATTTTCCTTTGGTATCTTTCTCCTCTCTTTTACCAGTAAAAAAAATAATGAATACTCTGCTTTAAAAATGGATTAAATAGTTTATAAAACTAATTTCTATAAAATAAATTGCAGAGGTAGTTTTTACTCATTTTTAGGGAACAATGAATATCTTAAACAGAGGTTTAATGTTACATTTCTCAAAGTTCAAATATTCACCCTCAAAAGATAATATGATCATCTATTTAATAAACCTGGCTAAAAAATTTCTTAAGCATTGATATACTTACATTGAATTTGGCTCTGTAAGTGAAATATTTTGGAAATTTTTTCTGAAAGTGAAAAAGAAAATAACTCTTAATAATATAAGATACAACACAAACCTTTAAGGTAGATCAACTGTGTACTGCCATCTTGGATTGTAAAATAGCAGTACACAATTGGTCTAGTTCTTTGCTTAAATCTGCAAATATCGAGACAGACTGGCAATTATTGTGTAAGACTGTTCGTTTAAATAAAGAAAAATAAGTGATTTATTGTATTATTCAGACTGTTTTAACAAATACTAAATATTTGTTTTTGTTCTATTCAATTTTTCAACTTAGCCATGTAAGGGGAGATAACTATTATAGTAAACATTTTTTACTTGTAGCAAGAAAAACAAGTTTGGAGACACCATTTTTTCTTTTTATTTTCTAAAGGCATATTATAAAACCTATCTTCTCATTGTTCCTTTCAAAATGCTCATTGATTTCTTTTTATTCACAAAAAAGTGTTTTTCATGAATAATCTATGAAAAATTGGGCAATTTAGGACGACTTGTAGCTTGAAAAAGCTTATGAAAGCTTATTATTATATTTTTAAAATAAATGGAGAATGTGTCAATGGGCCACAGATGCCCCTTGTAAAAACACACCAGTCAACTTCCACATACAGATGCAGGATTCACGTAATTAAGACTGTTTTGTGATTATAAGCATAAGTTTCATAACATTTGGTTGAGGCAAACTAAAGAAATGATAGATTTAGCAATTTTTCCATTTATAAAGGGGCATAACTAATGAACGGTAAAAGTGACGCCACCCCATTTTAAACTTGATCTGTGCTTTGTGGTAATATGCATTGTGTATAAGTTTTATAATATTTGGTTGAGGCAAACTAAAGTTAGAGAACATTTTTTTGGGGGACGAACAGACGGGGACAGACGGGACGGACGTACATGGATAACACTTAATGCCCCCTCCGTTATGGCGGGGGCATAAAAAGCATGGCAAAATCTCCATTTTGGCAAAGTATAAGAAAATTCTATCTGAGGACATATATACCGATGATCCACCTTAAAAAGAAATTGTTGATATTTTGTTTTGTCTATTTTTTTTTACTTTTTTTATATAAAGTTGTAACAATATCATGCATAGTGTGCCCCCATCATTTACACAACCAATGAACATAAAGTACATGAACTGAGGACCTAAGAATTACTTTGACAGTACAACTCAATACATACATTATCTAGCTCTTTAACAAATAATGATCATTCAGTATCTAAAAGGAAAGTTAAGATGGACAAAACATTTCATGTTCAAGGGTTAAATAAAATTTCAAATGCAAAACTCACCATTCTACTTGTGCCACAGTATAACAAAATGTGATAGTTCCTTTACCTTAGATGATATAATTACCTTAGATGATATATTTACCTTAGATGATATAATTACCTTAGATGATATAATTACCTTAGATGATATAATTACCTTAGATGATATATTTACCTTAGATGATATATTTACCTTAGATGATATATTTACCTTAGATGATATAATTACCTTAGATGATATAATTACCTTAGATGATATAATTACCTTATACCTTAGATGATATATTTACCTTAGATGATATATTTACCTTAGATGATATAATTACCTTAGATGATATATTTACCTTAGATGATATATTTACCTTAGATGATATAATTACCTTAGATGATATATTTACCTTAGATGATATATTTACCTTAGATGATATAATTACCTTAGATGATATATTTACCTTAGATGATATATTTACCTTAGATGATATAATTACCTTAGATGATATATTTACCTTAGATGATATATTTACCTTAGATGATATAATTACCTTAGATGATATATTTACCTTAGATGATATATTTACCTTTATAGATGATATATTTACCTTAGATGATATATTTACCTTAGATGATATATTTACCTTAGATGATATAATTACCTTAGATGATATAATTACCTTAGATGATATATTTACCTTAGATGATATATTTACCTTAGATGATATATTTACCTTTATAGATGATATATTTACCTTAGATGATATATTTACCTTAGATGATATATTTACCTTAGATGATATATTTATTACCTTAGATGATATAATTACCTTAGATGATATAATTACCTTAGATGATATATTTACCTTAGATGATATATTTACCTTAGATGATATAAAGAATGTAATCCTTCTAATGCCTCTCTCATTCATCATTTCTCTCTAAAAATACAAGATGTATACCAAATATGTTATTTTCAAATATTTAAACAAAAAGCATAACTAAATCTGCTCAAAGCTTTAGTAGTGGGAATGTTGATACTAACATTCAGCCATTTATTTGCTTGGATCTATTTTACCATGGACACTTTATCACATCTTATAACTTGGTACTTGAACTTCTAGTAAGACACTGTTCTCTGACTTTTCCTTTTATTTCTAACATTTTAAGCTTTTCTTTGCAATTTGTTTTACTTTGTCATTTGTGAACTTCAGTTCACTACAACAAGTGTTTGCCCTATAAGTTACATCATAAGTTTATCATTTAACAAAAATACATCTTACAGTAATATTTTCCTATGAAATGTGAAATATAACATAAAATGTTTTAAATGAGTGATCATTGTTATTACCTTTGATTTACAGAAGTTCTCAAACATGGTGGACAGTACGTTATCTTCATAGACCTCTGATGATCTGATAGCCACATTAATGATATGAATAGGTTCATCTACATCTGACAGACTCTGTAAATGTGTAAAATATAACAATGTCAATGATTTAATACACATTGTATTTAATTTTTATACAATAAATAAATAATATCCATACATTGTCTCAGACTATATAATTTATTTGTATTTGGCCTAGAACCAGGTAGAAATGTGATGCTTGCTGATAACTTGTATCCTGTTTCATGGTTAGAACAAATCAAAGTTATATCAAGGGTATATGGTTATTACCTTTACACTACAATGTTCAAAAATAATTTGATGAACATCTTGAATTCTGGACATGCAGAGAAGAAGTAAAAATTCTGTGAAAATGTATTGACATGTAATGTCACTAAATACTTTCTACAGAAACATATTGTTCACTTCACAAACAAGGTTTTATAAGGTCAGTGATTGTATATCACAAATGTGGATACAGTAAATACAATTTGTCATTTCAATAAACATATTATTAGTTACAATTATAAATCTAGCCTGACATCATCAATTATTGGACTTAAAAAAGTATTCACATAAAACGAAAAAAAAGTATTTCATAGAGAAATAAATGGAGAATGTGTTCATGGGACACAGACGATTCCCCCGCTTGCATATAACGTTATAAAGGGACATAACTCTAGAACAGTAAAAGTGACGCAACCCAAATTCGAACTAGATCTGTGTTTTGTGGTAATAAGCATTGAGTATAAGTTTCATAACATTTGGTTGAGGCTAACTAAAGTTAGAGAACGGAAACGAAAAATTCAGCAATTTTTCCATTTGTAAAGGGCATAACTCTAGAACGGTTAAAGTGATGCCACCAAAATTCATTTTTGAATGTTAAGACAGACAAGGGTAACACTTAATGCCCCTACCATAAAAAGTTCTCACTTTACTACGGACTACCTACATGTATTGAAATTGTATCTTCTCCTTTTGTGGGAGGAGATCCTATATCTGTGAACAAGTTAGGACTGTCTGAAGGGCTACCATCCATGGAAAACCTCTCCATTATCTTGTCAAATTTACTGGAAAAAGTTTAAGAATCATTAAACATCATATTTCAAGGATATTTCATGCATGATAATCAACAACAGTGTACATGTTAATTCTATCAGTTATAAGACTTTCTTTAACGAATATTTTTTTTGTGATTTAGTGCAGATAAGTTATCTTTAAAAACATATCCTTACAATTCAGGATCTAAAAATTACTGTGGGTTTAATTTACATGGTGTACTCTATAAATTATTAGATACTTTTAATTTCAATGTGAAATTACACAATTTCATGCAAATTTGTTTTACTTTCAAATTTTTAAATTGAAATAATATTGATTGTCTAGTGATTTTTTGTGTGTGGAATTGTAATTATCAACTGTTCACTGGTCCAAATGCCCTATGAACAATTCAGCACTTTTTCAAACTGATGATTGTAGGCATGAAATAATGGAATTATACATGATCAAACAAGCAATCCTACTTATCAAAGTCCTCTAGAGAATTAAATGATGCCATGATTCCTGTCCTCTGACATACTGGTGTATCATGTAACTGGTCAATGTGGGCCGCAGTAGGGTCATCCTTTATCTCGGTCATCTTATCGGAACTATCAAACCTCATTACCATCATTCTGAAACATTACAACACTCAAAATGACAAGGAACTCTTCATTTTGTTTTTTTTTAAACTGGTTAAAGATCCAATACCACATTAATAAAATAAAATTAAGAAGAAATTTCAATTCAAAATATCTGGTCAACATTTTCTGGAAGAGAAACATTCAAATTAATACATTTAAAGATCACTAATTCCTCTGCTTGAGATTTCATTTTGTCAATTAAAAATAAAGACAATCCATTGTAAGTGAAGAAAGCAGTGTAAGGAAAAGATGTCATCTCCAAAAATAACCAACTAAGATCCAAAATCAAGCTTGTTATGTTATAGAGGACAATTTTATAAGACTTAGTCCTCATTGCAGATAAAATTTCTGACTTTAAACATTCACAGGATAAGTAAGCAAACATAGGCAAATCTAAGCTTACACTATTCCGGGGAACATGATCACTTTTTGAGACTAGAAAGGAAAATTGTTTGTAATAACATTCCATTGATGTCTTTTGTCAAACAAAAAGTTTTAAATTATCAGAAATTAAAATTGAGGTCTCTCCTCCAGACAATGTTCTGCCTTGTTTATGCCTTAACTATATCCTAAATGTATCAATATACAACTAACTTTATACAATCTATCTTTAATATAAGTTTTAATATGATATAACAATTGAAAAAGGGAAAAAAGATGAACAGAATTTGTTAGTTAAAGGAATTTTCTTTTTTATAATCAAATAAAAATTTGATTCCAATCACCAATAAAAAGTCCAATGGAATAGTGTTAGTTTTAATGCATATTTCAAGAAAATCAAATATACGAGATTGCTACATAAGATATATGAGAAACTGTTAGATGCTTATATCAAAATTACTCATATCAAAAAAGCTCTAAACAACTTTATCTCAGTTTGAGAACCAGTTACTGCAAGAAATTCAGTTTTTCTCAAATTACTCAAGGGGAACAAATTCTTTCACCATACAAACAATTACCCAAAGTTTGGTTTAACATTGTAGACTAGTACTTTAATTCATTAAAGCCAATTTGTGTGAGAAATTTTATAGGTACTATGACCAGTTACTGTCACTTTTGATTTTGTCATTAAATGATAGAATTCACATTTAACTGGGACATTAATGATGCATTTTCCTTTTGTGTAGCAAAAAGAGTAGAAGCTATGTCTATTGAACAAAACACATCTTCATTCTGACCATTTAATTTGGGAAATTTCTACAGTCACTTTCCTGTTCAGAATGTGTACTTTATGTCACTTGAAGAAATCCCCTACTTTAACTGTATTAAAGAGACTTACAGACTTCAATTTTGAAATCTATACATCTTTTTCATTTTTTTTTAAAGAAATTGTATATCATATAGCAAGGCTAGATATTAGTTTGTCTTAAAACAGTTAGTTTTCCACAATCTAGGACGTGATTAAAGACCAAACAGCCTCTTAATTTCTACCAGTGATTTTTTCTTAAAATTTTGAGCAAAGGTATTTCATGATTTCGGAAATAAAATATAAAAAATTGGGGGTCACTGACTTCGTTTCGTCACTATAGCAACCACAATTTTGTTTTTTTACCGGAATAAGAACATTATTTGTTTGTTATTTAAAATTTCAAATAATACCAAACCTAGGAGCATAATTTTTTTTTCACATTAAACAGTAGATTTGTATTTTTCAATTTAAGATTCTAGAGTTAAAGATTCTTGGTGATTTGATCTTAAAAAGTATGATTTATTTCATTCCCGTCATAAATAATACATAAGAAAGAAAAAAGTTTCCAGTATTAAAAAATATCCACCAGTGATTTCTGCTTAAAAATTTCAAGAAAGAAAGTGCTTTGTGTTCTCTTTCATTTAAAGACCCCAAAACTATATGTCACCGACCTTTCAAAAAAGTTATGAGTAATTTTCATGTTTTTTTCTCATTTGTGCTTAAGTAAAGAGTTGTCTTTCTATAGAACACTATAAAATGAAATACACATTCAAATTTCCAATGATAGCAACAATATACACCTACTTTATTATCTATAATACAAGAGATCACATTTATGCATAGGGTATTTGTCAAATCTCATTCTGTTGCCTTACTAAACCGAGAATCTCAGTTTTAAAAATAAGCTTTCAGAAACACCTCCAGTGGAATGTAATCACCTTCTACTCCTCTATAAAAAAGAAAGTTTGGGTTTCCCTCCCTCTCTTTGACAGAATTATTGAAAATAAAAAATTGAAAGACGACACTGACTAACTTATAGACTATTAGTAGTTTTGTTACATGTTGAAGGCCGTACAGTTTACTTCTATGTCATCTGGTCTCTGGTGGAGAGTTGTCTCATTGGCAATCATACTACATCTTCTTATTTTTATACTAGACTATAGAGTGTTGATGGACGGACTAGTATATACCACACAACGTTCCAACTTAGTAGGGCGTATAAAACTATTCCAACTTATTTGTAGATTCATAATTTCTGAATATTAAAATCTAAGGAACTTGAAATGATAGGTAGAATTAGATAATTAATACTAAAATGTAACATGTATATGGCCTAATATAAAATACGATTAATGTTATTATTCTTTCCTGGGTCTTGAATACAGTAAATACAAAGTACAAATAAGCTGGAAAAGACGTCTAGTTGAGAATTTAACAATTTTTGTTTGAACAGAAAGAACTAATTTTCAGTTGGAAACTATAGAGTATTTCTCAAAACAGAATAAATGTAAAAGATTATAGTCTTATGAATTTAAATGTCCTTTCGGAAATTAAAAAAAATTACAACGTATCGAAATTTGTTTTGAATCTTTCCAGTCATTGTAGCTTCTTAAAAGTGACATTTAATGTTAATTTTATCACAGAGCAATTTTTTTCTAATAAGTTATTAAATAACAGTTTTGTTTAATAAACCTTAAATTTTGCCTTAACCATTAGCGAGAGCAAAGATTTATATATATGGTATGATACATGGCGAGAGCAAGCGAAATCTTTATAGTTTTTTCCCTTAAGACAATTTTAAATGATACCAATATTCGGTAATGGAAAAATACAATGCATCTGTTTTTGTTTTTAAAAGATTTTGTCAATTTACTAGTATAAATAAAATTGAACTTCATTACAAGATCGAACAATGTTTTATGGGAATCAGGTAAAGTCAAAATTGGTGCCAGTAGATCGAAACTACTAGAACTATTTTTGTTGGCCTAAACTTTTAAAAGCTCAATTGTGCAAATCACAAAAGTTAAAATTCTAAACGTTAGTATTTTGTGTTCTTTTTTGTTTGATTTTTACTAAATATTTGTGGCTGCTAAATTTCATTTTTCTTGACAAAACATATTTTGACGCGTACATCATATTGGAATCAGTGAAATACGGGATATGGGATGTTCTTATCTGCCGCATTTTGCAGAGCTGGACAAAACAACATAGAGCTTTCATGTCACAATCAAGTTGCGTTAGCTAATGCGCATAAACAATAGTCTGTTTGGTCTTTAAGCAATGACGTCATGTCCCCACATGAGTACCTTTCCACATTCAATTAACAGAAATTTAGACATATTCCAATCTCAATCGGATCAAACAAAACAGAGTTTTTACAAATGAAGTAAACATATTTGTCTAAAGCAGTACATTGTTTTTGTGCAATGCCTCCATTATTAAACAAGAGTGCACACGCTGAAATGTCTCGCCTTCTTTACTAATCATTGATATTATGTTGATAGTCCTAAATATAAAGCTTTATTACAACTGTCACATAAACTTAACATTAACCAAGTAAACTAAACATTGACCAATGAACCATGAAAATGAGGTCAAGGTCAGATGAACCATGCTAGGCAGGCATGTACAGCTAACAATTCTTCCATACAACAAATATAGTTGACCTATTGCTTATAGTTTAAGAAAAACAGACGAAAACACAAAAACTTAACACTGAGCAATGAACCTTGAAAATGAGGTCAAGGTCAAATAAAACCTGCGTGACTGACATATAGATCATAAAATATTTCCATACACAGATATTTCCAAATATAGTTGAACTATTGCATATAGTATTAGAAAAAAAGACCAAAACTCAAAAACTTAACTTTGACCACTGAACCATGAAAATGAGGTCAAGGTAAGATGACACCTGCCAGCTAGACATGTACACCTTACAATCATTCCATACACCAAATATAGCTGACCTATTGCATGCAGTATTAGAAAAAAAGACCAAAACTCAAAAACTTAACTTTGACCACTGAACCATGAAAATGAGGTCAAGGTCAGATGACACCTGCCAGCTAGACATGTACACCTTACAATCATTCCATACACCAAATATAGTAGACCTATTGCATACAGTATAAGAAAAACAGACCAAAACACAAAAACTTAACTATAACCACTGAACCATGAAAATGAGGTCAAGGTCAGATGACACCTGCCAGTTGGACATGTACACCTTACAGTCCTTCCATACACCGAATATACTAGACCTATTGCTTATAGTATCTGAGATATGGACTTGACCACCAAAACTTAACCTTGTTCACTGATCCATGAAATGAGGTCGAGGTCAAGTGAAAACTGTCTGACGGGCATGAGGACCTTGCAAGGTACGCACATACCAAATAAAGTTATCCTATTACTTATAATAAGAGAGAATTTAACATTACAAAAAATCTGAACTTTTTTTTCAAGTAGTCACTGAACCATGAAAATGAGGTCAAGGACATTGGACATGTGACTGACGGAAACTTCGTAACATGAGGCATCCATATACAAAGTATGAAGCATCCAGGTCTTCCATCTTCTAAAATATAAAGCTTTTAAGAAGTTAGCTAACGCCGCCGCCGCCGCCGCCGGATCGCTATCCCTATGTCGAGCTTTCTGCGACAAAAGTCGCAGGCTCGACAATAAAATGACAGGTGATGGTAACTGCTAACTAAGCCAGACAGGAGAACCCTTTTTGCAAGTTTCATTTGATTTTGGCATTTTTCATGAAAGAAAAGATATTCAAAATTTCTTTAAAGCAATCACAATACACACTAGAAAATTCACATTCTAAAGTATTCATTTCAAATCTTTTGGATAACAGCTGCAGATAACTAGCTGATGCACAAAGTTGATTTTCATATCAATAACAGCAACAAACTTTATAGCAGTGCATGAGAATAAAGTGTTGATTTTCCTCCACAATGCTTTTCTTACCTTGATAATGCAGCCATATCTCTAGTAAAAGTAGCATGCCATTAACATAAATGCTGATGAGATTAACTTATTATATTGGTGCATATATATAGTTACCATCAAATTGTTAACCTTATAAAAAAGGAAATGTGGTATGATTGCAAATGAGACAAATAGGCACCAGTCCAAATGACGTGAACTTGTCAGAGAGATTAGTTTAGTAGTTCTTTATGATTAATTGAGTACCAACTATCTTACATTTCCAAACTGTAAACATCCCCTGTACATATACACATTGTAATATCAATCTTTATCCAATGATATCAATTACTTTTCTCATATGCAGAATTATTTACACACAATTCTGTATTCTAGCATTTTAAAACTAGTTAACTGCTGACCAAGTCTGATCTTCACATTTAATAAATTCTCCTTCATAGTGAGAAATAAATAAATACAATGACCTTTATTCCACAATTATTATTGATAAGTTTAACAATAACTACAATACATATCAAACAGATTAAAGCTAATATAGATTCTGAACTAAATTAACAAGTAAACTGAGCATGCAAATGTACAACAGAACATCCACTTTATATACAACAAGTTTCCAAACTAATGAGTAGCCACATCCGTATACTGATAGCCACGTCGGTATACTGATAGCCACATCTGTATGCTGATAGCCACATCATGCAGGTTATTGTATTACATGCATAGTTCAGATGAGTGATCATGACATCATAAAAGACAGATTGTAGATTGCACGGTCATAAGAATTGTCTGCATATCAATTACACTGTCAGTCAATATAGACAGATTTTAGATTGCGTTGTCATAAAGAACTGGCTGTATATTAATTACAGTCAGTCATTATAGACAGATTGTAGATTACATGGTCATAAAGAACTTGCTGTATATTAAGTACACTGTCAGTCATTATAGACAGACTGTAGATTGCCCAGCCATAAAGAATTGCCTGTATAGTAATTACACTGTCAGTCATTATAGACAGACTGTAGATTGCACGGTCATAAAGAATTGTCTGTATATTAATTACACTGTCAGTCACTATAGACAGACTGTAGATTGCACTGTCATAAAGAACTGTCTGTATATTATTTACACTGTCAGTCATTATAAACAAACTGTAGATTACACAGTCATAAAGAATTGTCTGTATATTAATTACACTGTCAGTCATTAAAGACAGATTGTAGATTACACAGTCATAAAGAATTGTCTGTATATTAATTACACTGTCAGTCATTAAAGACAGATTGTAGATTATACTGTCATAAAGAATTGTCTGTATATTAATTACACTGTCAGTCATTAAAGACAGATTGTAGATTACACAGTCATAAAGAATTGTCTGTATATTAATTACACTGTCAGTCATTAAAGACAGATAGTAGATTACACAGTCATAGAGAATTGCCTGTGTATTAATTACACAGTTAGTCATTAAAGACAGATTGTAGATTGCATGGTCATAAAGAATTGTCTGTGTATTAATTACACTGTCAATCATTATAGACAGACTGTAGATTGCATGGTCATAAAGAACTGGCTGTATATCAATTACACTGTCAGTCATTATAGACGGACTGTAGATTGCATGGTCATAAAGAACTGCATGTATATTAATTACACTGTCAGTCATTATAGACAGACTGTAGATTACATGGTCATAAAGAACTGGATGTATATCAATTACACTGTCAGTCATTATAAACAAACTGTAGATTACACAGTCATAAAGAATTGTCTGTATATTAATTACACTGTCAGTCATTAAAGACAGATTGTAGATTATACTGTCATAAAGAATTGTCTGTATATTAATTACACTGTCAGTCATTAAAGACAGATTGTAGATTACACAGTCATAAAGAATTGTCTGTATATTAATTACACTGTCAGTCATTAAAGACAGATAGTAGATTACACAGTCATAGAGAATTGCCTGTGTATTAATTACACAGTTAGTCATTAAAGACAGATTGTAGATTGCATGGTCATAAAGAATTGTCTGTGTATTAATTACACTGTCAATCATTATAGACAGACTGTAGATTGCATGGTCATAAAGAACTGGCTGTATATCAATTACACTGTCAGTCATTATAGACGGACTGTAGATTGCATGGTCATAAAGAACTGCATGTATATTAATTACACTGTCAGTCATTATAGACAGACTGTAGATTACATGGTCATAAAGAACTGGATGTATATCAATTACACTGTCAGTCATTATAAACAAACTGTAGATTACACAGTCATAAAGAATTGTCTGTATATTAATTACACTGTCAGTCATTAAAGACAGATTGTAGATTACACAGTCATAAAGAATTGTCTGTATATTAATTACACTGTCAGTCATTAAAGACAGATTGTAGATTACACTGTCATAAAGAATTGTCTGTATATTAATTACACTGTCAGTCATTAAAGACAGATTGTAGATTACACAGTCATAAAGAATTGTCTGTATATTAATTACACTGTCAGTCATTAAAGACAGATAGTAGATTACACAGTCATAAAGAATTGCCTGTGTATTAATTACACAGTTAGTCATTAAAGACAGATTGTAGATTGCATGGTCATAAAGAATTGTCTGTGTATTAATTACACTGTCAATCATTAAAGACAGACTGTAGATTGCATGGTCATAAAGAACTGGCTGTATATCAATTACACTGTCAGTCATTATAGACGGACTGTAGATTGCATGGTCATAAAGAACTGGCTGTATATCAATTACACTGTCAGTCATTGTAGACAGACTGTAGATTACATGGTCATAAAGAACTGGATGTATATCAATTACACTGTCAGTCATTATAGACGGACTGTAGATTGCATGGTCATAAAGAACTGTCTGTATATCAATAACACTGTCATATTTTATTTTTTTTATCTAATATGTAGCTAGTACCCCTTTAAAAAACTTGCCAATTCAAAATTTACTGAGATGCCATATGATTTGGGTTTAGTTTAAGTTTGAGTACGTTAATTTCAAAGAACTATGTTCATAAGGGACATCCCCTTCAATTTCATGAAGAATTTTAACTTCATTGACAGTTATCTTAGAACATTTTAATAAAAATGAAAAACCCTAAAAATAAATTCCTAATTTGTTTCATTTCTTATTCACAGGAAACAAAATGAAAAATGAATTTGATGAAATTAATTTAGCAATTAATGAAAGCAACATAAAGGATCTACTCATGCAAGACAATTTTCCTTTAAAACTTACAAATAACTCCATTTCATGTATAAATGCCATTAATTTAAACCCAATACAGTATTTATACTTTATAGTATATCCTATGAACTACAATATTTCCATTCACAATAATTATATATCTAAACATATTTCTGCTTTAAGACAGACATTGTATTTATCATATTCTTATCAGAAAGCTCCCTATTTTCTACTGCCCCCTTCTGTCCCCCCTTTTTCAACACTCCTTAGGGCTAAATTATAACTAAAAAAATTAAAGGGGAAAAGACTTACTGTAATGAATACAAAGACCCCTTTCAATAAATGTATCAAACTGGATTGTGTTTCAATCAAGAAAATTCCAAATATATGTGAAGTAACAGAATAACCTATGTTGAAAAACAACAAGAAATGGAAAATCCTTTAAAGAATACTTTAAGTAACAGATAGATCTGATTGAGAAAAATCAAGTGGAATATTGCTTCAAAAAAATAATAAACATACAAAGCAGCCATGCTAAGGAAAAGTGTTTTGCCTGAACAAACCCTGACAGAGAAGTACAAACCTAGCTGGTGGATAAAAGTATCCCTCAAATAATAAACTGTCATGTCTGAAATGTTTTAGTAAAGTTAGTAGGAGACATTTTAATGCAACATGCTGTATCTCCATATAAAAATATATAGTCTGTGTTGATGTGGCTCATGTTTCTAATCAGGCATATTATTTTGAATCAAACAAAGAATTTTTGGAATTTGAGAGCTCCTAAATAAAAAGCTAGGTAAATATTCTTGTACATATCAGCTACAGTAGGGCTTAAACATTGTAACTTAAACTTCCTGAGTATAGAATAGCTAAAAGTAAGTATTCTAGAAATAACAAGTCTCTTCTTAGCATTAGTATAGAATGTGCATAATGGTAGATTACATAAATTAAAAAGATAATCTTAGAACATCAGTTTGTTGGATTCAAAAATAAGTTCTGCTGGTTTTTTTTTTAGCAATTTTCCTTCTAAAGAGAAAGTGTGTATCACATCTAAAATGACAGAAATATACAGATCTATACATCTTTTATCTTTAAATCATTTGAAAAATATGTTTTGTTTGGAAATATTATCTCTGGATTTTTGTACGAGTTGAAAGACCTAAAAACATAAGTTGTAGAATAAATAGCAAAAGTTATAAAATCTGTTTTGTCAGAGATGTACTTTGAATTCATGAGTTTAAAAAATATAAAGTTTGCTTAACACGGAAAAAGGATTGGAGAGGTGAAACAGTGAATTTTGATAAAATATCACAATAAATAGAATTTGTGGGGAGCTATTTATAGACTACATAACTTCCTTGTTATCTAGATACTGAAGTTCTAAAACATTATGTAAATATTTGAAATTTACTATGCTTAAACAAATCAGTACAATGTGCATATAAATCAATACCAATACTCAAGAACTACTAACCTGTTAGGATGAGATCGGGGAAGTAAAAACTTAAACTCAACTATACATAAATCCTCATCTATTTCACAATGCTGTACACAATTTACATCATAGGCAATGTAAGCTCTTCTTATATACACCTAAAATATACACATCATAGGTAATGTAAGCTCTTCTTATATACACCTAAAATATACACACCTTTGAATAAGCTTATTCTTAAAAGTTATCAATTTAACATGGTAGTGAAATCTTTAAATACTGTCTTTATTGGTACTTACAATGATTTTGTTAAAAAAAAATTAAAACAAAACTAAATATATATTGCTATTTATTTACAGTTATGAGAACTCAATATCCTTCATCCTGTCAATACTGGTCACTTATATTTTGGTATTGCACAAGGAAATGCATTTCTCAGACTGTTTAAGACGACTTTACACTAAATCTGTTGGATGTGTCCTGATTGATATGTAAGTCTGGGGAACATGATTTATTTTTTAGTTGTAATTGACCTTGAACTAGCTTTCAGTAACTGTGACTACTCTTATTTCGATGCTTGATGTCTATTGTTTTATGTTAGTTATTTTTGTGCCTCATACCAATCTTTTGAGATAAGGTCAAGGAACAGTAAATGGGCTATGTCACAGATTTTGCTAAAATTTTGTATACAACCTTGGACTATTACTGAAATTTGAAAAATAATGCATTTATCTCTTTAAATATTATCTGAAATTTTACTGATTGAATTCTTTCAAAATAGGTGAACATTTGTAAAGAAAGCATATAAAATCGGTGAAAATCTTCTTAAATTTGTCTTAAAATCATCAAATCTCTAATTTCTAATACATAGATTTTTCTTAAAAAACTATATGTTGTTGATACATAAATTTCCGTTTTAATGATATAAAATAATTATATGGTCACTGACTTCGTTTTTTGTCCAATAATCAATCTGTTACCAAGGTGGTAGTGAAAAAAATAAAAAATTAACGATTTACGGCCTGCAAGTCGATGATGTTATGATTATTTCGACGTTTTGTGGTATTTTTTCGCATAGAACACCACTTTGAATGATGCTTACCGTAAAAACGAATTCGATGACCCTATCATTATTTTACAATTATTTCACGTGTTGAGGAATCATTCGATGCTTTAAGTGGAGCAAAGTTATTTTCCACAGTGGATTTTCCCAGTGGTTACAAATCATGGCAATGCATGAAGATGATATCGAGAAAACTGCTTTTACAACACCGCTTGGAATTACAAATATCTTCGAATGCTGTTCGGATCATGCAATGCAACTGCAACATTCCAGCATTTGATGCAACATTGTTTTTCGAGAAAAGATTCTTAACATTTTATCAGTCTTCTTAGTAACATTATTATAAACTATGCAAAAATAGAAGAGAATTTGAAATAATAAGAAGTTGTTTCCAAAAGATTAAGAGTACATGGTTTAAAGCTCAATCATTCAAAATGACATTTTTTCAAACGAGAAGTCCACTATTTGGGTCACATTGTTTCAGATGAAGGAATTCATACAGATCCAGATAAGATAAGTGCAGTTCAAGATTTTGAAATACCTAAAATGGTGAGGAAGTTAAAGTTTTTCTTGGGTTTAGGAAATATTATCGTCGATTTACACAGGGATTCAGCAAAATTGCTGCACCTTTGCATAAATTGGCTGAAAAATTTACTCCTCATTCATGAAAATTAATTGGCAAGGAATGAAATAGTGATTGTCAGACTGCTTTCGATACCCTGAAAGAACACTTAGTAACCACTCCAATATTAAGTTATGTAAGTATGCAAGGATTGGGTGCAGCTTTATCTCAATTTTATTATGTCAATTGACAATTGCGTTTTGTTGCATACACAAGTTGTGCCTTCAGACCAAATGAGTGTAAAATGGACAATTATAGTAGAAATTTATAGATTATTAGCTTGGATCAAAATTTACAGTGTACACAGAAAATAGCCATTGTGTTATCTACAAACATCAAAACTAAGTGCACATGAACAAAAATGGTTGTCAAAATTAGCAGTTTTTAATTCTGATGTGAAATATAGACAAGCCAAATATAAAAACAATGCAGATGCTTGATCACTTACGCACGATAAAATATTAATTGAACTTCCAAAATCTGAGGATGTTAAAACACCTTTGTAACACTTCCTGCTTTAGATAGACTTAAATTAAAGAAAGAGATTGGGTTGGTTAATTAACTGAAATATACAAAAAAGTATGTAAAATATTTGATTTTGTCTCGCTATAGGCTATTGGACAAACTACTTTTCTCAATAGTTGTTTTATCTGGAACTGGCTAGTTTGACCTTGTATTTTGATTATTTATACTGTGATTTTTATCTCTATTATCTATGAGGCATAGGTCAGGTCAAAAGCAACATTATGAGCCGTAGCCAGCAGTAAAAGATCTGTCATTGCCTTCTTTAGTATAATTAATAAACTATTTAAAAGTTTGTATTCAATTCATCAAAAGCTGGTTATTCCTTTTATTCCACCTGGTCACACATATTTGGTGAAAATGGCTACATCAGTCAGATAACTAAGCCACCAATTTGTATAGTGTTATGTTTAATATTCTGTAGAATAAGAGTACTTTAGTAATTTAGTCTCAACTGTCCTAATCTACCAGTAACACATAATTTATTCCTAATAAATCTACATTTACTTACTTCTAAAGCTGCCATTCTGACAAGGGAGTTAGAATGCCAGAAAAAATCCTGTAGAACATCATAGATTGCAGTCTCAGCATAAATTATTTTCTGAAACAAAAACATAGCTCTACATCATTCTGGTTTGATTAAATAATCAATGTTATACATATGTGTACATCTGACCATTTTAAAATTGCACATTCACTTAACTGCCGTTGTATCAAACTTTTTCTACCAAAATTTCAGAATGGCTGAAACATTATTGTATTCCTTTTATTTTGTTCCATAAAAATACACTTACTTCTTCCACTTCTCAGGAAAAATTAATAGAGACATAATTTTGATTGTTTGTTTTAGTTCAAATTAGAATATTCATTCCCTTTTTTGCTTTTAAATTTCCTTTTACCGAAAAAAAACAACATTGTACATAATGTGTATCATCAAATCTATACATTTAATTCTAGAACTTGCACCTTTTAACCCTAAATAGCATAGTAGTCATTGAAAATATATCATTGATGATATTAACAGCTGAGACCTCATTCACTTAATCATCGAAAGCTAAAACTTATAATATTTTAATTCAAATTATTTATAAACAAAAGAACTTTTACAGAGCAAGCTCACATTCCCCACATAATTAACATGGGACATTAAAACTCTTCCATTATTACAGTTTTTATGGTTTCGTATCTTAAATCCTGAAATGACTAAATAAAACTTAAATCTAGAAATACCCCTTGTTAATTCTATATTTCCTTTTTCTGAACAGAATAGGCATGCACATGCTGGTTTTTTTATTCAACTTTGACACCACAAAATCATCAGAAAACACTTTAAGAAATTGAAAACAACACGTTTAATAATTTCGTGCGTCCGAAGCGCTTTTTTGCCTTGTGGTTGTATTTAACAGTCTAATACATGTACAAATGTATTATCTATACATGCAATCTGATACAGATACATATTCTGTGTCCACCCTTTGCTTACAAGGATCTGAAGACAATTCTATCAAAATTTGATGGGTTATGGTTATTTCAGACCAACAGCCTGAACAATAAAATGGTATCATCAATTACTCTGTGCATGGCAGGCTATACTAAAGTGTCTTCTGACCCCATACATTTATTTGTTGACCAGCCCTTGATAAAAAAAAGCTATGCTTTCTAAAAATTCAGAAAATAGAAAGATAACATACAAATCTTTTAACAGAAACACAACTATTTAAAATAAAATTTTCTGTTAGAATAAATATACAGTAAAATTCAATCAAAATATATTTGTGAAAATTTTACTTATGATAAATTAAAACAATCGTAGCTGAGATTTGATTTTTTTGTAATTTATCTTTAATGACAAATAACAGCCAAATAAAATTTGACAATGTAAAATTTCACTCATGATAAATTATCACTGTCTGTGATTTGAACTGTTTGTCATCTAATTTAATAAAAAGAGAAAGTAGCAGGCAGAAAAAAAAACGTTTTTTTAATTAGGTTTTACTGTATATATAAAAACTGAACAAATAAACTGATTACATCATATATGTCATTGTTTTGCAGTAGATTCGTACACTGAAATTAAAAGTATGATTCACTTGAAGTAGAGTAACAAGAAAACTGTAATAGAAACCTATAGTAAATATTGTGTACTGAGCATTCCTTGTCTGGTTGTATCTTTTGGTTGTTGTCAGACTGATTAAGAAATAATTCATGGCAGCCATAGATTTGTTTTCATTTTCGTACAAATAATGTGGGTGTAAAGCGGAACAGCCAATTTTGTATAAAAGTAGATATACTGTGATTATACTGGTTGACAATATATAGGTAGTCATATTAGAATTTTTATGTTGACCCAACATTTATTTTTATATTGATATACATTTTCACAGTATTCGAGGTAAATTTTTGTTTTTTTAAAAGTCTTTTGAGGTCACATATGAGTTTCATAAATGGAGAAAAAAAAGAACTTGCTAAATAATCTTGATTTTGAGACAAATATATCTTTCAATGAGTTAATTTAACTATTTACTGCATCTTCCTACATCAAAATTATTTGTTTTCAAATATCTTCCTGCTAAATTTTCACAATAACGAGTCTACAACAGTCTAATTACAAGTTTGAAAAAAACTTTAAATTTGAAAGTACTGTATGAATACCTGTAAGTTATCAGGGTTGTATTCTGGACCATACATGTCAATAGCGGACAGGAAAATCGACTCCATCTGATTGTGTCTCAGTTCATAAGGTGGAAGATGTGCTGCTATCAGTACCTACAAAATACAGAATAAAAATTAAATTAGTTTATAACATCAAGTTTTATAAGTATTGGTGGTTCACTCAAAAACTCTCTGCCTTCTTGGGTAGAAATCAAGATTGAATGGAATTATCAAAATTATATTAAAATAAAAAATTATGTTTGTTGATACAATATAAAAACATGTGAGCCATCTTCTAGGTGTCCAATACAGATTTTCTATAAAGTTACAGAGAAGATTAATAAAAGTAACAAAACATACAAATGCACAACTAAACCACTTAAAGTAACTGTATTGTTTCATTTCATTTAAGGTAAATTACTTGTATACGCCATCTTGGAATGTAAAATAGTAGTACACAGTCGGTCTAGTTCTTTGCTTCAATCTGCTAGTTTTGAGACAGATTGGCAATTAATGTGTATGACTGTTTATTGAAATAAAGAGAAAAATAAGTGATTTATTGCATTATTATCACTCTTTTAACAAATACCAAATATTTGTTTTGTTCCAAGCAATTTATCAGCTTATCTATTTAAGGGGAGATAACTCTTATAGGTAATGTTTATAAAGGAATTTATAAAGGAATGTTAATGAAATTTTCATTTTTTAATTATAGCAAAAAGACAAGTTTTGGTGACATCATTTTTTTTTTATTACAAATTTTTAAAGCATATCATAAAACCTATCTTCTCATATTCTATTTCAAAATTCTATCTCATAGATTTCTTTTATTTACAAAAAAAGTGCTTTTTCATGAATAATCTATGAATTTTGCATGACCTGAGCCTTGAAAAATAGCATGGTGACCCATAATTTTTATCATATTTATTTTTAAAGCATGGTTAATTCTACATTTTGGCAAAGTATAAGAAAATTATAGTTGTTGATATATTTACAGACCACTAGTCATACTCCTTCATACAGTCCAAACTAAAATAAAATTCTCTTTATTTTTCTTTTCTTTGTTCACCATCTTCTCTAGCCAAGGGTTACGATCCAGTCCTCTTCTATCCACCTTTGGCAGATTAAGCCAACATTTGTTATCACAATGTTGCGCTTTCTACCGGTAGATAAAAGTCACACCTATTCCTACTACATCATTCTTGACCAATGGCAACACTTGAACTCTCTTTAGTGTGGAGGTGTAAAAATGGTTGTGTCTAGTATTTACAAACTTCGTAAAGCTGGAACCGAAAATATACGTTCACATTCCAACATTTGCGCAAGAAACATACCCAAGAACTTCTATTAAATTGCAGGGCCTAATCTAGGATTTTGAAGAGGGAGAAGTGACTTCTCCTTCCATGAGAGAGACGGGAGAAGTGGTCAATTTCTTGGAGAAGTGAGATTCCATTACCGTTTCGGTTGCATCGTGTTTTCATGATTATCACTAAGGAAATTGTTTTAACTTCAATAAAAGATATACTTGCAGTTTTTTCATATGTTATTGTACACCATGTATATATAGAAAGTTCTTAATAAAAAGGTTTAGACAATTTATAGTTGTTATTTATTTATTGATACCATTGTGTTGAACTGTTCTAAATAAAATTTGTTGATTGGGACATGAGGGAGTAGCCTAGTAATATTATCATGATTTTGATGCATTAAATTCATGTGCATCTGCCTCAATTTATTTTTAAAACTTCAGAAAAATATGATCCCCAGTTTACCTGATGAATTTTACATGACTGGGAATTTAATTTACATCACCACTTGTCATTATTTTGTAAATCATTATTGAATGTCCAGGACATTGTGTTAGTTGTAAATTGAGATTATCGTTAAAGATTGTAAGTCTATGAATGAAAATATCTTTCAATCGCATATTAATTATCCGATAAAGAGCTAATTTCTATAATTTTTTTGAAATATCATCCATATCAACGAAGTGGTCATGAGAAAAAATCCACTGCTGATCACAATCTGGTCGAGTGTCATACGTTTGCAATCACATTATCCATCAGCTGTCTTTCTACCTTTTATATTTCAATTTTTATTCAATGAATATAATAAATCTACCGTTAATTCCCACCTTTAACCTACCGAATAGTAAAATTGATCGACTCGTGTAAGTAATAAAAATAAAACAAATCAGCTGAGTGATTACGCAACATCCTCAGATGAAAATCATCGTATAATGATAACTTAAACATACGGTCAGTTTTCCGTTTGAACAGTTTTGAAAGTTATATCCGAGGATGTTCAAAGTCGCCGTTGTATTTATTTAATTTGATCGTTGACAGTATTAGTCCTGGGTCGTTTCGAAAATCTCGATTTTCCTTGTCAGCCGCCATTTTTTTTACCTGTGAGACTTGTCAATCACAAGTTGTCTCCCTTTTACCGATTTTGATAGCGATTTGACTTCGCTATGAAGTCAGTCGGCTGGCGAGATTTAGCGATTTTCAAAATTCTTTGGCGACTTAAATCGTCATTTCGCCGGCAAGATTATGGCCTGTTAAATTGTCACTAAATGTCGTCGTGTTTTGGGGGTAAAACTATGTTGCACATTCAGCATGTGGCTATTACATTTTCTACCATCTTAAAGGTGCTTTTTGATTTGATGCAGCCAGTTACAACTGAGACCAATGGAAGTCATTATCTCATGGATCCTATATTTTATCTTAATCTGCCAAGGGTGGAGAGGAGGGGACTGGATCGTAACCCTTGGCTAGCGAAGATGTTTCTTCACATGCAGTGTGCGGAATGCATCTGATAAGATACAGCTATCAGTGTGAAAACCATTCCACAATAACATAATCTATCTCACATCTAACGCCTGTTGTATCTGCAAAAGTATCTCACAGACAACAAATCTGAACTATATGTACCTGTCTGGCTCTGAGTGCTACACTGCTATTGTCTTGTCTGTTAAGGGTGGTCAGTTCTGTTAAGATGGAAGCCAAGTCATCTGTCAAGCCTGGTTCTTTGCCAAATAAATGTTCCTTAAAAACAAATTCAAATGATGTTTTAATTCTTCCTTGGCATCTAGATATATGTACACCAAAAGGTTTAAGGCTCATGTGGTGGAAATATCAAGGAAATAACCAGTTTTTAAAATACTTGATATAATCACATTTTGAGCTGTCTCTTTATTGCTTGTCTAAACATTTATTGAAAGGTCTCTGTGAATTTTCTGTGGACTTACAATTAGCATGTTCATCAGACTATTCTTTAAAAGGTCTTTGTGAAATTTGTGTTAACTTCAATCAACTTGTTAATTCATTCTATAGGTTTGACAATCAAGTAATACCGTCATGAAGTGTTGACTAACTATTAGCATGATGACTGGTTTATCTTCAACTTTGACACACAGATGTGATCTGATACTGTCATAAAGTGATTACTTACAACTGGCATTATTTGGTCTATTTAAAGGTCTGACATAACACGATTAATTCAGGGCCTCCCCATAATCAAACTTGCCAATTCGCTAGAGCCGTAACTCTTTATACAATTACAAAATGTCACAAATCCAGGCTATGGGTTTTGATTGGCATGTTCTGAGTGAATGGAGCTTATCATCTGGTAGCTCTATTTCTATCAAAGGTCTGACAGCCAAGTGAGATATAATACTAGCATGAAGTGTTGACTTATAATCAGTAGGATTATCAGTTTATTTTAGGTCTGACAGCCAAATATATAACACTGTCATGAAGTGTTGACTTACACATGTTACAATCAGTAGGATTATCAGTTTATTTTTAGGTCTGGCAGCCAGGTGAGATATAATACTAGCATGAAGTGTTGACTTATAATCAGTAGGATTATCAGTTTATTTTTAGGTCTGACAGCCAGGTGAGATATAATACTAGCATGAAGTGTTGACTTACAATCAGTAGGATTATCAGTTTATTTTTAGGTCTGACAGCCAGGTGAGATATAATACTAGCATGAAGTGTTGACTTATAATCAGTAGGATTATCAGTTTATTTTTAGGTCTGACAGCCAGGTGAGATATAATACTAGCATGAAGTGTTGACTTACAATCAGTAGGATTATCAGTTTATTTTTAGGTCTGACAGCCAGGTGAGATATAATACTAGCATGAAGTGTTGACTTACAATCAGTAGGATTATCAGTTTATTTTTAGGTCTGACAGCCAGGTGAGATATAATACTAGCATGAAGTGTTGACTTACAATCAGTAGGATTATCAGTTTATTTTTAGGTCTGACAGCCAAGTGAGATATAATACAAGCATGAAGTGTTGACTTACAATCAGTAGGATTATCAGTTTATTTTTAGGTCTGACAGCCAAGTGAGATATAATACTAGCATGAAGTGTTGACTTACAATCAGTAGGATTATCAGTTTATTTTTAGGTCTGACAGCCAAATATATAACACTGTCATGAAGTGTTGACTTACAATCAGTAGGATTATCAGTTTATTTTTAGGTCTGACAGCCAGGTGAGATATAATACTAGCATGAAGTGTTGACTTACAATCAGTAGGATTATCAGTTTATTTTTAGGTCTGACAGCCAGGTGAGATATAATACTAGCATGAAGTGTTGACTTACAATCAGTAGGATTATCAGTTTATTTTTAGGTCTGACAGCCAAGTGAGATATAATACAAGCATGAAGTGTTGACTTACAATCAGTAGGATTATCAGTTTATTTTTAGGTCTGACAGCCAAGTGAGATATAATACTAGCATGAAGTGTTGACTTACAATCAGTAGGATTATCAGTTTATTTTTAGGTCTGACAGCCAAGTGAGATATAATACTAGCATGAAGTGTTGACTTACAATCAGTAGGATTATCAGTTTATTTTTAGGTCTGACAGCCAGGTGAGATATAAAACTAGCATGAAGTGTTGACTTACAATCAGTAGGATTATCAGTTTATTTTTAGGTCTGACAGCCAGGTGAGATATAATACTAGCAGCTACAGCAGACATGTCATCAGTTTTCTTCTCCATCAACTTGGTGATACATTTATCGTAATGACCTACAAGGGTAAACATGTTTTATATAGTTAAAAAACTGGTATCCAATGGCTGTAAAGAATCTATCTGAACAAAAATTTGATAACTTATCTGAGAAAAGTCTATAGCATACAGATGAATTTAAACTAGACAAAGTGATGCCCTCCCCCACTCGACTCTGAAGTAACTGTATTATAACAAAGTCAATGTAGGACTTTCTTTGAGATATTATTGTGTCTGGGAGACACAAATGATGCCCCCCCCCCCATGCAAAGTGTTATTTTAAAATACACAAAGTTGAGCATGGAAGCACATAGGTCTATGGTTCACTGTAGGAGGAGTTATTGGGAAACGCTATGCACCTCTTATGCAAGTATATACTCCAAAAATGATAAAGTTCAACTATCTCACAAAAGAGCAAATATTAATAAAAATCAAAAGCCTGACCACATGCACACCTTCAATATATGTACAAACAGCCAGCAAAGTGAAAACTTACTAGCATTCAAACTGTAGGAGTTATCTGGAAAAGATATATACCCATAATGGGAGGGATGGACGGACAGACGGACGGAAGGACGGACGGACGGACAGGGGTAAAACAATATGCCCCCCAACTTTCAGTTGCGGGGCATAAAACAATATGCCCCCCACCTTTCAGTTGCGGGGGCATAAAAATACCCCATCTCTTTTTCACAAATAAATGGAAAGGGGAGATGTTTATCAATGAAACAGCTATCCAACAATGTTATATATATAAACGGTTGAAACAGATTTATGTCACATCTTTTCATAAAAAAAAAGTAACCATGCAAATAGATAACTTTTTAATGACCAAATGTCCACATCTCTTGTCCCTAGCTCTTATTTTATTTTACAGTAAACTCTACTGATGCTACTTGAAGATTACATATGTCATTACAAACCTTGTTGGAACTGTTGTTCTACTCTAAGATACTGTTTCAATAAATCCTGAACAACTGTCTTCATGTGTCCACGGATACCATTTCTGTATCTGTAATGGTTAGAATGAACTAAAAAACTGTTCCACATAACAGCTGTTTTAGAATATCTGAGAGCACTAAGTTATAGATAGAATGCATTAACTCTATGTGAGTGAAGGCGATACATATTATACAAATCAATACAGTAGGTTGCACGATTTTTGTCATCCTCATTAACTAGAAACGCCCTGCGACTCTTTTCGCAAAAATCTTATGAGTAGAAACAGTCGTAAGTCATAAACATTTCAATATAACTTTTTATTTGTAAGATTTTTTTGTGAAAAGGGTTCCTAATGTCCGTGGTAGATGATAATCAAACATGGAACATAAAATGATGTTAACTGAAGACATAAAATGATATTAACTGAAGAAATAAAATGATATTAACTGAAGATATAAAATGATATTAACTGAAGATATAAAATGATATTAACTGAAGATATAAAATGATATTAACTGAAGACAAATCAACAGTATCTCCTGATTACTGGAAAACCATGATCTTTCGTCTATTACTTGCAAACATTACACTGAGAGCACTTGTCATGGTCTCAGAGCATTTTTATCTTATTTGAACATCCAGAACACTTTAAAAATCTATCCTTCATCTTTCTATAATCAAAATTATCACAACATTTCGAGAAATCTAAAAATAAAATGCATGAGGAAAAAGCAATCACATTTACAAAAAGCATCCATCAAAAAAACTGAAGAGTTACTTAAAGGGAGAAAATTAGAGGTGCTACTGTATAATCTCTGTAAAAAACTTGAAGAATGCATGTGAAAAGTAGAGAAATTGCCGTTTTGTCCTGAAAACTTATCAATAACAACCACTTACCTATGTCTATGGTGTATTTTGTTGTCATGACGACTTTTCAATAATTACCTTTGCACTAGCTGTACAATGCCCTGAGTTGTCATGAAGAAGTTTTCTCGTTCTGTTTTCTTTGTAAGTGTAGCAGCATGGCCATCTATCACAGTAGCTATCTATGAAACAGTAAATAAAACTGATAAGAAAAGATTGATACAATTTCAATGAATCAGTAAAATCATTAAAAAAGCTTCTTGTTTTTGTTGTAGAAAATATATTTATATGTGAACACATTAAATTAACTAACCTTAAACATATGAGAATGGTAATATAATGACATTATAAGTTGTATGAAGTATAACAGCCAAGAAAACATGTCATCTTTTGTTCTGATCATGGCATGTTAAATATCATATTGTATAATAGTTTTGTATTTCACATTTACTAATATAAATAAAAGGAAAAGGGAGAAATTTATCAATGAGACAGCTTCCCAACAATGTTATATAAACTGCTGACTCAGAGATATGTCTCACCTGTACATTAATTTAATACATTGTAGTATAAAGCAAACATTGAAACTATAATGGCAATGCTTTACATGTTAACTATGTATCATATTCAAAGTAAAAAAGCCATAATCTCCAAGGATATAAGGTGTAATACCACCATTGTTTTCCCCCTATTAGTCTATGTTAAATTGACACTTTTCAAATCAAAGTGATCTAAAATCACTAATGGAAAGATTGGAAGAATTGTGTGTATAATTTCAACCATATTTTACACTTCCATAGCAGTAGTGGTGGACAACAAAAACTTGCTATAGCACTATTGCATATTTGTTAGTTATATTACTGCAGATTTTTAGAATGATAAACAATTCTTCAGTGAATAAAGTTAGCTTATTAGAGCTATGTCAGTGGGTCACTAAATTTGCATAATAACTTCTTTTAGATTGCAACTTAATATTTATATTTTTTTGAAACAGAAGAAATTACCTACTAAAAAAAATATCATTGTAGACTCAGTAAACCTTGGATCAATGGTTAAAGTGACTTGAAACTTAAAAGTCCTTTTTTTTATCTCCCAAAATTAACCTGGGAATGGTTGTTTGAGGGCATGTCTGTTACTCTTAAAACAATAAAGATGCATGGTTGACAAAGGTAATTTTCACATCAATAAACTTAATACGATGTTTTTATTCTATTGTCCAAAGATGGAGACTTTTAACTTTCGAGGCAAATTCTTATTCATTTCATTGAAAAAATATATTACCTCACAGTATTCAAATATACCAAGACCTTCTCTGATAAATGTAACCTATTAAAACTATGGATTAATTACAGATAATTATTTACAGATTTTGCAAGAAAAACAACAACACTTGGATTCTTTGCTCATACAGATTTTCATTTTGGTCTTATCTCAATTACATTTTGTATGCATCCTTCCTTACATAGTCATCTTTCAAACATGATTTACAGATCATTTGTTAATGCAGTGTAAATCAAAAGATATATATAGGTAAAGGAAAAAATCTATCATCTGTATAAAGTTTTATCAAAGAAATCCCCATTTAGTATTTGTTAGTTTCAATTAAACATGAAGACAGAGATTGACCTATATAGATCAAATTATATCAGATACTAATGAGGTCAAAGTTTGTGTATTGAGTGGTCTGCCATGTTATGTATAAACTCAAGTTATGTCATTTGGTCAATTATGATTGGCATTAAGGAGGAGGAGTCTATATAGAATTCCAATTATTATCCCACCCATAGTGTTTAATTGTACCTTGGTCATGACAGTTGTCAATCATACTGTTAATGTATCAATACACTTAAGTAAAAAGAAAAAACTAAGCCAGTAATTGAAAAAAGTAATGACTATTATTTAAAATACTCTAAATTAAGATGTAACCAAATTTTTTTCCAGTTCACTTGTGCATATGTACACAGACATGAGAACATTTGGGAACAATATGTCAGTGTGTATAGATTTAGTAGCTAATCTGTCCACTTTCTGTTTGGAGGCCAGTGCCTTAGGAAAGAATTGGAACAAGTTCCAATCTTTCCAAAAATTGTGCAGAATTTATTTTTGTTTCAAATAAAGAAATACTTGGCATGAGTAAAGTTTTATCCTGTACAGTACTACAGTCAAAATTTCACATAATATTTCATTGCATATAAGATAATAACCATCACTGGAAGTTAACCAATCAAATTTTCACCCCTTTTTTGCCTGTGTACAAGCTTTAGTAACCATGTAACCTCAAGTTTCCAAAATATTCTATAGAAACACCTAATAAAAAAAGAATGGTGCTTTGAAACACCCAAGATATATGTTTATGACTCAGAAATTTTTTACTGCACTGAAATGTAGGATTAATTTCCTACAACTGTCAAATTCAAGGGTATATTTTTTTCGACCCTTTTTCGTATGCAACCGGATGTGACATACTATGATTTGGTGGTATTACACCTGTAAGATGTGCAAATGCTAATACAACTGCATACCAAATATCCTTGGTCTACCACTAGTGGTTCCCCTTAAAGGATGACACGATTTTCAATTTTTGTTTCAAAATGTTTATTTATACATAACTTTGCCCAAAAATACATCGATAGCAATATAAGTGTCAAATATTTGGTAAAATATGTATTTTAATGCAACAATTTATAGACCTGTCAAATATGCATATTTCCATCCCGGAAGTCACTCAAAACGAGGCTACTACGTCAGTGGTTACTTTCATTCATATTGACATATGGTTACAGCGCAAATTTTGTTTCGATTATTATCCAACAAAACGCATGACAGTGATAAACAATGATTATGTGTGATGCCGAAGGATTCAACAACATAATTAAAGAGAATAATGACATGATATTTTCTGTTTTTCGAATGACACACAGACTTAGAAGGTGTAAAGATAAGACTTTTTAACAACCCCAAACTACACTTCTTTCAACCCAATTTCATAAGGAATCCAGAGTTGGGGTCTCGGGTGCCATGCCATGAGTTCATCATAGATCACAGGTGTGTGGTACAGGTGATTGAGTTTCGCTATTTCAGGTCTCGTTTGAAGTTGTCCGCTTCAGGTGTCACGCCACATGGGGGATTGATAAGACATAGTTATTATGCAATATTACTTCATAAGCTCTTTGTGTACATCCTGGATGTTGGTTTTGCCAAGGGCACAGGTGAGATTGGAATATATTATTGTTACAGTAATACAGGTACAACTACCTGATTTTTAATGAATACCTGTAGTACCATAACCTATGCAGTGTTGATAACCACAACCTGTATATATATCTTATTTTTATTGCTTTTAAGAATATGCAGATATAAAAAGGTATATTACAGATGCATGTTTTTAATTGACTTCTTGAGATGGAAAAGTAATATTCCTGTATGCTTGCAACTTCATAAGAAATTGTAAGGCATAAAGCTCGATAAATTAATAGAAAAGATACACAACCCCCCGGACCCCCTCCCACTTTTCAACAGCGGTGTGCCAAAACTCTGTTTTGCCACATACCCCTATTGCTGACAATTTTTAAAATTAAAAATCCAAGCTTTGAGCTTGTCACTCTCATTAATTTACAGACCACCACCACACACACACAAACACACACATATTATTTTCATAAAGAGCATAAAAAGCAAACAAGGAAATGATACGAGAATGAGAATCATAAGTCTTTTATATTCTTATATTGAACATCGAATATAATTATTGACAACTATCTAGTTTGAAAAGAATCAATTAGATGACGAAAAACATTCCTTTTTAAAATGGAAACTTAATAGTAAATGAAGAAAGTGTCTTTTGAACAAATTATTTGGTATAACCGTACGGCCTCCACAATGAGAAAACCCCATACTGTATATTTGGCTATAAAAGGTCTCAACATAAAAAATGTGAAACAATTTAAACGAGAAAACTAACGACCTTATTTATAACAAAATAATTTCCGAAGAAAAAATATGAGACATGAACCAACGACAACCACTAATCTACATGCTCCTGATCTGGGAGAGGGAGGTGGAAATATGTGAATTTGAATTTACTTTTTGAAATTCCTTAAATTTGAAGTTAGATTTATAAGGGTCTGGATGGAATTACATACTTTAGAAGTGTAGTATTACTATATTAATTATTTCAACATAAGATATTTTTTCTTTAAAATGTATGCTATAGGTGTCAAAATTTAATTACTTAAACAACGGCTCAAATAAATGTTTACATAAAAGGGGGGAAAGTAATAAAATGGTAAATTGAATAATTTTCCTAATGCAGAAATAGAGTGATGTATGGTTTCCAACCAAAAAAATTATAAGCATAACTTTTGATGATAATTTATACCTATTAAAAGTCTCTAAGTAACAAAACAAAAAAAAACAACAAAAAAAAGTACCCTTAACGAGCGCCTAATTTGACTTTTACTATCGTTTTTTTTCTTTCTGCTTCTGGCGCACACATAATTATAACATTACCATAACAGAGAGAAAAAAAGAACAATTTGATCATCAATAATTAGAAATTTATATTTTCAATCATGATAAAAAGTAGTTTTATTTAAATAAAAAAATGCAGAAAGCAGTTTATTAAATTCATTCATCAGACGAACCCATATGTATGGTAACAATCCGATCGGTATTGTCTGAAAAATCGTCGTTGTTGGACTCTTCGCATGAAGAATTAATGTCTATTTCTTGGTTATTTTCCACACACAATGGCTCAAATTGATAAGGTCAATTGTCTGTGTAGTTTTGCAGTAATCGAGAAAATTGCTGTCAATACCGTCCATAGTGTAATTGTGCAGAAAAGTGATCATCCAGTTTGAGACAATTTTTCAGCTTGTAACCAGTGACGTAAGCATGATCACGTGATTGTTATCTAATTAAAAATCATTCATTATGACAACCGCTGTATTCTTTGACCTAAAAAATGCCGATTGATCAGGTTTTTACCAGCAAAATTGTACAAGACATGTTTTAAGACTAATATTTACTGATTTTATAAAAAAAAAATTAAAAAATTAAAAAATCGTGTCACGTCTCCTTTAAACTGATCCTATGACAAATGTTTACATTTTTGAATTGTTGATAATGCTGCTGAAACAGCCGATGCAGGAAACAGTAAGCGTTAGTCTTAGTTCCAGACTTTGTCACGGCGTGACAAATACCAAACCAGACATGTTGTGTATATGTTGTATGTGGGCTCCTCTGCCTTCTTTCCTGGTTGTTTCAGGTCTTTCAGATTACCTTGTATTTCTGATGCTTAAAACATTCCACTGTCATTTCAACATGTTTATTAATTACTAGTAAATAATGTGATACCTGTTTGAAATTCAGTAAGGATCCAGTACTTATGTAAAGAAACTTTATATTTATACTGATGTAATGTTACATTTTACTTACCTATTGGCTAGAGAACTGATTCATTAGTTATATAATAAAACTCAATTTGTTCTTGTTGATGAGGGAATAAATTCAGTACTGACGTAATATTGCTTACCTGTTGGCTAGGAAATTGATTGAGTACTGATGTTATATTACTGGCGTATGTCTGTAGTAACTTTTTGATTGCTCTCTCTACATGTGTTGGTACTCTTCCAGAGATAATTGAAATCAATTCCTGTTGAGCAGAAAAAAATAATTGTAAATTTTCAATATAATGTTTTTGTCTATACAGTATTTTATATAATACTAGGATTTTATAGCATGAACATATCTTATTGGCGCTTTCAAGATAAATTATAAAACATGTGAACTTCTAATGATCATTTATTTTCCATATTTTAATTGTTGAATGGACAATTTCTGAATTCAAACATGTAGTCAAAGCTTAAGTTTTTGTCACTAAAATGTGATTCATTGTGGAAAAAATATTTTAAACATTTTTATGAAAATAAAAGCTAATAAAAATTTTAATCTAGTGGATAAATTTTCAAATAAGAACCATTCAGCTACAAAGAAAATCAGTTGTTCGTTTTTTGTAAGTTTAAAGTTCATTTAACTTTTGAAAACAAACATGAAAAAAATATTTTCTTTTCAAGTAGCTGTAGATAACAAGTATGATTTTTTTTAAAATACCTGCACTTTATTGATCATAGCTCCTCCCATAGGACAACAAACATGAAACAAAATATAAATACCTGCACTTTATTGTTATCATAGCTCCTCCCCTTAACATAGGACAACAAATATGAAACAAAATATAAATACCTGCATTTCAACTAGAGGCAATGAAGGCTAACCAAGTTATTTTTTTTAAAACAAATTACAAGTACCTGCATTTCAAGTAGTGGTAATGAAGGATACTTGATTTAATTCTACAACAAATTACAAGTACCTGCATTTCAAGTAGTGGTAATGAAGGATCCCTGAGTTATTTCTTAAACAAATTAACCTGCATTGCAAGTAGTGGTAATGAAGGATCCCTGAGTTATTTCTTAAACAAATAACAAGTACCTGCATTTCAAGTAGTGGTAATGAAGGATCCCTGAGTTATTTCTTAAACAAATCAACCTGTATTGCAAGTAGTGGTAATGAAGGATCCCTGAGTTATTTCTTAAACAAATAACAAGTACCTGCATTTCAAGTAGTGGTAATGAAGGATCCCTGAGACATTTCATTAAAGTTTCTACTGATTTCTTCACCCTGGTACTAAAGAAAGGTTCAGGCAGTACATATCCTGCTAATAAGTTCTCTAACTCAGTACGTGTTCTCTGGAAAACCTGATGTAACCTTTCGCCATGGTTCAGTGGGTTTTGTAATGTAGGTAATGATCCAGTAAACAGTTCAGCCTGTTGTACACGACTGGGATCATCAAGATCTAACCTTGCTACATAACTACCTGCATCTAGTACTGCTCCTGGCCGCTTGACAAAGTGTACACTATAAAGATCAAAATTTATACAGGTAAATTAGGCCTTTTATTCCAGTTGAATTAAGCCTTTTTATTCATGTGTAGGTTGGTTTTCATTCTTTAAGAGTAAATACTATAGTTATGTAATGTATGTATTCACATAGAACACCATTTTTTGTCCAATTACAAATAATCTTCTTCACAAGTTAAATTCCTATTACATAGAGATCGTTCAAATAAAATGCTAATTGTTGCCTGCCTTTTGGGCTGTGGGAAAAGCAGGCACAACAAGATTACACATTTTATATTACTGGCAATAGACTCTAGTATGAAGCTTGATATAATGTAAATATATTTTCATTTGAGAATAAAATGTATGTCTGGTCTCAAATCAACTTCCTTTTTCAATCTGATGTCATAATATTTTCTGATGGATGTCTGAATAACTTCATCTAATATAGAGACCATAGTTACTTGATTTTATTGAAGTCTTTTGTGCTTAGAAAATAAAAGCTATTTCACATTAATAAATACATACATGTATTCCAAGATAACTACATCAGTCTAAATTATTATATACGGTTTAAACACTGAAAATTCAAAAAAATTTACCATTTTTTTATTATTGCGAAATTACAGACAGGAAAGGTTTCACAAAAATTAATTCGCATTTAGAATTTTGACTGAATTACTCATAAACAGCATTTCCATCCCTTGCAATAATAAATCTCTCATTGTTGTCCATTTGACAAAAATCGCAATAATAAATCCATGCACAAATTTCTGAATTTACAGTATATACACGCATCTGCTCTTTGGTCGGGTTGTTGTCTCTTTGACATATTTCCCATTTCCATTCTCAATTTTATATGTTATGGATCACACTTACCAGCCATTCTCTGACACCCGTAATTCCATGACCATCTTCATCACTTCCATCTCAGCATATGTAGCACCAGCAAAAACATGTCCACCATCATCTACAGTGTAGCTTAGTAACTTTCCTGCTGATGGTGACCTGTACAAAAACATTACAACAAAATGTGAACATGTACAAGTAAAAGAACAATGATCCAAAGTCTCCTATCACATGGTTTAGTTAGTAACACATAGTATGAGTAAGAGGCTACTTGATGAATGAAGGAACAAGTATTTCCTGTTTCAAAGTTAAAACCTCAAATGATTTTTGTTAGTTATGAAAATCTTCATTTTGTAATATACAAGAATATGAAGATGTGGTATGATTGACAACTTTCCAAAAGATACCAAAGATTTATAGGGTCAATTTCAGTTCCTAATATTTACCTGAGGACTGTAGGATCATTTTCTTTATGTAAAACCCAATTTCAGTTACCAACAGTTACCTGAGGACTGTAGGATATTTTTCTTTATGTAGAACACAAGTCCTGTTACCAATAGTTACCTGAGGACTGTTGGATCATTTTCTTTATGTAGAACACAAGTCCTGTTACCAATAGTTACCTGAGGACTGTAGGATCATTTTCTTTATGTAGATCACAAGTCCTGTTACCAATAGTTATCCTGTAACTATCCACTTCCTCCTTCATATAAGTGGTGTGACTGGACCCATCAAATGATATCAGCAACCCTCCATCACTCAATCTGTAAATCATTTAAGGATGGTCAAATTCTGACAACAAAATTTTTGGTAAAACTTCATAAATAGGTTGATATCAAGTTTAGAGAAACTAACTTTAGTATCCATACATGTGATGGACTGTGAAACTCAGATCAGGAGATTGGGAAATTTTGGTCAGGAGATTAGGACTCAGATCAGGAGGTTTTTAATCTACATAAATTTTGTCGTAAATGTAACCGTGTGCTATAGAAATTGTTTTTTAAAGTGTTTTTTTTTCTTCAACTTTCCATCCGAATGTATTTTTATAGTACCCTTGTACTTATAAATTTTTTCTATCTTTATTCAACAAGTTCAATCCAACATTCTTTTTTTTAGTATGTTCTTTAAAATCTTTATTTTATATCTTCTGTATCATTATTCTATAGAACAATCACTGCAATCAGATCATTTGATTAATTATCTGGAAATAGATCTTTTTTGCATGTTAAGAAACACTTTCAAACTGCATAGAATGGTCATAGTTATATAAATTTAAATTTAAGCCTTGAAAGAAAGTATAGAACCCTCAAATAATTTTCAAATTATTATTTTTTTGTAAGTCCTTAAAATCATTTAATTACCATCCTTTAATGATTATTTGTTCAATTTATATTTTATTTATATTCTTTTAAAAATTTACATTATTTAAAGGAAAGTAACTTAAAACAGGATAAATCAAGGGAAGTAACCTAAAATTCATTTTTAAATACACAAAGTTTTTAATACACAACGGCAGTTAGCCTGAGATAATAATTGTTGATTACCAGTATGTTTGACACCCAAGCTGACAAGTGAAGCCATATAATTATGCATGTTAATTGATTTACAGGTAAAATATAACTTCAGGTAATGTCAGTTACACCAGATTAGGCAGTTGTTGGGCTGAATTTTTTCATTCATGAAATATTTCATTCACGGGATTTTTTTCTCTTCAACGGGAGGTCGGGAGGAGACCCCTGAAAATGGGATTATTGTACTCCTGTCGGGAGGTTCACATGTATGAGTATCAAAGTGTCAACTTATATATATAATAGTTCCAATTCTAATTCTGCAGATTGATATTGTTGATCAATGCATAACTGCATGATAAACCAGTCAATTGCAGCCAAACAATAAGGTCACAGAACAAAAAATGGGCTATGCCTCTATTTTTGTAAGATTTTGCATTCACGTTGGACAAGGTGGACTCTGAAATAGAGTGTATCAGATTTTAAATACTTTTAATATACCTGTGAGCTTCAATATCGATGAAGGATTTATTCATACTGATGAAATAAGTACTAACTCCTGTTTTCACAACCTGAAACATAAGGTGAACTTTTCACATCCTTTAAGCAAAAGACTAATAAGTAAACTAGATCATTTTAAAAAAAGTACTTGTTGTTTTTTGCTTGCAATGTTAGTTATTTTTCACATTTTATAACTTCAATTGGTCTTTGGTGGATAGTTGTCTCATTCACAATCATACCAGATCTTCTTATTTTCGTATACTAGTATCAAAACTTTCTGGAATTTTGATGGAACTGACTATTTTATTAATTTTTTCTTACATTTGACAATCAAATCTTTCTTAAAAGAGTACAGTTTAAAGTGTTTTATCTAATATACTTATTTAGTGATGTTTTCCCAAACTCAATACACAAAGCTACAAGCATATACAGGACAACTTAAAAATGCACAGTGAATTTTTGCTTTGTGTAATTATTACATAATCAGTTGAATTCTAGGTTAATATGATACTTATTTACCAATTCCATTTTTGTATGCATTTTCATTATGCTTGTTAGTTTTTTAGGGCGTAATAAGATTTTGTGACAGATTTAAACATTTGCTTTATTACTGTTGGTTCAATACCATTTATCAACATTATTTTACTCTATCAGGATTTGTCTACCTCACAAAATCTAGTCAGGCATTATAGGGCAGTTTAACTTTATAGATTAACATTTACTGTCTAACATACAGTGATTATTCATACCTGTGAACAATATTTGATACAGTCATAGTTAAATTCTACGTCCACTTTGTTGTTCAGGGAATGTGTTGGTAAGATCTGTCCTCTGTAATGTTCAATAATTATCATATATATGATTCAAGAACTTATGTCTGCAAAACATCTCATTAATATTTTACGTTGAATTTTTCCTCTTACTCTTTCTTTACAGATTTAATTCTTTTAATCAATTTGATACAAAATACTTGAATAACATGCAAACTAAATAGAACAAACAAACAAATTCTTAGAATAAAATTGTACTTTTACTTTTCTACAATCTTTATGTTTGCATTAATGGTATTCTTCATTTTTTTTTTTTTTTTTCACATTAAAAATATCTTTCTTTTTAAATTTCCTATAAAAACTAACCTTATAAGTAATTCATAGATATTGAATTACAAAATATAATATATTATAATATAAAAGGTGAACTAACTTTTCTAAAGAAGCCTGAAAGTTCTGGAAGCTAGATGTAATAGTTTGATCTCCGATATGCAATGCTCCACAGATCACCCCTAGCATGGTTGGTGGTTTCTCAGCTTGAACTTTCTCTGAGATCAGTTTGTCTAACCAGGCAGTAGATATCCTATTGTTTTGATATTCTTCCGTCTCTAAAAGTTTGATCAAATATTCTACTGTTGTCCTGAAATCACCTCTGATGGACAGTTCCTTCAATGCTACAACCAAATTTCTGAAAAGAAGATTTTTTTTTATTTTCAAAAAATAGGAGATGCAAATGGACATCGTGTGTTTGTCAGGTCTTATGTCACTTATTCTGGTTGCAGGCCATACAAATAGTACTAGCAACAACATTCTTTATCTTTCATTAGAAAAATTAACATTTCATGTTAAAAGTTCTCCTTGCAGGGAAATGGAAAAATATCCCCCTAGAAAAGAAAGGCCTCAAATCCCCTATATGGTTCCCCTTTATAGGAACTAACTCTCTAGCAAACTCATGGAGCCCTCCTTATGCTACCACACTGAAATATCCCCATGGAAACAGACACCTCCTGTCCTACTCATTACTTACTCTCTAGCATCTTCTCTGTTCTCTCCACAAGAGAAACATACTTACTCTCTAGCATCTTCTCTGTTCTCTCCACAAGAGAAACATACTTACTCTCTAGCGTCTTCTCTGTCCTCTCCACAAGAGAAACAATGTCCAAATTATGAGTCAGCAAACTCATGGAGCCCTCCTGATGCTACCACACTGAAATATCCCCCTGGGAAACAGACACCTCCTGTCCTACTCATTATTTACTCTCTAGCGTCTTTTCTGTCCTCTCCACAAGAGAAACATACTTACTCTCTAGCGTCTTCTCTGTCCTCTCCCCAAGAGAAACAATGTCCAAATTGTGAGTCAGCAAACTCATGGAGCCCTCCTGATGCTACGACACTGAAATATCCCCAGACATTTTTACTGCTTCTAAAATTCAGTTCTTGTACTGTTCCAGAGCTTGGTTTAAATCCCTATAATAAAACAAAGGTATATTTCAAATGACAAATTACATTTTACCTAATCCTAGTGACATAAAACTCGCTAAACATTCCAGTCAATAGACCTTATTGGATTTATGGATTCTGCAACATTTAATCTGAGATTTTGTGACACATGATCTTTTGACATCATGCAACAATCACTAAAGCACCATGGCATTAGATCTCTTTTCTTTTGAAGTCTGAATTTGACTGGACTATTTGTGATGTCCAGAAATGGAAGGCAAACAGCAATTAGGTATTCACCTGTATCATGTATATTATAAGTGAAAAATATGAAATGCATGACCATAATTGTTGAAAGGTTCAAAGAATCAGTTTCAAAGAGAAAGACACAAAAAAAATTCTAAAAATATTCTAAATAATTTCCATAGTCTCTGAGTATATTCATACTTTTTTAATATTTTAAAATAACAGCAAATTGTCAAAATATTCCTTACCTCATCCGGGTTTTCACTGGTTATCCTTGCTGCTATCACATGACCCCTGGGGCTTGGTTTATAGGTGGGTTGCTCAAAATCTATTATAGTTGGTTCCCAGGGATCCAGGCTGTACATATTTCTGATGTCTTTCAATCTGTATAGAGGTAAACCCATAGCAATCTGTAAAAATATATGTATTCAATGAAAATATCTTGCATCCATGGAAGTTTTCTATAATTTGAAACACAATCTCTTGTTTTTGAAATTCCAACACCATTATTTTTTTTTCTTCATTTCTAATTCTAAACTTAATGTCAATCATCTCATGTTTCTCTATTTGACATTATTTTTCCTTGATAAAAGACCTTTGAGGTACAACTATTTGGTCAATTGCAATCTTTTTAATTTGATTTTTGGTTTAGAGCTGGTTACAATTTGGTTTTCTTACTTATTTCATATTGATTTTGAAAATCAAAACTTTATTTTGTATGATTGAACAGTAAGAAGACCAATAACAGCCATCATTTCTATGGAGGGACATTCTATCTGAAACCTTACTTACCTGTAACTGAGCAGCAGGGAGATTAATATCAGCCACCATTTCTATGGGGGGATCTTCTATCTGAAGCCTTACTTACCTGTATAAACTGAGCAGCAAGGAGATTAATATCAGCCACCATTTCTATGGGGGATCTTCTATCTGAAGCCTTACTTACCTGTAACTGAGCAGCAAGGAGATTGATATCAGTCACCATTTCTACGGAGGGACAATCTATCTGAACCCTGACTTACCTGTAACTGAGCAGCAGGGAGATTGATATCAGCCACCATTTCTATGGAGGAACAGTCTATCTGAAGTCTTACTTACCTGTAACTGAGCAGCAGGGAGATTGATATCAGCCACCATTTCTATGGAGAGACAATCTATCTGAACCCTGACCTACCTGTAACTGAGCAGCAGGGAGGTTGATATCGGCCACCATTTCTGTACATGGATGTTCCACTTGTAATCTGGGATTTAATTCCAGAAAATGGAAAGTGTCATCTTCAGAGTTGTACAGATATTCTACTGTCCCAGCACTGACATAACCAACCATCTTAGCTAAAGTGACAGCTGCCTGAAATAAGACAGATAATATAAAATTTTCTATATGTTCAGCTTGGAATAATATCTTAGCAATTGAAATCAGGAGGAAAAAATAAGAAAAATGAAAACATACTTTTAACAGGTTCAGCTAAGAATTTTTCATTGTTTTAACAATTAAAATATAAATATTTTCTTTTGTAATTCAGCCCAAGGGTGACTGGGGAATAGAAATATGGTCACGACAGGTCTTCTTCTGACCAGCAGTAAAACCCTTGCCACAGTTGGGTGTCTGTTTGGCTGTGCAGAATGTACAAGTACCCAGCTAACCCCGGACAGACTGAAGACATTAATTCCGATTTCTCGTGTAAAAAGAGTGCCATACTCTTTGCATGTTAAGAACCCTTGCAACAACTCTTTTAGGAATCCATAGGTGGACTGTTGCAAGGCTAAATTTCTGTCCCTTTCCAAGTACCCTCATTTTCCCGTTACAGTCCAAATTTCCCTGACCTTCATCCCAATTGGCCTCTATTACAGAACTTACTTATTGTATTTATTGTTAATTTGTTCTCATCCAGAATATGCATTAATTATTTGCCACTGGACGTTAAACAAGGAACAATTAATCAATTTTTCCTACCTTTTCCATCATTTCAAACACGTCAGGACTAGCAATAGCTGTTGGTGCCTCCTCTATAATCTTCTGGTGTCTTCTCTGTATAGAACAGTCACGACCAAACAGGGATACAGCATTCCCATAATTATCTGCTAAAATCTGTACTTCTAAATGTCTGGCTGATAATGCCATCTTCATGATAAAGATTGGAGAACCTGGAATTTCTGTTTGTACCTGAAATAATAAAAAGATAAATCTGCTATACTTAAAAGTAAGGTAAAAATCTTGTGTTATATTTTAATAATGAAATTGGATGTCTTAGTTTTTTATGCCAATGGTGTTGCTGCCACACTGATGAATACCACAAATCTCTTTTTATTCATTCAGGTCATAAAAAAGCCAATCACCATTGTAGCATAGCAAATAAATATATTCATTTTCAGTCTCCAAGATAGATATATGTCTGAACAATAAAAAAAATCTGCTTTTTTTGTAGTTTCAGAATATATCTAATGGGATATAACATTACTTACCTGTCTAAATAAGTTATGGAAATCCACTTCACTTTCAGCCTTCCTTATTCCCTTCCCTCCTCCTCCCTCGGAGGCTTTGATCATTACTGGGAATCCTATCTTCTTGGCAGCCTTTAATCCTTCTTCAGCATCTTTTACACAAGCTTTCTTAAAGACATCATTTGGAACTGTTACACGCTGACCTTTGTTCTCATTCCAGTCTACAGTCAAACCTGCAAAATATTTACATAAGTCTTACAGTAAATAACCTGATGATTGATTATTGCCTCACATCAAGTGACAAATGTTTCAGACACATTCAGAAAGATGTAAATGATAAATGATCTATATTTTGCAATTCAATTCTAAAAACCCTTAACAGGTACTTGTTAACCCTAGAAAATATATATAAGCATGATAAGCTACTGGTTTTGGGCTATGTGGTAAAAAGGAGAAGCGAAAACTAATATCATAAAAGAAATAAAGTCATTTATTTACATCATCAGGAAAATATATATATACGGTCAGATCATATGTTTTCCTACATCATATGAATTTGTACTATGCATGCTTTTTTCAATGGAAATCGTGACGTTACAATGCATTCTTAATAGCACGAAAACCCATGAGATGAGGATATAACAATATTTTAAAAACAAAAATTAAGTTCTTTATATAAAAAATAATTTCTGTTTTTTCTGTTTTTAAAATAAAGGATGCATCTACAAATCTGATCTATACAAAGGCAGTGTGTGTACATTATCTATCTGGGCTTCTATTCTGTACAAACCTGAACCACTCCATGGCAGTGTTGGTACATTGGCTGTTTGGGCCACTATTGATGAAGCTATCTTATCTCCTAATGCCCACATGGCATACTCTGGTGGTCCTGTATGGTAAATAAATAATTTTTCAGTATACAGATATACATTTCATCCTATCTTTCCGAGCTCAATTTAGTTTTCAAGTTGTGTCAATGTTTCAGAAATAGCCTTCAGTATGGTAAAGCATGATTATTTAGAAGGCTGAAATCTTCAAATATTTTGCTTGTTTAATTTGTGAGTTCAATTTGTGATTATCAAACACTTAAATTAAATCAAGAATTCATTAATTTAACCTTGGATTTAATTTCCGTAAAACATCTCCCTTCTTCTGAAGGATATCCTTTAAACATCTCCCTTCTTCTGAAGGATATCCTTAAAACATCTCCCTTGTTCTGAAGGATATCCTTCAAACATCTCCCTTCTTCTGAAGGATATCCTTAAAACATCTCCCTTGTTCTGAAGGATATCCTTCAAACATCTCCCTTCTTCTGAAGGATATCCTTCAAACATCTCCCTTCTTCTGAAGGATATCCTTAAAACATCTCCCTTCTTCTGAAGGATATCCTTTAAACATCTCCCTAGTTCTGAAGGATATCCTTAAAACATCTCCCTTCTTCTGAAGGATATCCTTTAAACATCTCCCTAGTTCTGAAGGATATCCTTAAAACATCTCCCTTCTTCTGAAGGATATCCTTTAAATATTTTAACCCAATTCAACCAATCAATTATTTGACAAAGGAGTAATATTTGAACATATGTAAATTAAAATTAGCAGATAACTTAACTGGCAATTCATAATTACTGCAAATTTACTATTTTTTACATTATTCTGTAAGATATAAAAATATCAAGGAGGGTACACTCATTTTTCTTTATATTTCCTGAAAGTTGTTGAAAATCTCATCCAAAAAATAATATGAATGTCTATAGGTAACCTATTGTCTTATTCACCAAAGAATGATTTCCTCCTGCGACCTATAACTTTATTATATAATTTTGAATGCTTATAACATTTAGTTTTTTAAGAAATTTTCTCTGTGTCTAGGTTTATAGTTAACTAATTTTGGGGTTATAGGAAATATGTAATTTCATACATAAGAGTAACTTCATGGTTTTGTGATTTCTGAGTTTGATATTTATCGGGACATTTAAACTTGTGGTGTTCCAATAGGTTTTCTTATATATCAATGAAATTCATAAAAAATTACTAGATTATAAACCATAATTACAAGTGATATATGAAATTTATTTCATTATTCATTTTTACTGAGCATACATGCATTTAACCGGTGTTCTATGATACATATGTAAACACTGACTCATCAAATTATTCACTGACATGCTAAGTGACTAAATTGTATAACCAAGGTGTTTCTTTTCTTGTGAGATATTGTTTAAATATCACTTACCAATAAATATAATATTGTTTTTATGTAGAAGTTCTGGTAGTTTGGGATTCTCTGATGAATGTCCCCATCCTGCCCATACAGCCTGGAAATATGTTATTTATAGATCAAACAATACTTCAACATGCAAAGGGAAGTAATACTATGTAAATAATTATCAGCTGATAAAAATGAATTAGTCATATAAATTCAGTTATATTCTGAGAGACTAAATGTTGCTTGCAGTCTAAAAAAATCAAAGATTTTATGTGACTAGAATGATCTCATTGTGCACCCTGTACAAAAAGCAGATCAGACCATCTATGGTGTAGCTGATGATGAAAAGATTGAATAAAATGGCCTATTTATGAAACATATTTGCTAATGGTTTAAAAAAAACTAATTTTCTTTAGATTTTATTGTAATATCATAATCTGCCACATTTGACGTGAGATTTGGTGAGACACTTCAAGTGTGTGTATACAATACCATACCTGTACTTGTGTTCATTTAGCAATGTCCAGAATCAGGCCCACATTAGCATAGTTATTATTATTAGACATTGTGACTGTCATACTGTAAGTGTGTGTATACAATACCATACCTGTACTTGTGTTCGTTTAGCAATGTCCAGAATCAGGCCCACATTAGCATAGTTATTATTATTAGACATTGTGACTGTCACACTGTAAGTGTGTGTATACAATACCATACCTGTACTTGTGTTCATTTCGCGATGTCCAGAATCAGGTCCACATTAGCATAGTTATTATCATTAGACATTGTGACTGTCATACTGTAAGTGTGTGTATACAATACCATACCTGTACTTGTGTTCGTTTAGCAATGTCCAGAATCAGGCCCACATTAGCATAGTTATTATTATTAGACATTGTGACTGTCACACTGTAAGTGTGTGTATACAATACAATACCTGTACTTGTGTTTGTTTCACGATGTCCAGAATCAGGTCCACATTAGCATAGTTATTATTATTAGACATTGTGACTGTCACACTGTAAGTGTGTGTATACAATACCATACCTGTACTTGTGTTCGTTTAGCAATGTCCAGAATCAGGCCCACATTAGCATAGTTATTATTATTAGACATTGTGACTGTCACACTGTAAGTGTGTGTATACAATACCATACCTGTACTTGTGTTTGTTTAGCAATGTCCAGAATCAGGCCCACATTAGCATAGTTATTATTATTAGAGGTTGCACTTTGTAAATACAGCTGTTTCTCAAACCACGCCTCTTTTGGGGAGATATATAATATTCATAGATATGCTAATTTGTTAATGTACTGGTTCCCATTTATGATCTCTGTGTTTCATCTCATAGAGACATCACTTGGGAATGTAACCAGTATAGAAAAACATGGTAACGCCTAAATCTTAATTCTTAGGAGGTCCAAAAATGGAGGTAAGGGTAGTATAGAATTTTAGTATAAGTTTAAACTCTTAGAAGTTCAGGGCATATAAATGTTGAAAATATGCCGCACAGCCCTATATTTTGACCTTTGAATAAAATAGTAGTGCATATAAACTTTCCGTTCTAGGATATTATTTTTCACGAAACTTCATAGTAAAAGTGTCACAGTTTTAGCCGCAAAGGGAGTTCCTATGGGAAACTGCATTGTCTATATTTACAGAATTGCAACCTAGACATTGTGACTGTCATACTGTAAGTGTGTGTATACAATACCATACCTGTACTTGTGTTCGTTTAGCAATGTCCAGAATCAGGTCCACATTAGCATAGTTATTATTATTAGATCCCCCTGGTACTTGTGCATACTGGTCTGCCATCCTAATGTATTCTGGAAAAAAATAATTAAAAATTTGAGATTTTCTGTGAAATTTTGAAACTATGGAGTTATATCTGAAAATAAATAAGGGCCATTATTCTCTCTTCTTATATTAACATGGAATGCTCGAGTCAGAGGTGCTGTCTTTCACAAGGAAATTCTATCTGAAAGTATAGAAGTGATTAGCATCTATTTATAAGGGTTTCCATTTTTTGGCTCAAAACACTTTTTAATCTTATCAGTTTAGAATTGCTTTGACAAACTAAATCATTATGGATAGAATAAGTTGAACTGTGAAATACTGTTCACTTATATTATCCCTTTTATCAGTAATCGGTTAACAAGAAGTTGATAAGTGATTGATGACAATGCATCACACAATAAAGCGTGATTGCACATAGCTAGACACCAAATTTCAGGAAGCTGTGATTTTCAATTCCTGAGATAAACGAGATGAAATTTTCATAAATGTCAATTACTTGTAAGAATATATAAGTATTCGGTAAACAGGAAGTTGATCGAGTTATGAATGTGAAAATACATCATAACATACTCACATAAAGCTTTTTACCAAACTAAAGGAATCACTTGTTTGTAGTTCCTCACAAAGATGCTACAAAAATGTCATAGAACGAACAGAAACATAGACAGCCAGACTGACAGGGGATAACCAGTATACCCCCTCCTTTGGTGGAGCGGTATCATTATTTGGATACAAACCAGCTTATATCATATCATCATTCAAGGGTACAGTATTGTCACTGATTTAAGCATACTAAACATTTACCAGCATTTGCTTTTAAATCTTCTGGTGTAACCATGACAACAAATCTGACAGCCTTCTCGTTACGGAACATCTCATAAGACCATCTCCTGATGGATCTCATACACTTTACAGCAGCTATACCATTGTTGGCTATCAATACCTAGAGAGAGAAAAATGTCTTTATCAATTTAAAAACTATGAACTATTGTTCCTTGTTAAATAATAAACTAGTAAAACATGATAACAATCAATTTGTTTTATAAAGGTATCTGCTTTATACATCCTGTCAGATTTCTCAGAGGCAGAATAAATCAGTCAACTTTTTTGTTTTGCTAAATTTGATTTCCCAATTGTGGTATCTATATTTGTGGTATATTTAGGAAACTTCCAATGAATATATTATTTGGTCAAAGATGTATTATTCTGCAAATGATGATTGAGAATAAACTACTATAATTACAGTGTAGTACATATCTCTGTGCAAATTATTCTAACGTTGCTATGACATTATAGTTTATTTTTCACATGACAACAAGAAATCTCTTTACAGATTTGTTGGTTGTTGCTATAGTTACTAACATCAGATATAACACCAACTTAAGTAAATGTCAAGATTCCTACACTTGTTGATCTGAAGTTAATAACGTAAATACCCTTAATTGCTTTACCTCTATTTGCTGTTCTTATGGTGTCCTTAACATCCTCCCCACCCCTGTCCCCCTCAAACTCACATGTCAAAGCTATTTTCAACCATGGCAACTAACCTAATTATTATCAATCTTGCTGACAAAAACTAAAAATCTGGCAAGAATTGTACGTGTGAGAGTGCTTACTATGCAATTTTTCATATAACTAATATTTCCAAGGGCATCACTCTTAAAATAAAAGTTGATCTGCACTGATTTTCAAACCTGTTGCTGATATAGATCTTTGATATAAATTTGATATAAATTTGATTAGAATTGTACATTTGATAGTACTTACAATGCAATTTTCCATATAATTAAGATTTCAAGAAGCATATAAACACTTTTTTTTTAAAGTTGATCTGCACTGATATTCATAATTAGCAGAGACATTGCTGATACAAACTATGATACAAATTTGATAAAAACTTGCTGGATTGTGAGAAAACGTACAAGACTGGACGGACAGACACACTATCAATAACAAGACATTCTAAAAATCTGTTGACAAATTCCTCCGGTGTTGCTATAACAACTAACCTTATTCATAACATCATTCCCTCCAAATCTCTAGACAAATTTCTCAGGTGTTGCTATGACAACTAACCTTATTTATAACATGATTCCCTCCAAATCTCTTGACAAATTCCTCTGGTGTTGCAACCACACAATCTTTAGGTGACAGACTCAACTTTTTCCCTTTGGTGTCCAAGTTGGTAGCTCCCGACATTGAATGCCTGTTTATAAAATCAATTTAGTTATTAAAATTTGTACAATATTTAAAATGAATATCTCCTTGACATCAGGTGTATCCTTATCAAAGGAAAATAATAATAGCATAAACAATTTTGTAACCAAAATGAAATAAATGTAATACATTGAGTGTAGTCACTGGTCATTAAGCAATGGTTCAAGACACATATGATTTAAGAACAATCTTTAAAGTTAAATTCTAAACATAATATTTATTCCAGAACATATCTAAAATTGATGGTTACTTAAAATTTTGACTGAGAAATATTTCACCTCATTGCATTCAATACTACCTATTCTGTTTATATTGGACTTTTCATATGTAGCAAAATAAAAATAATCAACAGAAGGCATAAGTGTTCAAATATTACTTTTACAATAATCCATTATGGGCAGTTTGTGAAAAGAATACCATGAATACTTACTAGAGTAAGATATACTGAATTATCTTACAGATAATGTGAGATCATTCTTTTTAATTTTGATCTTATTTATTTTTTTTGTGTTTTTCTTTCACTTTTTCTACCTGTAAGGGCCTAGTCATAAATAAACGACTAAATTCAAGTTTTAAAATTGTAATATTTGTTTCCCACTACTAAACTTAGAGTACATCATAATCACACATACAAAATATCTGTCAACCAAAAACCTGTAAAAGAAAAAAGCAATGTCAAACCAATAAGCAAAGTGCAAAGTATTTAAACTAATTAAGCCAAAGAGGAAATAACAATATTTTTCTGACATGAACATTCCCCTGTTGGGTTAAATAGGAACTGTAGTGGGTTGTTTTTCTTTTAAGTTCTAATCACATAAGCACATTATCATAATGAAAAAGAAAGAAAATAGTGCATTAAATTATGCACCAAAATCCAAAAACAGGCACTAAAAAAATATATATTGTAGTTTTTCATCTTAAAGTCACAGTGAGGCCTTCAAGGGGGAGCTTAATCTCACACCTCACTACAAGTTCAAGACAGTGCCTGTCATTTTTGATGAATTTTATTCTGAACTTTTATCTCTGTGACCAAGATTTAAAAACATCACTACCTTTAAAACATGAGAAGAAAACTTATGATTGAAATTCAAAGATGCTTTTCTCAAATTAACAGTATAATACTTTCTTTCATCGATAATAACTTTCAAGTAAATTTTACCATGGTTACCATGAAATAAGTTCATCTAAAGATATTATCAATCATAATAGAGTCATTCCCATTTTGTTTTTGGAAACTTCTACAAAAAAATTTGGCTAATATAAAATTTATTCTGCCAATTTTGAGGCATGTTCATGTCAGTAACGTTAGCAAATATTAAAAGAAAGATAATTTTCATGCAAGTTTTAGTTGAACAAAGCTTGAGACTGATGAAGGTTTTGTAAACTATTACTTCAAAAACTCTGTACTAAATAAACTAGAGGCTCTAAAGAGCCTGTGTCGCTCACCTTGGTCTATGTGCATATTAAACAAAGGACACAGATGGATTCATGACAGAATTGTGTTTTGGTGATGGTGATGTGTTTGTAGATCTTACTTTACTGAACATTCTTGATGCTTTATCTATAATGAACTTGGCCCAGTAGTTTCAGTGGAAATTATTTTGTAAAAATTTACAAAATTTATGAAAATTGTTAAAAATTGATTATAAAGGGCAATAACTCCTTAAGGGGTCAATTGACCATTTTGGTCATGTTGACTTATTTGTAGGTCTATCTTTGCTGTACATTATTGCTGTTTACAGTTTATCTCTATCTATAATAATATTCAAGATAATAACCAAAAGCTGAAAAAATTTCTAAAAATTACCAATTCAGGGGCAGCAACCCAACAACGGGTTGCCTGAATGGTCTGAAAATTTAAGGGCAGATAGATCTTGACCTAATGAACAATTTTGTTTTTGAAAGATTTGCTCGAAATGTTTTGTGTTTAGATATATGAGCCAAAAACTGCATTTTACCCTATGTACTATTATTAGCCATGTCGGCCATCTTGGTTCGCGGGCGGGGTCATCAGACACAATTTTTAAACTTCATACCCTAATGATGATTGTTTACAACTTTGGTTAAATTCATCTTAGTAGTTTCAGAGGAGAAGATTTTTGTAAAAGGTAACAAAAATTTACTAAAAATTGTTAAAAATTGACTATAAAAGGGCAATAACTCCTTAAGGGGTCAACTGACCATTTTGGTCATGTTGACTTATTTGTAGAACTTACTTTGCTGAACATTATTGCTGTTTACAGTTTATCTCTATCTATAATAATATTCAAGATAATAACCAAATACGGCAAAAATTCCTTAAAATTACTAATTCAGAGGCAGCAACCTAACAACGGGTTGTCCGATTTATCTGAAAATTTCAGGGCAGATAGATCTTGACCTGATAAACATTTTTACCTCATGTCAGATTTGCTCTCAATGCTTTGGTTTCAGAGATATAAGCCAAAATCTACATTTTACCCCTATGTTCTATTTTTAGCCATGTCGGCCATTTTGGTTGGTTGGCCGGGTCACCAGACACATTTTTTAAACTAGATACCCTAATGATGATTGTGGCTAAGTTTGGTTAAATTTGGCCCAGTAGTTTCAGAGGAGAAGATTTTTGTAAAAGTTTACAGACGACGGACGACAAGTGATGAGAAAAAACCCTGTACAAATCAAAACTCTGTATAAAATCAAAAACTTTGTACAAAATCAAAAACTCTGTACAAAACAAAAACACTGTACAAAATCAAAAACTCTGTACAAAACCAAAACTCTGTACAAAATCCAAAACTCTGTACAAAATCAAAAACTCTGTACAAAATCAAAAACTCTGTACAAAACAAAAACACTGTACAAAATCAAAAACTCTGTACAAAATCAAAAACTCTGTACAAAACAAAAACACTGTACAAAATCAAAAACTCTGTACAAAATCAAAAACTCTGTACAAAACAAAAGCACTGTACAAAATCAAAAACACTGTACAAAACCAAAACTCTGTACAAAATCAAAACTCTGTACAAATCAAATACTCTGTACAAATCAAATACTCTGTACAAAATCAAAACTCTGTACAAAATCAAATAACAATACAAATGTGACAACAATAAGCATCTGCTTTCACGCCTTAGATTGATTGATTGTTGGTTGCTTAACGTCCAGTGTTCATGCCTTAGATTGATTGATTGTTGGTTGCTTAACGTCCAGTGTTCATGCCTTAGAACATGATCAATTCTAAATTCTAAATTGTGCAATCTGTTTCAATGTATGCAATTCTAGCTTAACTTTTAATAGATAATACCTTTAATAACAAAATAAGAAGATGTGGTGTGATTGTCAATGAGACAACTACCCAACAGAGACCAAATGACATAGAAGCATGTAATGATATTCACTTAAAGAGTTAAGAATACATTTTTCTGTTATAAACTATTTGATTAATTAATTTTTTGAAATTTTGCAATAACAACCAAAACTATAAAATTTTGCTTATATTAACATGATTAAGGCCAAACAAAACAAGTTTAGCTTCTCAGCTTCTCAGATCATGGACATTTTAACCCATTTCTCCTCATTGAAGTAAACACAATTTGAAGAAATAATCAGATACAAACAAGTTTTAACTGTGAGCTCTGAATGGGAAAGCACATCACACTGTATAGCATGCTCACATGAAGCTTGAAACTAAAATCTAGGAAGCTATGATTTTCAGTTCCATAGAAAAATGCACAGAAATTTCATGGGTGAAACAGTATGGAGCAGGAGTATATTAATGTCATTCAAACTTGCATTTCAATAAATGGTCACAATATGTAGTGATATCATTTGAGTGCAGATATCTTTATACTTTTTATCATGCTCAGAACTTGAACTTAAAATCAACTTTACAAATAAATATTGATATTATAAAGTCAAGGCTTATTTAATTAATTTACCTTTAGTATTTTTCTTCCTTTTAAAATACACTGATAATGAATATAAATGTTATAGTGACTATCAAGGTACAACAAGCAAGATAAGTCTTGATATAAATATATATATATATATATATATATGTAAAGTTCCTAATCATTATCTACAAGCAGATCAAAACATAATGATAACACTTACTGTTTGTTTATGTAGATCCTAAAATGAATTATATAATTCACGAGGTGCACCAAGATCTTACTTTTTTTTGTATCCATGGATAATAAGAATGTGTTATGATATTGAACCAAGAGGATCTTATCAAGTATAAGTGAATTCAATCATATTTATCAATTATATTCTCTCAGTAATATAGTAAAAAGGGTATATCTTAAAATTCTTTTTGGCGCTGACGCAACGTTAAGCAATCATTAATCAATCTAAAATGTGACATGCATTTGACCTAGTTCTTATCGATGCATCGAAAAATTTGTACTTTTTGTTCACAATTGGAAATGAATTTACTGTATAAATACTATAATGTAATCATAATATATTAACCCAAATAAATATGACAAGTATAACAGCAAAGGTGTAAAAAACTGTGTGAAAGACACGTGATTGACAGACATCAGTCAATTATAATATTTTAGCCATTACAGATTTATAAAGAAAATAAAGCTGTCTCCAGGTCAACCTTAGGTAACTGTAACTTGCATTACTTTTTAAAACTATATCCTTCATTTCAGCATTATTTTGAAGTATATTGTATAATAGCATAAATCAAGATTGAATATAGAATGTCAAATTTGTTAAGAGTGAGACATAATTTTCCAAGAATTTACGTAATAGAGATTACTGTTGAGGACCACTTCTATTTTTGTCAATTATTCAATCCTTCAGTCATAGAATTATTTCACTTTTCGACGATAAGAAAATTTTAAAACCATGTCCTATATCTAACTTAAATCAAATTCTAACATTTATGACATTTTGTGTAATTTGTTAATGAAAACCTTCATCAATTTTGTTTTGCAAAACCAACATCCCAATTAAAACAATGCAACATAAACCAGAATTTGATGACTTGCACTAAGCTTTCAGAGAAATCGGTTTCTGAGTTTCTCATGGTCGAGGACATGCTGCATATCAGACGAGGCTGAAACAACTGTCGTTTTGGTGACAAACAAAGATCACTCAGACTTGAACCATACTTTAATCTGGCTGGAGACTGCTGGCGATTGTCATGTGCCAATGGGGAGTTGATTGGAGTTTTCTCTTCATCAATGTCTAGTCGACTTTCAGGCTGCTTAGTTTCCATCCTCTCAGACTCAGATTTATCTTCGTCATCACCAACCTCAAACTTCACCTTATTTTTTTCATTGTTCGCCATACCATTCAATCTATGAAAATAAATGAAAATAAACTGACAATTGTCAAAGATTTAACGTTTATAACTAAATGCTCCTTTAAAATGTTTTAAGATTCTTAAATTTAAAAGGAAAAGAAATGAAAATTGGTGGATATCAAAGGATAAACTAGTATATGGCTGTCCTCCACATTCAAACTTCACTCAATACAAAACCTGTGGTGGTTAACAAAAATTATACAAGCTTTTCACAGTAAAATTTAGCAGCCACAAGCTCTCACTCATAATTTGGAAATATATAAATTCTATTGACATGTAGAAGAAATTTTTACAGGCCTTATAGAACATGTAGAAATTTTACAAGTTGGTGCTGGTGGGCCTGTGGCCAAGCTTAAACAATGAATTATTTGGACAATGTATCACTGACCACTTCCATGGCATGAAAATGTTATGAGCTTAACAGGAGCCAGATTGATGGAGCAAATATTTATACTCAATGATTATTTTATTGTGTGGAAGTTTAATGCACATCCATGAATAATACACAATAATTAGTGTGCATGAGTACATAAGTATATTTTATTAATCAAAATGCCAAGTTAAAATAACAATCTTATAATTATGTACCAAACGTGTATGTAAAAAGTTGTTTATTTTAGGTATAAAAATTTAAATAAGATTTAAAAAAATCTGGAGTCTCTGCTATATCTGTAATAATAATTTGGATATTTGATTAAAAAAAGTTTTCTCAAAAAGGAATTAATAAGAAAAAAAATGAGTCCAGTTTACAAAAAAGAGAACAGGAAAAAAAAAATCAGCAATTTTTCTGTTTACAAAGGGCACAACTCACGAACGGTAAAAGTGATGCCACCCAATTTCGAACTGGATCTGTGTTTTGTGGAAATAAGCATTTTGTATAAGTTTTATAACATTTGGTTGAGGCAAACTAAAGTTCGAGAACAGAAACCAGATGGGACGGGACGGACAAGGGTAACACTTAATGCCCCCTCCGCTATAGTGGGGGCATAAAAATTTGAGATAATCAATTGTTATATTTGAAATCAATGACATACATGAATAGGTGAAATTTGAGCCTGATGCTTTTGTTGCAGGCAATTAAAAACCCATACAACATTTTTTAAATACCAAAAGACACCTGAAACAGCTCTTTCTTAACACACTTGTATACTAAGTTGAATAATCTCAAATATTATAAAGCAAATGATGTATATCTCAAACTATGACAAATCAAGTTTTATAAAATTTATCAGCCAAACCTTTAAACATTTATTTGACAATACCAAAGAAAACTACAAAACAAAAGATATACTTCATTAATAAAGAGTACATAAAGCAAACTTCATTTTACAAAAAAAGAATAACTTTTGTAATGGTTATTGAAATATTGTAGTTTTAAATAATCAGTTAAAAGTTTAAGATGTGTATTATATATATAAACATTTTTCTGCAATTACTTATTCAAGTATAAACTTTCATTTTTCGGATTTTCAAGTTTGCAAGTCTGTTTATTGTAAATAATGTTATACTGTAAACTCAGAAATTATTGCGTGCATTTATTATTGCGATTTTGTCATTTAAGACTAAAATGCAATTTTAACTTTTGTGATATTGAGAAAAATCCTGTTTAATTCATATAATTCATATAAAAAAATTCAAAATGCGAGTTTAAATTATTGCAATTATAACCCTGTCGCATTTTTCGCAATAATAAAAACATCGCAATAATTTCTGAATTTACAGCAATTGAGATTTTTAAGACAAAAAATATAAAAGGCTGTGTAAGAGAACAACTCAGTGTGTGAATCTCATGGTTGAGAAAGGAAATAAACCTGTTGGTCTTTTTCTTGTTCCTAAACCCCTAGTGTGTTCTACATATAATACATTGAAACAAATTAAAATATCTGACCATATGGAACCTTTCAATTTTGTAATGAAATGCTAGGTACTTAATGCAGTATAGATTTCTGTATGAATAATATTACATCATTGTTTAAATTAGAACTTTAACATTTAAGTTAATGCTTTGCAAAGTGTGACATTTTATTCAGTCTTTGGAATTAAATGCCAAAACAAAATGAGCATGATTTAAACCTTTCACTCAATTCAAAGCTGACAGACTAAATATTTTTGTGGCATTTTCAAATGATAAAAAATTGAAATAAAAAAATATATACCTTTTCCTGAATTTTCCTGAAAAAACTAATAAGTTTTCATGATGTACAGCAAGTTAATGAGGGATAAATATGTGTACAGATTGTTGATAATTATGTTAATATTGACCTTCTAAATCATACAAAGTCCATTTACCACATACTTATAAATGTAAACCACAAAAAAGTACATACATGTATATATCACATGTATATCCACTCGTAAATATTACCTTTTTAATTCAAACAACACTACTTGTAAATACTACCCTTTTAAAAACTAAACTTTGTCCATATATCACATATTCATTAACATGATAAATATTACCTTAATTTCTAAGGTACAAAAACAGTCCAAATATCACATACTTACAAATAGTACCCTTCCAATTTCACATCAGTCCATATGCCACAAACATATACTTATATAATTCCACTTGTATTCTAAATATATACCTAGTTTGTGTTATGTAAAAAGGTAAATAGTAAAAAGTGTCAGTGTGAAGGATTTATGCCTTTATAATGTCTTTGGTAAGATATAGATCAGGATGTTTACAAAGATGTATAGTATGCATACTAAATGTATTTTATGTAATATGTTTCTTTGGAATAGAGGGGATATGAGATGAACTGCTTTGACCAGTATTATTTGGAGAATGTCCCTACCCCAGGTCACTTCAGCCTTACCCTTCATCAGTTTTCATTCATACATAATAAAAGATTTAATTGATGGTTGTTTTATAGGAATTGTATGGATGATCATTGCAGTTGTGTACAGTTTCTGTCCATCCATATTAGTTGAATCAACTACAATCAATGCTTTTTGCAATTTTTCCATTTATAAAGGGGCATAACTCTAGAACGGTTGAAGTGACACCAAAAAAGTTCAAACTTAATCTGTGTTTTGTGGTAATAAGCATTGTGTATAAGTTTCATAACATTTGGTTGAGGCAAACTCAAGTTAGAGAACGGAAACCAATTTTGGTACGTATGTACGAACGTACAGACGGTCCACAAGGGTAAAACTTAATGCCCCCACCGCTACGGCGGAGGCATAAAAACAGTCAAATACTGATATATTTTTGTTTTTATGCAAGTCGAAATTTTATGATTTTATTCATTGAAAATATTAATTATCAATTGTCCCTTCATAATCATTATTAATAGTCTATTCATCTGAAGCAGCTTTTACCAGAACAGACTTGTTCTAGTCTGAAGACTAAAAATTACTCCTTCAGGTCGATTCTTGTAATAAGGGGACATAACCCTACTGAAAAATAACTAATCTATGTGAATTTTCAGCTGTACAAAAATTGTCTTGCAGAAGTCATTTTATATTTGAATTGAGGTTTGCCTAATATCAACTTGTTTTAAGTCGAATTGCGGTTCATGAAAAAAAAGAGATAACTCTTGTCCTTTACTTATTTTGACTTGTATAAATCAAAACATGTTTTGACTTGTAAGTGTCTGAGCTCTGACTGTTCAAGACATCATAATTATTTGGGCTACGTACAGTAGTTTTAATTTTGCGTGTTTTGTATAAACATTCAATATTAAAATTATATTTTTATGGACTTCTTCCTCTTTCACGGGTAGTACTAACGATGGAAGATGTTTTGGCCACACTAACAGTTTGGCCATAGTCGTTTTGACAAATGCTTGAGTAGCCCTTTGAAGTCCTGACCTTGCAGCAAAAATGGAACCCAAAATGCCTGATTTAATCATTCTGAAACCTGTACATAATATAGATATAAGAAGATGTGGTATGAGTGCCAATGAGACAACTCTCCATCCAAGTCAAAATTTATAAAAGTAAACCATTATAGGTCACAGTACGGTCTTCAACACGGAGCCTTGGCTCACACCGAACAGTAAGCTATAAAGGGCCCCAAAAAATTACTAGTGTAAAACCATTCAAACGGGAAAACCAACGGTCTAATCTATATAAAAAAAGAGAAACACTTAAGAACCACATCAACAAACGACAACTACTGAACATCAGATTCCTGACTGAGGACAGGTGCAAACAAATGCAGCGGGTTTAAACGTTTTAATGGTACCAAACCTTCACCCTTTTTCTGAAACAATAGTGTAACATCACAACATAGAAAGACACACTATAAAATATCAACTGAAATAGCTTAACTCAATCAAAGGACATATTAACACCATTGAACATACACTGAACAAATAAATTTGACCTATGACACAATGTAAATACAAAATAAATAAACTAAGGGAAGAATAATAAAAGTAACATGTTATATCGGTAAGAAATGTTAAACAATTAAAGAAAAACAATATGCTCGAACAAAAATACCATCCATTTGTAATAACTTTAAACACAGGTAAATGAAAATAATTTTGTTGTCAGGTATACGTGTACAGTACCAATAGAGAAAGGAAATATTATTACAAAATAAATAATTTTGATGTTCATAGTACGAAGTGAAAATTTATAGTTATACCAAACACTTATAAAAGCTGGTATATAGACCAGATATAACCCTGAATAACATTAAATAACAAAAAAGCAATACAATTAGTATCAACAGGTCAAATAAACAAGAAAGTACGATTTTGAGAGTACTCGCAGTTACTGACAGCTAGTTAAAAGCCAAAACAATTAATAATAAAAAATCATGCATCAGAGACTAAAATCAACTAAAACACATCCCAGGGATTTAGTATTTTAACGTCATGGACAGTCAAAGAAGACATGACTAGTGCAATGCCAAAAATAAATGTATCGACAGACAGTAGGATAGTTAGGAGTTTAACCTCTTTATAGATCTAAACGAACGTGGGTGTGTCTATATACATCCCACTTGAAAAAAATACAAATTTAGTTATGTTTTAATTTGCTGATGACAAAATCGTTATTAGTGCCAATGTAAACTATATTCAAAGATCTAATTACAACATTGGTAAGATAACCTTTACTAATAAGCCTGTTTAAAGGTTCAATGAGTTTACACGGATCACATAGTGATTTCCGCGCTTTAAGTACAATATTACCGTAAAATTTAGGATGTGAAATACCGTTTTTAATCAGTTTTCTACAAGTACAGCCAAATTTACTAATCAAATCTTTGTATCTATGAAAGAACTTAGCAAAAGTTTTACGTAATTTATGGTAACGAAATCCTTAATTTAATAATTTACTAGTGATGCATTGATTACGTTCGTTAAAATCTATGACATCACTACACACACGGGCATAACGAACGAGTTGGGATATATATACACCGTATGATGGAGCCAAAGGAACATCGCCGTCTAAAAAAGGAAAATTAACAAAAGGGAAAGAAAAATCGTCTCTTTTGTCGTAAATTTTCGTATGAAGTTTTCCTTTAGAGATTGAAATGTCCAAATCCAGAAAAGGACAACTACTGCTGTTTATGTTAGATTTAGTTAAAGTAAGTTCAATTGGGTAAATTTCAGTAGTATATTTAGAGAACTCTGGATTATCTAACGAAAAAATATCATCTAGATAACGGAAGGTATTGTTGAATGTATCAACCAAATGTAACAATGACGTGTCTTTACTGAGTTTGGTCATAAACTGAGATTCATAGCAATACAGGAATAAATCTGCTATTAAAGGGGCGCAGTTAGTGCCCATAGGAATACCTACTACCTGTCGATACATTCTATCGCCGAAACGTACATATATGTTGTCCAGGAGAAAATTTAAAGCTTCAATCATATCTTCACATTTCCAGTAAGTGTATCTAGCATACTTTCCTTTTTCGTTACAGAAAAAGGCTTTAAACGAGTTACAGCAAATAAATTTGTAATGAGATTTTTCAAAAGACCATTTAATTAAATATGAAAACTTTTTCTTGATAAGATTGTGTGGAAGTGTAGTATAGAGAGTAGAAAAATCATAACTGTCAACAGAATTAAAAGGACCATCAAAAGCATGTATTTTATCTAAAACCTCTAAAGAATTTTTAACACTCCAAAAATAATTAATACCATTATTTTCATAAGCTTTATTACAAAAGTTAATAACAAGTTCTTTGATAGTAGTAAGGGAGGTAGTTAGAAGCACTGATAGATTAGTAGTAGAACACTTACTAGATGCGGAGATGAAACGGAATTTAAATGGTTTTTTGTGCAATTTAGGTAACCAGTACATAGTAGGGACTTTCAAATGTTCGGAAGAGGCCTTAAGCTGGGTAGTGGCAGTGATATGCTTGTTTCCAATTTGACTCTCTGTGGAGCGTACGGACCTGAATGTAGATGAATTTGTAATTTCGTTTTGGAGAACTTCCGTGTAGTATATGCGTCACACCACCACTACATTATTTGCTGCTTTGTCTGCCGGTACGAACACAAACATAAGAATTTTTTTAAAATACATTTTTTATTCTATTATTCTAATTATAAAAAAAATGAGAACAAAATTGATCTCAATTTCAACATGAGAACGGTTAAAAAATTAGCTCCATTAATGCTGCAGAACATGTTCTGGTAGTTGAGGTATTTTGGGCTCATGGTCATTTATTATTAAAAACAAATAGTGCTTTTGTTTATATATACATGTACTCTTACACTGTTTTTCCCTCTTCTGTTCTCTGGTATATATATGTCTCTGCTGTGATATATAAAAAAGAAATAGTCTTGTGTATGCATATTTCACAGCAGATTCACACTTGACAAAATAACTTTTTTTAAGTAAAATCCCTTTTAAAATAAATTTCTGTCAAACATTTAATGCATATACATGTATATATATATATATATAACTCCTCCGTCTCTAGAGAAACACTAATGCAGTTGTTGGTTGATTTTATCTGCGAGTCACATCGTTTTTGATTAAGATATTTTTTTAGTTTTTTTTTACTACAAATGTTTAATCACATTTTTTTTTCATTTTTTTTTCTTAAGGTTCATCTATACACTTTAACAAAAATGGCTGTGTTTACTCCATGAAATTTTCTCTGAGTACAGTCAAAACTGTGTAATTTTTTAAGTTTTTAATCCTGGCAGCACCTAGATATATAAATGTTACATCCAATTTATGTTCTAAAAAGTAAAAACACTTTATGGATTTTGATGAACATTTTCTTTCCTTGCCAAATAAGATGGTGAAATAAACAAACACCTGAGTTTTCTTTGATACAGTCCACTCATTTACGCTATTCAAATCACCTTTGTTGTGAGTAGATTTCTATTGTCCATTTCAATCAATATGATACAATACAATCATTACCAGAGGGGGACCATCTCAAAGATTTTACATGACTTAGTTTATTTTAAAACCACCTGTGGCAAGGAAAGAAAATGTTTAGCAAAAATCACAAAGGTTTTTATCTTCTTAAAACACAAAATGAATACAACTTGTATATATCTAGGTGCTGCCAGGATTTAAAACTATTAAAATTACACAGTTTTGTCTGCAATCAGAGAAAATTTCATGGTGTAAACACAGCCATTTTTGATGAAGTGTATAGATGAACCTTAATATTTTAATACAGTTGCCACTGTATATGTATAATTAAAGTACAAGTGAGTTGTTTACCAGAGTGAAAATTGTACTTGCGAGACTTATATTACAAGAGAGACAAAATTATCCAGTGTCAACAGCGACACCTACAGAATACAGAATATAGATATAAGAAGATGTGGTATGAGTGCCAATGAGACAACTCTCCATCCAAGTCAAAATTTATAAAAGTAAACCATTATAGGTCACAGTACGGTCTTAAAAACGGAACCTTGGCTCACACCGAACAGTAAGCTATAAAGGGCCCCAAAAAAAATTACTAGTGTAAAACCATTCAAACGGGAATATATGTTAAAAACATTATGAAATGGTGTGGCCGAATTGATAAGGGGACGAAGTCCCCTATTACGGTAGAAAAATCAATAAAATAAAAAAAAAAAAAAAAAAAAATCAGGAAAAATTCCTGAAATTTTCATTCTACTAATGAACTCAAAATCGTTAACTTTTTTATTTTCAGACTTTCTTGTTTTCCCTCGTTTGCGCAGAAATCTACTTCCCTTTTCCGGTCTCGTTTGCATGAGTCTTTGAGTAAAATATATATTTATCAGTCTAGTAAAATATAGGAAGGAACGCAATACCAATTTCATTTTTAATAATTCCTTGAATGGCTTGATATGAAAAAACGTTACTTGATGATAGCGTTTTTTTTACTTTGTTTACAGTGAATATGACGTCAAAACATAAATAACGTCACAACTAAAATCCCTAACAACAGAACCGAAATCGGAAACGTTACGGTATAATTTGCCGTTTGTTTTTTAACAGATTTTGAAGTTAAATTATGTTTGAATCATTAAAAAAATAATTCATACCGACTTCGTCCCCTTTCACAGGTAATGCCTGCCTAATATTAATGCCCGAAACGACTTGTAGCCGAACTGGGTTTGTTTGGCCGAAACGTCTTGAAAGCGCCTGCCTCATCTTATATTAAATTCTTATCTGGAGCTCTGAAAACTAAAATTTAGTGTAAAGTCAAGATGTTATGCCCAGATACAATCATTTTTGTATTTAGAAAGTATGTGAAAGGGCCAGCATGTCTTATCGTTTACCTACCAAGATCAGCTGTTCGTGTCTTTTGTATATATTTTGGTTATTCTTGAGAAAAATTATGTTTTCCAATAAAGTTCCATGGCATCGGCTGATCAGTGGCGTGAGTAGTTATTTTCGGATCTCTCTTAAGGAATCTAAACGAAAAGTCAAGAGGATTCCAAAAGATAAAACCTGCTAAATTAAGCTCGTCTTTTCCGTACAGACATATGAGTATAATGAAATCAAAAAGAACTATATTTTAATTAGATTGGGTAGGGACAGTCTATACTAACGGGACTGGTCACTTATAGCAATGTCTATACAAATGTGCAGACAGAACTGTGCCGTCGCTGATGTCACGTGACTTCATAGCAAATCATTTCACATTTACGAAGTTCTTCATAACTATATGTTCAAAAAATTGAAAACAACACTTTTAATAATTTCATGCGTTGGGAACAAGTTAAGAACACTGATATCGTAAATTTAAAAAACATTTTCAAATTAGAAAAATATTCAAGTTGTGGTAATGAAAATGAAAGAAGATTCTTAACTCAATTTAGAGTAAGCTCACATAACCTAAACATTGAAATGTGAAGATATTGTAACTTGGATCTGAGACTACTATTATAGTAGTCTCAGCTTGGATAATATGAGGAAGGCGCTACCTTGAATGCCAGCTTATCAAAACTATGTCCTACATATTGATTGATTGTTGGTTTGCTTAACTCCCAGTGGGCAAAAAGTAAAATAACAAAAATACCGAATTCCAAGGAAAATTCAAAACGGATAGTCATTTATCAAATGGCAAAATCAAAAGATCAAACACATCAAACGAATGGTAAACAACTGTCATATTCCAGATTTGGTACAGGCATTTCCTTATGTAGAAATTCAATGGCAACAAATGTAAATATCCAAAAAAAGGTTATCCGTTACTTAAATAAATAAATAAAAATCGCAGTATCTTTACTCGCTGATCATATTTTATCATGTCAGTTTTCTCTTTGAGACATGAAGAAAAATCCTATGTTTTACATTTTCCTATATACAGTCTTGTTTTTTCACCCAATGGACATTTGTAGAGAACATGTCATATATCCTTTCTGACAAATTTGAAAAAAAACATTTGGCTATATTGTTTTATAAGATTTTTTCAAGGTTTAAGAAGGACGTACGACGGACGCCACGTGATGCCATGAGCTTATATGGCCTTACGGTGAGCTAAACATGGAGAGAATGATGAAAAGGGGATAATAAAAACACAATTCCAAAAAGGACAGACACAACCATGGCCAAAAGAAAATATAAAAAAAAACTACAGATTGGGACACTCCTCCCAACTAGTCGTCTCGTCTTGCTACTCCTTTTATAATCTGTTGATGAAACATCTCCGGCGATAGGACATCACACAATAACGAGTTATTGGATGCTACTCCGCGTTAACCCTTAGAAATTTCAAATTTAAAAACTGTCGATACAATTAAATCCTCTATCCCTATTTAATGACCGAAAATAAACTAGAATTTGTCATCTAAATATATACAGGTATTATTAAAATTGTGTCTTTGGTAAGGGTGAAAAACTAGAAGTTCTCCGCATTTTATCGGAGTACTAGTAAAAAGGATTATGTTTGTTTTATGTTGTACTGTTACACGACTGTCCCAGGTTAGGGAAAGGTTTGGTGCCAACAAACTAGTTTAACCCCGCCACATTCTGTGTGTGCCTGTTCCAAGTCAGGAACCTGTAAGTCAGTGGTTGTCATTTGTTACTATATATCATATTTGTTTTCGTTCATCATTTTGTTTTGTCATAAATCAGGCCGTTAGTTTTCTTGTTTGAATTGATTTACATTTGTCATTTCGTGGTCTTTTATAGCTGACTATGCGGTATGGGTTTTGCTCATTGTTGAAGGCTGTACGTAGACCCATAGTTGTAAACTTCTATGCTATTTGGTCTCTGGTGGAGAGTTGTCTCATTGGCAATTATATCGCATCTTCTTATCTTTTTTGTTTTTATACATGCATATAAGATAAATAAGAACACAGACGGTACTGCGACATTACCATAGATATTGATATCGAATTATAGTTGTTAATGATAAAAAGGCGGACGTCATACAAGAGGGGATTTACTTTGCGAATTGCAATTGGTTAAACGAGAAAAAGGAAAATCTGAAAAGATTTGAAAATGGTTTAATCCTGTTTGAATGGTTTTACACTAGTCATATTTTGGGCCCTTTATAGCTTGCTGTTCGGTGTGAGCCAAGGCTCCGTGTTGAAGGCCGTACTTTGACCTATAATGGTTTACTTTTATAAATTTTTACTTGGATGGAGAGTTGTCTCATTGGCACTCATACCACATCTTCTTATATCTATATAAAGCCAACGAAAAGTGTTCAGCAAAATTTTGCTTTCGTCGTTTAAGCTCTATCCGTATATATATATATTTTTTAAATCACTCCCGAATGCATCACACAATTTTGACAAAGTTACTGTAGACAAACTCATAGACAAATGCTTTTGTTTAACTTTTTTCTCTTTAATACAGTGACGAGGAGTTAAAAGACAAATCTTTTGCCTTGTTTTGGATCATTAGCGCGAAAAAAATCTTAATCCATCTAATAATTCAAACCAATTTAAATTTATCTATAGAAATATGCATTTGTTGTCACTTTCTATCTGTATTCAGCAATATCTTCTTTCGTTAATATAAGACATTTGATTTTTTTACTTGGTTAATCTTTACAATGATGGCAACATTGGACCTTATTTGTCATATTAGGAATGTTTGCAGACCTCGGTTTTAGATTTAGGACTAACAATTTTTTGAATACTAAACCGTACAATGATTTGAATTTCCGACAACATTGGGTATTTTATAAGTCGATTAGTGTTTACTTTTGAAGTTACCGGCCCGGATATTTAGTGACTGGAAGATGTTGAGTGAGTTTCTATTTATAGTATTGAAAATATATTTTTTTTTAAATCATGCACATGATTTTAAATTGATCATGTTAAACACCTGGAACTTTAAATGATCAGTTGACATTGAGAAAATTGGTATTTTGAATAAGTATTGCGTACTAGTTGATATATAAAATAAGAAGGTGTGGTATGATTGCCAATGAGACAACTCTCCACCAGAGACCAAATGACATAGAAATTAACAACTACAGGTCACCGTACAGCCCTCAACAATGAGCAAAACCCATACCGCACATTCAGACACAAAAGGCCCCGAAATTACATCCATAAAAGAAATAGAACATTGATATCATGGAACATGTAGACAGCTCTCTCACAAGCAAAAACCCCTAACTGTAAAAGTGGGGACACTCAAGAAAAAATAACCGCCCTTCCTAAAAGAATTCTCCAATGTTTGGCACGAACGGTTTCCCAAAAGCGTATACTTTAAGTTCACAAGTAAAACTCTAGTAAAATAGCCATAATGAAAATAATTAACAACTAATATCAAGGTTATATTATAGATGCATAAAGACTTTGAGTACAGTCGGCATATATCAGAGAATTGCAAACATAAAATAAATATCTGTTCCTTTCGTTTTATTTAGAATCTGAACAAAACATAACAGTATGTTTGTATTCACACAAAATTTTGTTTTAAATTGAAACGATCCACGAAAATGAGACGATCGGTGTATCTATCATCCTAAGTCTTACGAGTCGATGACAAGTAATACTTTGTGAAATTTTGTGTATGGAAAGATTTTAGAATCTTAGATTTTGTATGAATATGATTTTTATTTTGATCACTGATCTCTGTTGATATGCAGCAACGATTAAATCGAAGTGGAACACCAGTGTAACAAAGCTTCTTTTAAATTTACAGCAAAATGCATTGAGTGTGTAGGTAAAGGTAATATGTTTGGTTAGCTTGCTTGCTAGCTGAACCATGAAGTCATTATTAAGTTAGGTATACTACCCTCCTTTAAGAGTAGACTAGTCCGACAGATAACCGATCTATCTGTCTGTAGGACTAGACTACTCGAAAAAATTGAAAACAACACGTTTAATAATTTCATGTGTCCGAAGCGCTTTTCTGGATTTACCTTCATCAGGAACGCTCAAAGCCAAACATTTGAAATCCGAGGGATGTATAAGTACCGAAACAGTTGAAGATCTATATGACAAAAATACATAAAACAAATAGCCAAATTCATCTAAGGTCAACTTTGCCTGAGGGAGTTGAAACCTTAGTTTCTATAATTTCTAAATTTATAAACGGACAATTTTATAAAGGTTTGTTATAAATCATGTCAGTACCGAAGTACTGACTACTGAGCTGATGATACCCTCGGGTACTGAATCGACCCAGTGATGTAAAAAATTGAAAACAACACGTTTAATAATTTCATGCGTCCGAAGCGAAAGGGGGGTAGTATACCTTACCTAATAATGACTTCACAGTTCAGCTAGCAAGCAAGCTAGTCAAAGATATTACCTTTACCTACACACCCAATGCATTTTGCTGTAAAGGCATTTTCGGAAGTACGTAAGATACTAGTAATCTATATTTACATACAAAAAGGAGATTACTGATCATAGTGCCAGTGAAACAAGTATCCGTGATGAAAATAGGATACATAGAAATTTTAAATAAAACAAAATGTTATTGTGGTTTCAAAAGAACTCTTACTCAACGGTAAAAATGCCTAAACAGAGACATAAAATACAATAATAATGTATTCTATGTCTCTGGCCTAAATAAACCCTTTTTATTCAGTTACCAAAATCGCAATCCGACTGTTTAGAAGAATAGATATGTCTTACAAAATAGTACCCATTTATCATCCACGGATGGAAATTCTAACCTTACTATTAAAAGAATCCTAAGTGGTTTCGTTTTGCAATACAAACTAAACTTCCCAGTCTAAAAAGGTCACTTTACTCCATGTAACTAATGCTCTTCTGACTTATAGTATCAATTCTAAATTCTAGATATTTTCAATTTCACCTAAATACATCCTTAAGATAAAACATGATTGCCTGTTTATTTCAGATGTGGGTAAGTATCAAGGAGCACATCGTGAGTGAGTGCACCCTTGAAGGTTTCTGTAGTAGCGTTTTTAGTAATGTCAGGGGGTAATTTGTTCCTGTTTTTAATGGTTTGACAAGAGAAAGTAAATTTGTAGCTGTCTTTATTACATTGAATTTGTTTGTGGGAGTCTTTGTTGGTGGATCTTGTAGTAGACCTGACTCTGCTGTAATAAATTTTGCAATGGAATGGCAATATTTTGATTTACAATTTTGTGAAACATTATTAGCCTTGTTCTTAGTCGACGTTCTTGTAATGTTTGCCAATTCATGGTGTCTAACATCTGTTGCACGCATACCTTGCCGCTCGTCCCTGTACTTTTTCTAGAGACCGTATATTTTCATTTGTAAATGGGTCCCATACAGTACAACAGTATTCTAATTTGAGTCTTATAAGTGTTTGGTATGCTCTTTCTTTAATTGTGTGTGATTGGACTTTGAGATTTCTTCAAATGACACATAAGGATTTATTTGCTTTAGCGGCAGTTTTCTGAATGCATGTGTGCGTTCCATTTTAGGTCTTCAGAAATTGTGATAGCTAAGTATTTTGCACGTTTAACTGATTCTAAAATGTGTTCATACATCTTGTAGTAAAAAGTGGATGGGATTTCTCTTGGTTGTTATGTTCATGATGTTACACTTGTCTGGATAGAAAGACATAAGCCAGTCTTGTTTCCATTGTATAGCAGTTTCTAGATCTTCTTGAAGCTTGAGGCAGTCGTTTTGAGATTTCATTTGTCGGTAGATTATACTGTCATCTGCGAAGAGCCTTATTTGGCTATGTTGGGTGTATTCTGGAAGGTCATTTATGTAAATTAGGAAAAGTATCGGTCCTAGCACTGTACCCTGTGGGACACCTGATGTGACTGGAATTTTTTTTAAGATGACATGTTTTCTAAAAGTACTGTTTGAGTTCTGTTTGAAAGAAATGATTCAATCCAGTTTATGATTTGTCCTGATATGCCAAAAGTATTTCATTTTGTATAGTAATCTTTTGTGTGGTACCTTGTCAAAAGCTTTAGCAAAACCCAGGATTATAAGATCTGTTTTTATATTCTTGTCATTGTTTTGTGATAATTCATGTATTAGAGATAACTTGGGGCTCACATGCTCGTTTTGCCCTAAATCCATGTTGTAATTCATATAGTGTGTTATTGGTTTCTAGATGTTGCATCATACTGCTCAGATGCAAAAGCAGATTGAAATTGTTTGTTTAGTATGTTTGCTTTCACAGACGGACTTGAGTGCAGTGTACCTTCACTTCGCAGAGGATCTATGCCAGTGTTTTCATTTTTCTGGCTTTTGATGTAAGAATAGAGTTTTTTAGGTGTATTTTTGAAGCATGGTTGATCTGGCTCCTTTATTTCAATATCAAAAATTATATGTATTGCCAGTACCATTGTTTTTTATACTTGGGATTTTCCCTTTTCTTTTTATATAGTTTGTTTTTCTTGTTGATCAGCTTTTTTAGTTGGTTATTTACCCAAGGTAGTTTTGATTTGTTACCAATCCTTTTTGTTGGAATATGCTTATCAGTAGATTTTTGGATGCTGGCTTTGAAAGTGTTCCAAAGTTCATCGAGACTCATTTTATTTTGATCTTTTTTTAGCTGTTATAAGGTTTCAGTGAGGTCTTTTTCTATTTGCAAATTGGTCCCAATTTGCCTTTTTGTCGTTTAATACGTTATATGAGCCTGTTGATAAACAATACTTTCATAGTTAAGGAAGAATTTCTTATTGATTTTCCTAGTCTTTAACACGAAAAATATCAGTATTAAAACATCCAATTGAAAGTCTCAACGGCATTTACACATGTTACATAAACGAAATAAAAATAACTGCAAATAAAATCAAGTGAGAGAACATTTGCCACATCTCTGTAGATCGAAGCAACCCTTAAATATTTTTTTTTTAATTAACTTGACATATCAATATTTTAGGTGTAGTATGTGAATGTCATGTAAAATACTGTTTGTTTTAAAGATTATATTTGTTATATGTGTATGCCGCCTAGGGACCTAATTTTGAAAATATAATCTCAATCTTTATCTTTATACGAAGTTAATTTTTTTTCATAACATGGTCTTTTTTTTTATAGTTTTTCGTTGTTGGTGTTTTTTTTTAAGAGTTCGTTTTGTTTTTTATCTGTACATTCGTTGAAGAATCCAAATTTTGGTTTGTATAAATCTTGAATGGCTCTATCATAAATGTGATAGTATGCAAGACAACATCCTGTAGATGGTTTCAAATAAGGATTTTTATAGTATAATTAGTATTAAAATCCTGGGTCCCAATCCCCTATAAATTCAGAGACAAGTGCCTGTGGTTCCAATGTGTATACTATCCACACAAATGAGTAATTATAATTAAATTGATATTGTGATTTTTTTTTCCTAAACATGCTAAATCGGTTGTTAAATTCACTGTTGGCTGAGAAATAATATTAAAATAAATTCAAAGTGTTAATTGTATATAATTTGAAGTATTATTCCTACAAAATAAAAAAAATATACACTGTGTATCTATAAAAGAAACTTGTGAATGAAAATGTCTAAAAATAATTACTATGTCACAGTTAGGAGAACGATGTGTCATCCTCCCTCGCAGTAGCTGGTTTATTGATTATTGATCAATAAAAATGTTAATACACAAACAGTGTCGGGATTTTAAACGATTGTGAGATTATAAACAAGGAATTTGTGTATTTCCCTTTTAATATACATGTATGTGTTGTTATGACGTAATTGTGCTGTCACATTACAGGTGTAATTTACCCAAAACGAGGCATGCAATACACAGCATGAGGGAAGGAGTTTAATTAGTAGGTACCCGGTCATTTGGAAAACGTAATACACAGTGAAAATGTTTGTGTATCGGACATAAGTAGTGACAGTTTGTTTACATAACATGGCTTCAAGTTCAGTCAGTCAGGAAAGTCTGGACACCGTCGACTATGAACAGAGTGCTCGAAAAAGTAAAATCCGGTCTATGCGGGCAAAAGGTGTCCTTCCACGAAGCAGTGAAAGAGAAGCTGACCCAAATGATAAGGACCAGAACGGAGATGAAGGTTTCAGTGGTGAACATGAATCTCCCTCTCGTGGTGGGGTGGGTCGGGCAAAAGACAAAAGGACCAGACCCAGTCATTTGAAAGGAAAGATGGGCCTTAAAGACAAAAGAAAATTACGTGAAAAGAGAAGAAGTACAGGTGTTGTACACCTCCAGTCAACAGAGGTAAGGTGACAACAGAGGGTACAATCCAGCATTTGAGGTTAGGGTAGGTTGGGTGCGACTGTAAAACTTTTGACCAGTGGTGGATCCAGAAATTTTCATAAAGGGGGGAGGGGGCACTGATTGCATAAGAGGGGGGCCCCGCTCCAGTCATACTTCAGTGATTCCCTAAATAATATACCAAATTTTTCCCACAAAAAGGGGGCCCCTTGGCTTCCCCCTAAATGCGCCACTGTCGGCTGATGAATGAAGCTATTACATGAAGGGTGTTTAAGATATTCAAATGTGATTTCTCTCACTCTCATGATGACCATTAAAAACAGGTAAAGGGATTTTCTAAGTAAATTTATCTGATTTTCAATTAACAGATTTTGATAACAATGTGTAGTTACAGATAAAGTAAATATTGTTCTAATTGGCCTACTTTTGACCCCCCAGGGGTGACTGGGGAATAGAAATATGGTCACTTTTGGTCTTCTTCCAACTGGCAGTAAAACCCTTGCCAAAGCGGGACTTCTGTTTGGGTTGTACAGGATGTATCAATACGTAGCCACAGCCAGAGAGAATGGAGGGTGTTACATGTGATGCCTCCTGTAGAGACAGTGCCATTTTCTCTGCACTTTTAAGAACCCATGCAGCAACTATTTGAGTGGCCTGGTGGACCTGCTAAAGTTCTGTCTCTACCCAACATGTTCAATATACACTTTTTTTCCACAGGCATGCAGTTAAAATTTCATGCCCTTCATTCTGAACATGCATGAAATATTTGCTACTGGACACTAAGAAAGCAACAATCAATAATCAATCAACCTTCTTTTGACTTAATAACAGCCTTTGTGCCTACTTCTCTGCTTTCAGACATTGTACTAAAAAAACTTGAAAGTAAACCTTTTTCTCCATTTTCAGGCCTTCTTTGCAACTATTGAGATTATATTTGGATTTTGATGGTAAAAAGATAACCTACTTTGTGCTTGAATACTGACAGATCACACAGTCACATTAGTTGTGTTCTGTTGACCTACTTTTGACTTAGTTATGAACATTTGGTTTGTAACTTGATATTTATCTGTCTTTATTAATACTGTATTTCACACAGAATATGTCCATGAAATTTATCTGCACAAGCAGTCACAAATATACGTCAAGATCTTAATAATATGAAAATTTGCATATAGCAGTTAAAAACAACAAACTTGAAAGATTTGACTATGAAAGAATTTTCCCTATTTGTTGACAATGTAATAAAACTATACCCTACTTTGAACCTCAGACTAGGCAATTACAAGTTCTACAATTTTATGGGTAGAAAGTTTCCCTTTAAAGTCTAGCTGTGTATGTGGGTTTCCTGTAAAAGAAATTTTGGGGCATAGGTTCCAAAAAAATGTATTTCAATTTACAAAAATGTAGGTACTCAATTGTAGCAAATGACATAATCCACATTGGAAATGTTAGTTTCCACCAACTCCCCTTACATAGCTGGACTACAAAAATTAATTTTAACCAATCTTACGTGAGGCTCTATTCAATTCAGTACATAAAAGACATCATTAAATGTGATTTAATATAAATGAATATTAAAACAAGCAGCAAATATATACATGTAGGATAGCTAGGTCATGCATAATGTTTATGCTAATTAATAATCTGTGTGTCTGCAAGACTTGACAGAGATATCTGAAAAATATTTATTTATAACAATATTTGAATAAACATACAAATGTACATGATGTAGATGTTTGTATATATATTTATTGGTAATCTGTTGGTAATGTGTTGGTAATTTGTTCCATAAGTATTACTATTGCTGAACTGTTTATAAAAAAAAATGTGCTTGGCCTGAATATGCTGAACAAATTGTTTTCAGAGACAGCCCTTAAATTTCTTTCATAAATATATTTCAAAGCAGCTCTCTTAAAACTCACAACTATTTCAGATCATCCATTATTGCATAACATACTGGTCTTTGGCCTGCAGTTACTCATGGGAAATGAAAATTTGATTTACACAGCATTCTTATTAGAATTGATGGACATTTATTGTCTTGATATTGATATATTCTTTGATCATAGAATATACAATTAACTATGCTAATTAGATGATTTATTGGTTTTTCTTAAGAATGTTGTGGTCTATACTTTATAGGTTCAACATGGGTGGTACATAAGGTACCTATAGCTATACATGTATATATATATATATTGTTATTTGTGATACATTGAGTTTGGAAATGATGCTGTCAGAAAAATGTCCATGAAACCATTTCCTCTTTATCAGTGGCAGATTCAGGGGGAGCACGGAGGGTGTATACCCCCTTTAATTTCGGAAATATATAATTTTTAGCCTTAGATGGTAAAAAAAAATCATCTCACTCTGCTTGGTGGTATATATTCAATTTTCTGGAAATGTGCCACCCCTTTTAAAATCCTGAATCCACCCCTGTTTATGATAGACATGTTAAAAATTGTCATATCAATAACCTAATTTAGTCATTTGTATGTTGTCTGGGGCAGAGACTTCAGAATTTTGATATTTGCCGGGCCAGGGTTCTCCTTTGATGAAAACTTAACTGTAGAAAGCCTTATGCACCTGTAACTTTACCATAATCAAAGTCTGTTTCCCTTACCCCATAAAAAAGGGACGAAAGATACCAGAGGGACTGTCAAACTCATAGATCGAAAACAAACTGACAACGCCATGGCCAAAAATAAAAAGACAAACAGACAAATAATAGTACAGATGACACAACATAGAAAACTAAAGACTAAGCAATACGAACCCCACCAAAAACTGGGGGTGATCTCAGGTGCTCCAGAAGGGTAAGCAGATCCTGCTCCACATGTGGCACCCGTCGTGTTGCTTATGTTATTACAAATCCGGTAAATAGTCTAATTTGGTAAGTCACATTCGTGAAAAGGGAAGGGTATTGTAGGTATGACATAACTTGCATATGGTTTGACATAGCTAAGTAGTTCATTATCCAGGAAAAAACAGCTCAGTTTGACCTTTTGTATACCTTACCAACTGTTTATCATTTGTTTTGTCTGATTGTTATTACAGAGCACTGGTGATTCATTAGATGATGAGGATATAGTGGAAGAGGGAACTGAACTTAAAACTGTATCAGAAACTAAAAAAAATACTTCATATAATGAGGCTTTCTCAGTCGAGGGAAGACGACACAGAACTAATGATGTGGCACGTAAGGCGGCATTGTACAATGAAAGAGTAGATGATAATCAGCCTCAATCTCCCTCTGATGTAAGTTTTTTTTGGAGATAGTAATCATGGTAATTTGATATAAGAATAGAATTTACGGATATATATGTGAGCATGTTGTACAAATTCCTGAACTTGCTTTATGCTTTCTTTTTATATGACTTGATTATCTCCCTATGCACATCATACACATGTTAAACAGGTATAATTAGTATCGAACAATAAAAAATGACAGCAAATAATATGCATTGCACAATTTATATCAATTTGGATATAAATAAGAAGATGTGGTATGAGTGACTATGAGACGACTATCCATCCAAGTCACAATGTGTAAAATAAGTAAACAATTATAGGTCAAAGTACGGCCTTCAACACGGAGCCTTGTCTCACACCGAACAGCAAGCTATATAATATACACTCAGAATGTATTTAAAGTATCTAGATATATTTTCAGATAAAACTTATAACTTGTATTACATGTACATGATGCATGCTTGTTTAGTCAAGGTTAGTGTGATTATTATTCAGTTTTTAAAGGAAAAAAAAACATGGTGACCTCAGTGTAGTTGCTAACATTCTACGTCAATTGGTCTCTGGTGGAGAGCTGTCTCATTGGCAAAATTTTATACTACATCTTCTTATTTTTTATTATACAAAACAGAAACAGAGGCAAATTTATAATAACACATCCTTATTAATCACATTGTTTTCCAACGTTACTAAAGATAAGCGTCCAAAATTCATAGTAAATTTATGAACATCATCAAATTGGTTACATGAATTTGAAAGCATTTGAAAAGGAAATTGAGCATGTATATTATTGCTAAGGCATAAAATTTGTAGCAATGAAGACCATTTACTTTTACAATTAAAATCAGTCCAGAAAAAGCAGCCCCACTGAAATACCAAGATTATAAATGACAAATACAACATCAAAACAAAACTATACAAGTTATATTAGCTGCGTCGGATAGAAATAGACCTTATGCAAGTGCAGGTATAAATGTACACGAATAAGACTTTGATTGATTTTGGAACATTCAAATACGAAATTAAAGATGAATTTTAGTCTGTTTTGTAAAGTTCTTATATCAACACAAATTTCAAACAGTTACTGTACAGACTTTGCATAAAGATTTTTTCAACCCGAAATAAGTTAACAGATGTATTGATATTCATTTGCATATATAAGGTTGATTTCTATCGGATTATAATCCTGGTAATGTAATGTAAAGAATAAGTATGAAAGTTGTTGTCATGACCTCTATATCAATAATTTTTGTTGATGCCTTTAAAGTAAGTTATACTTTGAATAGCCAGAAATTGATGGATTTAAATGATGTTAAACAAGTGTGACTAATACTATTATCTGAGTGAAACAACAGATGAAGGTGTGTTTACCTGTATCAGGCTACCTGTAATGAAGTAATCATTCAAAACTGTCCATATGTTAAACATTTTAAATGGTCATTGATAAAATCAGGTCAGAAGTGTTCAATTTTTAGTACATCAGGATCTTTAAGGTTGTCATCACCATTGTAAATACAAATCTGTCCCAGTCACTTATTGTGTTGTTATCACCATTGTGAATACAAGGCTTTCCCAGTCCCTTATTGTGTTACATACCGATATGTTTGTAGGGATAAAGTGTCCTGAAATATATATCTTATTTGGTCGCAAAAAATTGACAAGTAAAATGTCCTGTAAAAGTGGGCGGATTTAATAATAGAAATATTTAGGATGACGTACAGTTTCGCTGAACTAGTAAACATTACTGTTTAGGGGCCAGCTGGAGCCCGTCTCCGAGTGCATGATTTTTTCACTGTGTTGAAGACCCATTGATGGCCTTGGGCTGTTTCTGCTCTTTGGTTGGGTTGTTATCTCTTTGACACATTCCCTGTTTCCATTCTGAATTTATTTGGTAGTTGCTGTAATTTCCCTTCTATCTGAAGTGACTTATATTGTCATCATTGGACTTGCCTTATAATATTGGCTCAGTTAACTATCTCAAATGTGCCAGTCATTGGACAAGGATCTACCCAGAGAAAATGTTGTCAACCGAGTCAAAGCCAAGGTAAACAATGTTTTTTTCAAGGGGAAGCAATCTGCTCTAAAACTCTCTCAGTTATGTTTTATTTAATTTTTCTGTCATTATTGTCTCTTAAATTTTATATTGAAAATAATTGAATAAGACTTCATTACATAACAATGTCCAGTACAGTCATTAGAAAAGTAACAAGGTAAAGAAAGATGCATTTTTATGCCCCCGCCATAGCGGAGGGGGCATTAATTTTTACCCTTGTCTGTCCGTACGTATGTCCCAAAGTTGGTTTCCGTTCTCTAACTTTAGTTTGCCTCAACCAAATGTTATGAAACTTAAAGACAATGCTTATTACCACTTAATACAGATCAAGTTTGAATTTTGGTGGCGTCACTTTTACTGTTCTAGAGTTATGCCCCTTTACAAATGGAAAAATTGCTAAATTTTTGGTTTCCGTTCTCTAACTTAAGTTTGCCTCAACCAAATGTTATGAAACTTATACACATTGCTTATTACCACAATATACAGATCAAGTTTGAATTTTGGTGCCGTAACTTTTACTGTTCTAGAGTTATGCCCTTTACAAATGGAAAAATTGCTGAATTTTTCATTTTTTTTTTCTAAATATCAAATATTTTTAAAATTGGAGTTATCTTTCTTTGTCCATGATTACAGTTGAATCAACTACAATCAATGCTTTATACAATGCAATGCTTAATTTTACCTTCCACTGATAAATTAAAGCAATTTTTACCCATCATTTCTAAAAATATTTTAAAGTCTTCTTTGAAAATTGGAGTTATCTTTCGTTGTGCATGATGGTAGTTGAATCAACTACAACCAATGCTTTATACAATGCAATATTCAATTTTACTTCCTACTGATAAATTAAAGCAATCTTTACCATTCAGTGCTTACAAGCACTTTGATTACTGTTCTAGAGATTTGTAATTTAAGTAGAGTCACTTTTACCGTTCTTCAGTTGTGTCCCTTTATATCTTTATATGATATGCAAGCGGGGTCATCATCTGTGTCCATGCATGGACACAATCCACATTTATTATTTAATGTTGATAGCCTATGAAAAAGGCTTAAACTTGAGCATTGTCTTTATCGATGTAAATTCAATTCATTGTCTTTTATATCAGCCATTTTTGGTCTGCACCGTAAATGACACTAAAAAATGGTCTTTGGCTGAGCTATGAGATAGAGTAAAATGTCTCCCTCATATTAACCAATCAAAATATAGCATTTTAGCATAAAGTACAATCAAGCAAAACAGCAAGAAATGAAAACTTGTTGAAGATTACAAAGAATCAGTCACTTTCAGTACCTATTTTCACTTTGCCACAAAGGAAGATGAAATGAACGTCAATTTATCATAAACATTGAGGAAAATAAAATTTAGGTTTTTGATTGTATGTCATATTTATAACATATGAACTTGTTTTTACAGAGATTTGGTGGCAGAAGTGCATATAATGTGGTGAGAAATAAAAGGTATAGTTTCTTTACTAGAGCATTCTTATTGTAATTTTAAGTTTGACTCAATATATGGTTTTATAGTCTATTTGTAGGGCAACATGACCCGACTTCACACACAAGTGATGCAAATTATTTAAAAGTGGTATCTACAATATAAATTAAACTGTGATATCATTTCAACTTGATGAACATCTACTTGAAAGTTGAACACTGTGATCTACTTGTCATGGTTCATGATGCACATTAGGAATAAATTTACACTTGGTCAGGGGATTGATAGAGAATTCTACAAACAGTAGTCTAATACTAATAAAAAGTTTAACACTTGGACAGCTGTTTGATTCAAGAATTTGACATTGAGTCAGGGGTCTGAAAAAAGAATTTTAATCTTGGTCATTGTTGGTCAGCTGTCTAGAAAAACAGATAAACACATGTTCAGCAAACTTGTTTTTACATTTGGTCGGCAGGATGATAAAGAAGTTACACTACGTAATCAGATTGATTACGGTAACTATATTATATTTGTTCAGCTGTCTGATAATCTTTTTTTAGCTAGGCAAACAATTAATATATGTTCAATTACAAAAAAATGCTTTTCATTTATATAAATATGAAATGTCAGTAAAAAGCATACAGTTTTATAGTTAGGCACCAACAATACTCTAAACTAATTGGGGCCCCGCTGAATGGCGGGTCGCCCTATAGTGATAAGTCTGTCCGTCCGTCTGTAAAAAATTATGTCCGCTCTATATCTAGAGAACCGTTATGGTTTCACACTTTATACTTGACATGTATATTAACCAACACCAAAGGGTGTGTCATAATGTTTGTACAACTTCCTAGGTCAAAGGTCAAGGTCAAAAACTTTGGTTTCAGTTGACAACCCCATGTCCTATGGTAAAGATCGTGTCCACTCTATGTCTTGAGAACCTTTATGATTTCAAAGTTTATTCTTGACATGTATATTAACCAACACCAGAGGGTTTGTTATAATGTATGTACAACTTCCTAGGTCAAAGGTCAAGGTCATAAACTTTGGTTTCAGTTGACAACCCCATGTCTTATGGTAAAGATCGGGTCTGCTCTCTATCTTGAGAACTGTTATGATTTCAAAGTTTATACTTGATATGTATATGAACCAACACCAGAGGGTGTGTCATAATGTATGTACAACTTCCTAGGTCAAAGGTCGAGGTCAAAAACTTTGGTTTCATATGACAACCCCATGTCCTATGGTAAAGATACAAATTGTTTTCCACACGTTATTCACAGGGGGCCCACAGAGATGGCTCCCATCTCAATGATGTCTAGTTATTTGTGATAGTTTCTTGTATCTTTCTGTCCTCAGGACCTGTTTTGCAAGTTTGCTGTTTGACAGATCCATGATCTTTTTTTTTTTAATTTGTAGTTTTAATTACCTTTTATTTTTCAGTCCTTCAGATCTTGAGGCAGATTTAGAAGATAACCAGGACTACGACAGTACAGTCAGTCATTCAGAAACCAACTTATCTGTCATTGGAAAATCAGAATCAACAGATTCAAACACCTATAGTCCAAAAACCTCTCGTCCTCCAAATTCTGTATATTCTAGGATTTCCCCCTCTGATCCAACCTTGTCTTATAAACCAAGTTCACCAAGGAACAATCTTCTATGGGAGTCACCACGGACGAATAAACAATCATCTCCTTCAAGTGATCATGACACTCGAACAACTCATACTGTGTTAAATCGATTCCCATTTGCGGCTAATCAAAACCAGAACAAAGATTCAGAGCAATCAAATAAACCTAAATCATTTCCCTCGGTGCTTTCACGATTTCCACAGTCAAATCATGACCAAGAGAACAAGTTACAGTCAAATGTAGAAAAGGACAGTCAAAAACAGTCATATCATGATTCCAGTCAGTTTCGTTCCACGTATCGTGACCTTGATGGCAAATCAAGGACACATGATGTGGAGACTAAAACCAAATCTCCACCTTCATATCGTAGTAACCATGGTAACACAGAAAACCAAACAGGATCTCATCACCGTGAAAAGTTCATGGAGAATTTGAATAGTTCTAATCAACGACGATATCCTCGACATAATTTTGAGGACTCTTCTTCCAAATTGGACGAGGAAAGAGCAAAGTTCAAAGACGAAAAGACTAAGTTAGAAAAGGTTTGTTTGCAAGGAATACTGCATTACATTTGATATTCTTTTTGGCTTAATTTACAGAAGCAAGTTTCTGTTCCATTGAAAATATATTTATATCATTTAATCCATTGAAATAAACAATGTATATCTATCCCCTCTAATCCATTGAACATACACAATGTATATCTATACCTTTAATCCATTGAAAATGTAACTATCTATTTTATTAACCATGTTAACTGAATATTAACTTATGTCAATATTATTTTTTAGAAACTTGATGATGAAAGAGAAGAAAACAGACAGTTGAAATCTATGTTAGAAAACAGAGATCAGAAAATTGTTGAGTTAGAACGAGAAATTTATTGTCTGAACAAGGTAACATGTATTCAATTCTTACTTTGTAATGTTATTTTAATACTTGCATCTATTTATAAGATTTTGTCGATTGAAATAAAATATAGGAAATGCTGCAATAATACAGAATTCAAATGTCAGCACACCATCAGCATTAACTAATGGAGAATAACCTGACGTTAGTGGTGCAGGAAATAAAACATCCTAATTAATCTTTAAATACAAAATTTTATTTGATTAAAATAAGGAAAAACTTGACAGTTTGTGATTATCAATTTTCTCAACAAATTCAAATTAAGTTTTTGTTGTTTTTAAATTCCAGAGGATGTAAATGGGTAAGCTAGTCTGTTGTCAGCTTTAGCATGACCTGTTATTATTTAAATTATGTTTTTTTAATTTTTAAATTGCAAGAGGATCTAAAAGATCATTTGAAAAACAATTATTATTCAAGCTACACCTGTATATTGAAATAATGCTGTCCGGCATTCTTAAAGAAAATTTCAGAAGTATATGTTTTTAATTTGCTTGAAAAGTCTAAATGGTTTTACCAAATCTTTAAAGGAAAAAAAAAAACGTGACAACATTTTGAGTGTTGTAGTCCAATGAGATGATAAACTAACACGAATCACACGATTTCAAAAGTAGATAGAATAGCATAGGTGTCTATATAAGTATAGAATTGTTTGCAAGAGGACCTGCTGTGGAAATATATGCCAGGAAAACACACAAAAACAAAACATTTTTATCATCGCTTGTCATGAATATTAATAGGTGAACATCTTTTGTCATGGATTTTAACAGTAAACATCTCTTTGTCATGGATTTTAATAGACGAAAAGTTTTTGACATTGATTTTAATTGTGATGCAGTTTAAAAGATAGAGTGTCTTGGCATGAATTTAAACTCCATTCATAAGTATAGCCATAAAATCTAAAAATAAAAGGCTGAATTTTAACTTACTCCTCAAAGAATTTATTTCATGATATTTTATTTTACATATAAATTCTTGTTTAATCTTCAGTTTGTTCCTTATTTTATGAAAACGCTTATTTTTGTGAATTTGGGTTGAATATGTCACCATTTACTTTTATAAATGATCATTTGTGTATCTTAATTTGCCTTAAGAATTTAAACCCATTACCCAGCATGTTTATAGTATGTTATAATATAGTTACCTGAGTTACACTGATGTGCAAAAAAAAAAAATCATTTTAAAATAAGAAATAAAATTGCAGTTACTATAAATTCCTTATTACATATAGCATGTAAATCATTTGTACTTTATTGTCTTGGATTTTGTGGCTGCAAAAAAAACTTGAGGGATAGTTTTTCTCCTAACTATAGTCCCCTACCGATCAAGTCAAAGGGGACTTTAAGTTTGCACTCTGTCCATCTGTCAGACCGGCAAATCAGTTTTCCACTCTTTTTTTCTTCGTGCTTGAAGATATTGATTTGATATTTGGTATATAGTTTTATCATCACAAGTTACAGATCAAGTTCAAATTTTATTCCGGTCTGATGATTTTTCCAGAGTTATGGTCCTTGGACTTAAAACATTCACTCAAAATTATCAGTTTTCCACCCTTTTTTTCGTCATGCTTGAAGATATTGATTTAATAATTGGTATATAGTTTTATCATGACAATTTACAAATCAATTTAGAATTTTGTTCTGGTCTGATGATTTTGTGCAGAGTTATGGTCCTTTGACTAAGAAAATTCACCCAAATAATCAGTTTTTCCCTTCTTTTTTTGTCATGCTTGAAGATATTGATTTGATAATTGTTATATAGTTTACACCATGACAAGTTATAGATCAAGTTAGCATTTTGTTGCAGTACAATGAACTTTTAACCTGTAGAGGACTGCCGGTATCTGTTGCCATGCAACACTCTCCGAATGCTTGTTTCATTTAAGCTTATACATGTTGTATGCTGAAATCAATGGCATAGCCACTAGAAAATAAATTGTGAGCAGCAGAAGCTGAATGATTTCGTTAAAATTTTTATGGGAAAAAATATTGCTTAAAATAATTGTAAGCACATGCTTACAATGCTACACTGCAGCCATGCCACTGGAAATTGTAAAAACCTCATGATTACATTGTCAGTTAAGATTAGTACAGATCAAGATGAATTATTCAATAATATGAATGAAAATTGAAATTGGAATCAGGCTGGGCCTTTCTTTTGTCAATCAAGAGAAGTAATTAATTGTACCCTGTCATGTGGTAAAACAACTGACCTTTCAATTATAAGTTAATGTAAATCAGGCATTAATAAAGGTCAAACAGAGTTGTGGTTTTGCTGGATAAAAGGAAACATTACAAGCAGAATCATCATACAAATAAATAGTATAAATAAAAGAACAGAGTTCCAATACTCCCTGCATTGCACATATTTTATCTGTCTAAAGGGAATAACTAAAATAAAATATTTTTTTTGTTCTTTTAAACTTTTATAAATATCTTTGAGAAATGAAGGCTTGAGAGCAAATGCAATGTAGTTTCTGATATAATTAATATTTCCAAAGGGAATAACTCATGTTAAAATAATTGATCAGCACTGATTTTTGTAAATGTCAGACATTGCTGATATATACCTTTGATATAAATTTGAAAAAATTCTGGCAAAAATTGTACAGTGAGAGTGTTTAATGCAATTTTCCATAAAATTTATATTTCCTAGGGCCATAACTCTTTTAAAAATAGTTGAACAGCACTGATTTTCTAACTTGTCGTAGACATTGTTGATATAAACCTATATTAACCTATATAATTTTTATATAAATCTGACAAGAATTGTACTTGTGGGAGTGCTAACAAGACCGGAATTTCTATGTCCCCTGCAACCATCATACGGGGTAAAATAAACAGATCTGGTATGATCGCACATTAGACAGCTGTCCACCAGAAACCAAAGGATGAGGATGAAAATAAATATAGGTCACTGTACGGCCTTTAAACAATGTGCAAAACCCATACCTTTAGTAAGCTATAAGAGTCCCTGGCATAACAAAATTTGAATCAATTCAATAGAGAAAAAAAAAACAATTGTACTTCTGTATAGCTAGTCTTATATTCTAGTTTTATTTTCCACAAGGACATATTTATGATTACTGTTCTTTTTTTAGCTCTGCCTGTTCAAGGTTACTATAGATACTTAATCAGTTATGCTACATTTCCTCAGGACATGTGAATGATAACTCTTCTTAATGAATAATATATTTGGACAGTTCCACAAAGTACAGAGGCGGATTTAGGGGGGGGGCCATCTTTTTTTTGGGGAAAAATTTGGTTGATTATATAAGGAATCACTGAAGCGTGACTGGAGCGGGCCCCCTCTTAGGCAGTCAGTGGGCCCCACTTATGAAAATTTCTGGATCCGCCACTGAAGTAGTCACTCTGAAGCTGTAGTTAACTGAGGAATAATAATTGATTATTATACCCCATGTAACAAAGTTAGGTAGGGTATAATGTTTTTGACCTGTCTGTCTGTCCGTCCGTCCATCTGTCTGTCTGTACATAGGAAATTATGATTCAATTTTTTTTCTAGGGGTTACGCCCCTTTGAAATTAGAATTTGACCTTAATATACTACTGCAACAGTTTGTTATTGCAACTCTCTGAAAGCACACAACAGAATTTCATGAAACTTTGTAGTTAATGAGGACATAATATGGATTTGTGCATATCCACAAGAAGTTTTTATCAGTTGACTTTTGTAAGAGTTATGTGTCTTTGAACTTAGGAATCTATAGTGAGATGTTGTTTGCCGAGTGACAATTTAGGGGCGTGGAGTTTAATGTGAGCATGCTCACAAAGGTTCTTTCATTTATTTATAAACATACTAAATAGAAAACAAATTTTTTTTAGGATCTTGAGGACTTAGACGAGGACTATCAGAAACTACAAGTAGAGAATCATGCATTGATTAGAACAGTTTCACAGCTTAGTACAAGAGTTTGATACCAGTTGAGGAATCAGTAGATAGATATCAGTTTACAAAGCATAGACTTTTTTTCCTCTTTATTATGAATCAGTGTCTGTCAGCTATTTTAAGATATTTGCTTTTTAGTTCACCTGGCCCAAAGTGCCAAGTGAGCTTTTCTCATCACTTGGCGTCCATCATCGTCTCTTAACTTTTACAAAAATCTCCTTTGGAACTACTGGGCCACAATCATCATTGGTTGGGGTATTTAGTTTTAAAAATGTGTCTGATGACTCCGCCTGCCAACCGAGATGGCCGACATGGCAAAAAATAGAACATAGGGGTAAAATACAAGTTTTGTCTATATTTTGAAAACCGTTATAAATAGAGAAAATCTTAACGGAGCAAAAATGCTCAGAATGTTCAGCTCTACCAATTGTTCACATATGTCAAAACTGTCAGACGACTTCTTTCAGGAGTTATTGCCCTTAAATGACAAATTTTACCTTTTTTTTTCCTTTTTACCTATTATCTTGAAAACTATAATAGATAGAGAGAAACTTTAAATAGCAAAAATGATCAGCAAGACCAGTTCTTATAATAAGTCTTATGGTTGAAATCGTCAGTCAATTCCTTATTAGAGTTATTGCCCTTTGATGACGATTTTTACCAATTTTTTGTGTTTTTGCCTTATATCTTAAAAATTATAATAGATAAATAGAAACTTGAATGAGGAAAAATGATCAGCAAGACAAGATCTACAATTAAGAAACTATGGAGGAAATCATCCGACGTTTCCTTATTAGAGTTATTGCCCTTTAATGACGATTTTCACCATTTTTTTTTTCGTTTTGCCTTTTATCATAAAAATTATAATAGATAGATAGACACTTTAAATCACAAAATTGATCAGCAAATCAAGATCTACTAACAAGTCAAATTTTGACGATATAGTTAGTAGACTGTTACTCTTTATAGGAGTGATTGCCCTTAGATTTTTTGTACCCTCTTTTTTGTTTTGAGCAAAAATTAAAGAAGATACAGAGAAACTAAACAGACTAAATGATCAGCAATTCAAGATCAACAAGACAGAGATTTTTGTCATGAATTCTATTCTCGTCTTCAATGTTGTATAGTGCCCTTTGTTGAATATGCACATAGACCAAGGCGAGCGACACAGGCTCTTTAGAGCCTCTAGTTATGACTAGTTATACATGTATCATGTATATGATAATGTCAATCATAGATTTTAGCATGTTACCAAACTATTGTCTTACTGGTGGAGAAACAGTCCAACAGCCTTAGGCTTTCAATTAATATTGTGCTAATGAGTATCTCATTGATAGATCAATTAAATAAATGAAAGGTTTTCAGCATGTGAGCAAAATATTTCCATTCTTTCTCTTACGAACTCAAAGCATCATATCATAACTTCCATGAAGAAAGGGAAGATAGCTTATTAACCTGTCTTTTTTCAAATATAATAACTAAAATCAATTGATTCATTTTTGAATGATATTTTTGAATGATTTTAATCTCTATCATGAATCTCTATTATGCTGTTTTATTTCTATTTTGTAATATTGTTTGATATTTTATGGCAGTAACTTATAAATGCATTTCAAGGTATGCATGTCCGTATTTTATGGTGCAGTAATCAATAATGATTTACTTGGCAAAATCTGAATTATTTCTAAGTGATAGATCAACCATATTTGATCAGTCTTTAATGGTTGTAAGGTATTAATAACTCACTAACACAATTTGTTTTACCTGGTTCATTGTTTGATGGGAAGTTTTTGTGATTATGTTGGCTTTTCAGATGCTAAAAGTAATAGACATGTCTACTATATTTGGTGTATTGAATAAAGGTAAGGTGTAAATTTCAATCGGACAGGTTCAATTGACCTAGACCTTATTTTCATTGGTCAGTTATTACTGTTTTGTTATATCTGTGAAAAGGCTTTGATCCTTAAACTTTTGAACATAAAATTCAGTTGTTATTGGTAATCAGGCAAGATTTCAGCATATCATTCTTTTTATTTATTTTTATTTGTCATCACATTTTGGCAGACTTGATACATCTTCGACATTTAATCAAGCAAAATCTTTTTGGATTAGGACATTTATCTACTTGTGCAGGCCAGTTTTTTTTTTTGTGTTTTATAAAATGATATTAAGATTCAATATCATTTTTGAATACATTTACATCAAAACCTACAAATATTTTACGATTTTGTTTTTATTAATCAGAATTGAGTGAAGAGGCAGTATGAAATTAATTTTTGTGTTGTCAGAAGATAATTTTGTAAGGGTTGAATGAACCCTTATTTTGTAATCTTTGACTAGTCATTGTAACTGTCTCCTGTACAGTCAGATTATAGTCATTCTGCTCTATCAAACCATCTTGTATTATTAAACATATTTTCTATTGTATTGTATTTTAAGGGTTCAGTTGATTGCTATACATGTATTTGTTATTAACAAAGAGGTGGAAAATGCATTTTATTTGTTTTGATTTAAAACAATCATATTTTCATTTTATCGTGAACAGATGGGGACCAATAAGATGTTCCTATACACATTCCAAAAACATATATATTAATAACTGTGGTTCATCATGATATGTGGTATATCAATTCTTGTGGATTTGGTGGGTAATGGGGGGAAAACCATAAATTTAAACACTCCACAAAATACTAATGTTCAGTTACTTTGATTTGGAAATGATTTAACAACTATCATTTAAAAACCCTCCAAATAATCATTTTTTTCCCCAGACCACGAAAATTGATACCATTGAAAATAAATGAATCTACAGTATTAACTTTTTTAGGTTTATTTATAAAATCAATATACATGCATCTAATTAATTACATTGATCATATTTTTATTAATAACAATAGAGTTGGTCAGTAAGTATTTACACCTTTTAATCAGAATAAGAGTATTTAAGAGGAAGCTAAATAAATACCTGTAGATTGAACAGAGATTTATAGAGGAAGCTCTGTAAAACACAATTGTGGATACGCCGGTATCACACTGTTTATTATATAGAAATGTTTGTCAATATTTATCTGTGCATATTTTACATAAAACGTACCATTTTTCCATATTAACCCCTCCATCTACAAAAAATATAAAAATAGGGTTGTTCATTTATATTTTAGGCATGACAAAATGCCTATAACATTTTACCAAAAACATTCGGAGCATTATTCTTTTTTGTTTTCATTCTAATTTGTAGTTAAGATATTTTTCATTATTTGGCTTTAAGCCTTAGGTAACATTACATATCAAGGGGACATAACTCCTGTAGGGTTATTAGCTCTAGAACTGCCTTTAGAGAGTTTGCTACCTAGTAGCTTTCAGGGTCTATAATCTGCTCATCAGATGCTTAGCAATTTTCATTTAATAAATAGAAGTAGGAATTAGACATTTTACTCAGTGTTAGATTTTCTTATTGTTTACTTTGATTTTACATATAAAATTTGTTCAGAATTGAGTGCTATTTTGTTTTGTTTGCTTGTTTAATTAACCTTCTTAGTATTAGATAGTATTTTATGTTGTTTCCTTTTGTGAAACTGAAAGAATGAATTTACAATGTATTTCTTATTTTTCAAATGTTTTTCAGCAAAATATAAAAGTATTTATTTATCTACACAATATGATTGTACTTTTTGGTTTACTTTGGTAAAACAGTGAAAGCTGAGATACCGACCGTGCAAGACCCTCATGGGTAGTCAAAAACCCCCATCATCATCAACAAGCTGAGGTATTGTTTTAAAAAAAGTTAATATATTGTTATTAATAGGACCATTTCCAAAACAATATTTGGAAAGTGTAAGTTAAACTACAATTATTTGATCATACAATGGAGAGTAACTCCAAATACACAGATTTTAGTCCAAATACAACTTAAAATTTAAATTATTAAAAGAAACAGTTTTGGTGTTGATCTGAGATTTTAAAAAAAAGTGTTACATTAAACCTGAACTGCTGTTATTTTTAATGTAACATATGGCTATTTGAGTGTCAGTCTGCTGTGAAAGTACTTTTCTGTATACTTAATTTGTTTTGTAATTTCTTTGTACAGTCCTTGGTGTTCATTTCCATATTTTCATACCTTGCACAGATTTTCAGTGAATGACAAAAGCAATTAGCACTTGACAAATAATAAAACCTTAACAGTGTGTAAATTGAACATTTGATATTGAAAAATTTAGTATAAGTCGTATACCAGCATATGATTTTAAATTGATTTTTTTTTTAATCTAAAATTTCTTTAATAAAGAAATGATTAACGCAAGTAGTATGTGTTCTTGAATGATGCAATTTTTTCTATCTATAGTAATTATTGTTTATATGTTAAGTTTGCTTGTTTTTGTTGAACATTTACATGATTAACATGATGTACAAGCACTGTGATTATAATAGTTGTGATAGTGTGTAAAATGTCCGATATCAAATCCAACTCACTTACCATCTACTTACTTTATATAGAATAATGGCTATTTTGATTTTGATACTGACCTGGTCAGCTGGAATATCAAACGAGAGCGCTAGGTTGAGCTGATATTCGAACTGATGAAGTCAGTATCAAGAAATAAAATGCCATTATTCTTTTAATCAGCAATTTGTCTTAACTGTATGTTTTTTGGTTGAGAATATGAAGTAGAATTAAACAACTAGTAAAACTACTTTTACGCGTAGAAAATAACGTTGGGATAGTTGTTCGGTTGTATGAATGAAGTCGCATTCATTTCATTGATAAATTGATGCGGATGGACTTGTGCAAGAGATGTTGCTGCACTGATACATGACGTTATTGCCTATTATTTTCAAGTATCAAATCCTGTCCATGATCTTAAAAACATTAGGCAGTAATTTCAAAGGGATAATGTACAATTTGCTGATAAAACGTAGTTCTGTAAAAACACTTTTATTTAAGGATCTAAATTTTGTTTTACTCTTAATCCTTGTTTTTCGACCAAGAAGAAAACCAGTCAATGGGTAGATGTATATTTTGGAAGGGTAATTATTTCATCAGAATCAATGAAAGTTGGTACATTGTGTACCTCTGGAATGACATTTTATTGCATTGTGTAGTTATTGACTTAGATAAAGTTGCTACTTTGATATAATGAATCTTTTGGGAGGAAAAATTTCAGTGCAGCATATAGTCAATAGGTTCCTCTTTATCTTTCCGTTTTAGATGATAATTTTTCTCTGCTTTATATCCAACTGTATTGGCATACAAACTATTGGCCAACAAATATAATTAAATTTATGACCCTGGAAATGGTCAAATCAACTGGATAAGAGTTTTTTTTGGGGATTAACTTCTTATGTTTGTGATTAAAGATATGTGGAATATACCTGATTACAAAGACAGCAGTCCACTAACAGAATTCTAAATAAAGCATAACTCTCTGTTTTAGTCATCTAAAATCTGTCATTCTAAGGAATTTAAGGATGTTAGTGGAATTTATATGAAGATCTATGTTACCAATAGCTCAGTCCTTTCTTAAAATGCTTTTAATATTATTTGTTTCAGAAATTCCCAATGCAAGTGAAACATAAGACCAGTAAAATAATCTATGTTTTAATGTATTTTTAAATACTTATTGGTCTTAAGATTATAGTCTCCCTTTTATCTACCCTTCATATTGGCGTCTATTGCAGTTCAAGTTTTATTAATGTGCTTATTAGACACATTCTTTCTTGAGTATAAAAAAATTTAAAAAAATATACAAATCTTCCTGATGTATGGATATGCTCAGATTGTGTTGAATGAATAAAAAGGTAGGAATTGATTATAGATAGTGATTTATTTGTACAGAGAAATTATTGGTACAGAATTCCATACAAATCATTCCATCAATAACCAGTCAGAATCTGTGATGTAATCAGAATTATATTTATATGTTAATCAATGTGGAACTATTGGTATTATTTATCCATGACTTGTTAACATTCAGTATTTAAGATTTTGTACTATAATTTAAGGCTGTTGTTTATCATTCTCTTATAATGGAAGACAAGACTCCTTTTATAACAGAAATATCATTGCTGATGTTGTATACTTCTCTAGTCAGTACAGTGAAATTTTATTGTTCAACCAATTTGGAAAATAATTTTTAAACTAAAATTTTCTTTTGTGAGAAATGTAATGAGTTTGACAGTAAATTTTTTCTTATGTCTTACAGTTTTCAAACACAATTATAAAGGGCTTAAGGTGCTGAAAATCAGACTTTTTGCATTGAACAGAGAATCATATTACTAAATCCAGCTAATTGCTATGTCAAGCACAGTACTGTATCCAGTTTCTTTTGATATTTACACTGTGAAGGTTCAAGTGTCGACATGTTGCAGTGACACTTTTTTCATGCTTGTTTGGATATGTTACAAATTTTGAAGAGAACACAAAATTGAATCCTAATATCAGTAAAATGAAATAATATTTACATAATGCTGTACTGTGAGGTTTAACCAAATTTAAATCATAACTACCCAAAAGTCTGCAGAATTTGATTCGGCAACAGTCTTGTTGTACAAACATAATATTTCTTAAATATTTCAGATAAAACAAGGTTTTATTCATGTAGCTTCATATGCTAACATCTGTGGGCAATTAGTGTATTTAATGGCATAAATGTAGTATATGATACATGTGAAAAAAGGAGTTTATAACAATTTTTAGTTGTGTTCAAACAATTAATGTGAATCACTATATATAGATATATAGACGATGTTGTGTAGCACTTAATGTTTGTGATAAATGATGGTTGTGAAACAGAATGTGTTCGAGTTGTAAAACAGCTGTAACAACACAATAAAACTCATTTTATCTTCTCTTGTTTTTATTAGTAGATCATCTCCCTATAGCTGCTGTAATAACACAATAAAACTCATTTTAGCTTTTCTTGTTTTTATTGGTCCATCAACTCCCTATAACAGCTGTAACAACACTATAAAACTCATTTTATCTTCTGTTGTTTTTATTGGTCCATCAACTCTCTATAGCAGCTGTAGTAACACAATAAAACTCATTTTATCTTCTCTTGTTTTTATTGATCCATCAACTCCCTATAGTGGCTGTAATGGCACAATAAAACTCATTTTATCTTCTCTTGTTTTTATTGATCCATCAACTCTCTATAGCAGCTGTAGTAACACAATAAAACTCATTTTATCTTCTCTTGTTTTTATTGGTCCATCAACTCTCTATAGAGGCTGTAGTGACACAATAAAACTCGTTTTATCTTCTCTTGTTTTAATTGGTCCATCAACTCCCTATAGTGGCTGTAATGGCACAATAAAACTCATTTTATCTTCTCTTGTTTTTATTGTTGAGCCAGCGATTTTTGTCGCAAAAGCGAGACATAGCGATCCTGCATTCCGTCGGCGGCAGCGGCCACAAATATTCACTCCGTGGTTAAAGTTTTTGAAATTTTAATAACTTTCTTGAACTGTCCTGGATTTGTACCAAACTTGGACAGAAGCTTGTTTATGATCAAAAGCTAGTATCTAGAAGGAAATTTTGTAAAAAATTTATTTCCTGTCTTTCCATATATTACTTATAAATGGACTTAGTGTTTCTTCCAGTTAACATTACATACAGTCTGCAGTTTAAGTTTTAAAACATTTATTAGATTCATAAACCATCCTGGATTTTTACCAAACTTGGATAGAAGCTTCTTACAATCAAACCCTTACGAATTTTTGGTCCATCAACTCCCTATAACGGCTGTTATGACACAATAAAACTCATTTTATCTTCTCTTGTTTTTATTGATCCATCAACTCCCTATAGTGGCTGTAATGACACAATAAAACTCATTTTATCTTCTCTTGTTTTTATTGGTCCATCAACTCTCTATAGCAGCTGTAGTAACACAATAAAACTCATTTTATCTTCTTTTGTTTTTATTGGTCCATCAACTCCCTATAGTGGCTGTAGTAATTTAATAAAACTCATTTTATCTTCTCTAGTTTTTATTGATACATCAACTCCCTATAGTGGCTGTAACAACATCTGGCAAACATGTATGTGTCAACCATTCTGATGATTGATTAATTGTTGGTGTTTAACTCCACAAATAATCTCTATTGGCAATATCATGATTGCCAGTTTGTATTGGTGATGGAAGCCTGAATATCCAGAGAGGACTAATGACCTTCCGCAGGAAAACTAGCAATCCTAGTCAAACACACCTGCCAAGTGCATGGTTTGGTGGATAGTTGTCTAATTGGCAATCATACCTCATCTCCTCATTTTTATAGTCGTTTAAATGTTACAAATGTGTTATACTTTATGAGGAGATATTTAATAGTTGTTGTGAAAGATTGATATTCTACAATCAGAAGCATATTTTACATAAAACATAACTCAAGCTGTAAATAGGGTATCAGTGACCTTCATGTAATAGGTCCGGGGACACAGTTATCATCACTACAATCAGTAGCATATTTTACACAAAACATAACCAATCACCCAAGCTGTATATAGGGTATCAGTGACCTTCGTGTAATAGGTCCGGGGACACAGTTATCATCACTACAATCAGTAGCATATTTTACACAAAACATAACTAATCACTCAAGCTGTAAATAGGGTATCAGTTACCTTCGTGTAATAGGTCCGGGGACACAGTTATCATCACTACAATCAGTAGCATATTTTACACAAAATATAACCAATCACTCAAGCCGTACATAGGGTATCAGTTACCTTCATGTAGTAGGTCCGGGGACACAGTTATCATCACTTAATTTTCGTAGTCTAAAAATAGTCTGTTTAATTTGTAATTTTTTTTCATACACCTTCGAAATAAATTTCTTTATATCGTGGGGGGATTCAATTACATGTAAAAAAAATTTGAGGCATGAATTTAAAGTAGTGATTTGGTCCAGTTTAAAAAGGAAAAAAAATAGTTAACAATTTGTCTGAAGCTGCAAAACTGCGTTATTAACCCCCTTAAAGGAGACCTGACATGAAATCGGGTTTTTGCTTTATTTTCTATAATTTGGCTTGAAAGATGTTTGTGTAAAGGTTTTTTCAACTACCTGTATCCAGTTTCGTATATATAGGTCAATTTGATTGACATCTCGTTGACCTGTGAAATATGCAAAATTGTCCATATTTTGATTTAGAGCCGATATAATTTGTCCAAAAAGTAGTACACTACACTGTTAAAGAGAGGCGAAGGAAAACAAAGGGACATTCAAACTCAAAAGTCGAAAACAAACTGACAGCGACATGGCTAAAAAAGAAAAAGACCAACAGACAAACAACAGTACACAAGACAC